CGGAACATGCAGCGAGTACATAAGCTGCGCTACAATGCTGCTCCTCATCCTTGACTTTGCTCGACTCAAAACATAACGCAAGACCCATCAAAGCACACACCACACTCGTTTGACACTTCGACTTTCGTTCGTGCANACGCAAGCANAGCAACCCTCACATATACGCTAGCGAGATGAAGACTGGCTATGTTCTCGCTTCACTTGCGGTCGCTTTCAGCATGACAGCTGCTGCGCCTATCGAGCAAGAGATGGCCAAGAAATGGAGCAGCGAGCCTCAGCAATGCTTCGCAAAGTGCTCGCCTGCACTCGGATTCGGTCTCGGCTTTGGCGCTGCAGTGTCTGCCAATGTCGCTGCTGGCGCGGGCGTGATCGCCACACCTCTTGGCGCAGGGGCTGGCGCTGGCGTCAATGCCGGCGTTGCTGTATCTGCCGGTCTTGGCTTGTAGGTGCTATNTGCNACTGCANTGGANNCCAAAGCTGACATTGCACGCAGCGATACATTCCATCAGTGCTACACGAGCTGCTGCAATGGGCAGCCGACTGCCACGCCCAAGCCGGTTGCAGTACCACAGCCAGAGCCTTGTTACGACTAGATCTGCTAGTATAGATCGCGTGCATGCATGCTGAGCAACACAATCCACTGTTCACGAATTTGGCATACGAGCGGGTTTCGGCTATAAGATTTGCGCGCTGTCCTCGTGGCAGATTCATAAAGTTTTCTCGGTCTCGGGCGCCGGGCTCGGCAAGCTTCCACGAAGCTCGAGCGCGACTGTATAAGCTGGCTTACGAGACTCGCGTGCAAATTTGGCGAGGCTAGAATGGCGCCGTCATGAGCACGAGTCACTCCTTCACGCTCACTGCTGATGGCGGCGATGCGACGAGCCAACTTCTGCCAAGTCCCACCCTGCAAAGCGCAGAAGTCTTCCGACCGCCAGGTATGCTGCAGTCGATGACTCACCATCTCTGTTTGACGTCTAACGAGGGTCTCGCAGATGACAGGATGCCAGATGACACACAGATAGCAACGGCTCCGCTGCGCCGGTTCGTTAGCCCACGAGAAGAGCTGGACACGACGCCCAAGCCATCTGGCCGAATACCACTACCCGTGCCTGGCTCGTATGCTCTGTCGCCAGTAGAAGGCACGCCGATGGTGTCGACGTCAGCGATCAACTCCACTATCAGCTCAGCTGAACCGATGTCCGCGGACTCCGGCGGAGCCAGCGGGAGCCCGCGTGATAGCATGCCTGGATCGAGCTCCAACGCCTCACTCACTCTCTTGACGTCGCTGTTCAAGGCCATCTCTGGCACTATAGCAGGCGACAATACAGACGCGAGCAAGGTTGTACCAGGCGAGAGGAGCAGCATGCAAGCCAAAGAGCGCGCAGTCCGTGCGCCTGGTGCAAGATCAGAGCAGACTCCACGGGCATCGCTCGGCGGCAGCACAGGAGGTCAGAGCGTGAGCAGATCAGTTTCATCTGCCGAGCACAGCGCAGCGACAACGCCCACCGGCACGTCAGCCAAAGCTCCTGGCTCTCCCTTGCGTGCTCGGAAGCTCTCGTACGGTTTTGGCAGCGCTACGGCGACTCCGCTCAACCGTGAGACCTCTTCATCTAATTCGTCGCTTGTCGGAGCGCCTGCTGCTGGCTCGCGATCACTTTCACAGAGAGGTCAGTCTCGCGGACGACAATCGTCGGGCGCTTTTTCTGGTTTGCCAAGGATCAATATAGGCACCTGGAATCGCAACGACGAAGACGTCAAGCTTGCAGATACTACTACGTCAACGCCTGACACACCTCAGGAGGGCGCTTTGCTCGCTCGCCGGAAGATGGGCGCCAATGGTCCGGATGCGCCGCTAAGCCAGCCGAATGCCACCACTGGCTTCTTCAATTTCAATCTCAATCTGGGCTCTGCTCTTAACACGTTAGGACTGAGATCGATAAGCGCATCTCCTGTGCGAAGCTATAGCGGGGGCGACGATTCTACCCACCGACTAGATCAACGCGATCGCAGTGGGCGGAACTCGGGTGCAGACGATCAGAGCATTGACATGGACATGGATGAAGCAACGGCCAATGGAACCACAGCAGAGCACTTCACTCCTATGGTGACGCCTATGCCCCATCATGACGTCGCTACGCCGGGACCTGGCCAACGCGAGAGGCCAAACGCCACGCGTCAGTCAAGCTATATGGACGCTTCTACTCGATCTGGCCCAGGGCTGCTGACAAGATTGCCTTCTTCCGCTGGCTTCCAGAGAGCGGAAAATAAGGCACGCTTAGACCCGGTGACGCTGCACAGTATTGCGCGCGCAACAAACGAGCGGGATGCGATCAAAGCTGTGGAGATTCGCGAGGTTCGAGAAAGGCAGCTCAGCGAGGAGCAGACGAACGGCGTCGCTGCAGACAAATCGCGACCGAGCGCGCGTCGGCAAGCGTCTGCTTCAGCGATTGATGAGCGACAGCCCTTGTCAACAGCTCTCGAGGAATCCTCGAGCATGCCGACGCCGTCGTCAGACGGAGCAGAGCCCCGTGTTCGGCAACACTCGCAAAACACTGTCCGCTCCTCACCGAGAGACGAAGATGCAGCAAGCATAGACGGCTCTACCTATAGTAACACAGCGAAGAAGTAAGCTAGTCGTGCGCCGCGAACAGCGTGACTGAACGTTGAATGCAGTGCGCGGCCTCGGAAAGCTTCACTCTTATCTCGTATCAGCAAAATTGGTCAGAAGCCAGCGCAGCCCCGCAAATCGCCTCTTGCGCCCATCCAAGACGATCTGAGCGAGAAGGCAAGGCTGTCTGCAGATTCTTCACCAAGTAAAGGCTCGGATCGGCCACATCCTCCTCCTCTGCAGCGTAACAACAGTAGCCACACAAAAACGCGCTATGTCAAAGTGCGAGCAAAAGGGAAACCGCACCGGGACTTTGCCAAGCTCTTCCTCGCACAAGAGATCCGTCTGACTCCGCCAAAATCCGATACGGATAGTCCTATTCCTGCTAGCCCGATCGACGGCGTTCCTGTCACGCGCAGCATAAGCGCAGATCTGCCGAAACCCTCAATCGGCTCGCATCGCAAACCTAGCGCTCGCAAGAACGCAGGTGTGATCTCATCATAGCCATATCTGACTCTGTGACTGAGCCGCATGCAGTTTGGACCATGCAATTCTCGAAGCACGGGCATTATCTCGCAACTGCTGGACAAGACTGCATCGTCAGGATCTGGCCTCTGGCTGGCAGCGCGGGCGATCGAAATTCCCCTATAGACGATTCAGTGTCAAGCGACGGTCTGTCCGCGACAAGCCCTTCGAGCGCATCTACGCATAGCTGTCGTCCTCGGTCGAACGGTCCGATTGCGAACATGCCTGTCCTTGCAGCCCGGCCAATGCACGAGTATCGCGGACATACTGCTGATGTCCTTGATCTAAGCTGGAGCAAGAACGACTTTTTGCTATCCTCTTCGATGGACAAGACTGTTCGATTATGGCATATCTCGCGCAAAGAATGTCTCTGCGTATTCCAGCACCTCGATTTCGTCACCGCCGTCAGATTCCGTATGTGCTGTGAGATTTGTCTTCTCTTGTTACTGATCCAGAGGATCAGATCCAAAGGACGACCGGTTCTATTTATCGGGCTCGCTCGACTGCAAGCTACGACTCTGGAACATACCCGAAAAGCGCATTCACGCGTGGACAGAGCTACCCGATCTGATCACGAGCGTAGCGTTCAGTCACGATGGCAAATTGGCAATGGGCGGCACTTTCGGCGGACGGCTGATCCTCTTCGAGACCGACAGCTTTCGTTATCATGCTTCACTCCATGTCAAAAGCACGAGAGGCAAGAACGCAAAGGGCCACAAGATTACCTCCATCGTCCCTGCACCCAATTCGGACGACCATCTCCTCGTGACATCGAACGATTCCCGCGTACGACTGTACAGCATTATCGATAACAGCCTCGTCAGCAAATTTAGAGGGCACGAGAACACTTCTTCGCAGATTCGCGCTAGTTTCAGCGATGATGGCGAGTTCATCATCTGTGGCTCAGAGGATAGACATGTCTATATATGGAACACTGCGGCTGGCATGGTGGAGGAAGGCAGTCCTGTCAACTGGCTCAATCCAGGCAAGCAAAGGATCGACAAAGGCTCGCTCGAGTACTTCTCTGGCGAGTCAAATATCATGACGTGCTGCATCTTTGCGCCCGAGAGCACACGGGACCACCTCGCTCAGCTGGGTGATCCCATGTTCTCTGACCAGACGGCTTTCCAGCGAACGAGTACTTTCTCACCTGTCTCATCGCGCGACCCAGACTCTAGCTCCAGCCTGTCGCCATCGATGACGCGTTCGAGCACGCAGACGACGCTGAACGGCACGAGCGCGTCCGGTGCCATCATCGTCTGTGCAGACGATTCCACTGGCGTTTTGCGCATCTATCGAAATTCACCCTTGGACAAGTATACCCTCCTCAACGGCTCCTCACGAAAGGACAGCGGCAGCTTCCACGAGACGCCCAACAAGCTCAATTCTCGCAGGAGCAGTGCTTCACCCGGCATCGCCTCTGCCGCACAGTTCACCGATTCCACTTGAAAAGTCAATCAGTCAGTCTTTGCACGTCATGCACCGGAGCATTACCTCTGTTCCCGTCACACGAGTCCGTGCGCTTCTGTGCTTGTGCGTCCCTGTACAACATAATCATTTTGTGTCGAGTTGCAAACGATTGCCCACGACTTGTTTAGCAAATGGAGCATGATGCAATGAGGACGAGCAAAAGCGTCTACTTGTCTTTGCTCGCCTCCTCATCCTCGCCTTCGCCCTCGCCGTCACCGTCCTCGGGCTTGTCCTCTTGCTGGCCGTCTGACTTTTCGTCTGACTTTGCATCCTCTGGCTCTGGCTCTGGCTCCTCTTCGTCCTTGCTCGTGTCGAGCAGGCCTAAGCTAGAGATGATGCCGCTGCCTACGGCTACTTCTGCCTCTGCCTTTCTACTGGCTACCTCCTTCCCCTGGTGTGACAGGTAGGTCTGCTTGATCGTCTGCGCTCTCGCAATCTGGCTCGACGACCCAGCTCAATGGTCTCTGACAAGGGCGTAGTCAGCTGAGGCTGCGCACCTCTTTCTTGTGGTGCAGGCATTCGAGGTAGTCTTCCTTCTGGGGCAGACAGTCGAGTGGCTCGTCCGCTTGACTGTAGCACTTTGTAAACTCTGCCACCGAGCGAAGCCTCAATCAACACGAGCCAGGCACGAAGGAGAGCGCAACGTCGACTTGCCCTGCCAGAATGGATGACACCTTGAGCGGCCGCCTGTGTAGCCAAAGCCAGACTGTAGATGGCTCTGATGAGCGGCCTGGCGGAGCATGACAGTCTCATACTCACCGCCATGACTGCACAGCCGGGTCAGTTCAGGTCAGAGTGACTGCCGACTGGCAGACTCGCGACTTTGGCTTTTGACGGTGTCGGTCGGCCTTGCCGGTCATCGTACGAGCTCATCTGCTCATCATCTCATCCTCGGCTAGCATCCAGACATAGCCACGATCAATGTCAAGCGCGGGACAGACTCCACTGCGCACAGATGCGCCTCGTCGGACTGCAGCAGCTCAACAGAGGCTCGGCGCGGCCCATCGCCATGGACAAGGGGAGCAGGAGCAGATCGACTCGGACACTTATCTCGACAAGTTAGAGGAGCTTCTCAATGGCCGAGTGGACGAGAATGTTGGCAATCTGGCGCGTTCGCTCGGAGAACTCGTCAGGAGTGCTGCTGTGAGCGCCTACGCGATGAAAGCGAGTCCATCGCTGACGCAAGCTGGTAGGCTGGTCCCAAGGATAAGTACAAGGTCGCACAAGAAGCGCTCGAGTCTCAGGAACGGGCGGACAGCATGGCAAGCCCGAAGTCGTTGTGCGAGTGCCGATGCTGACAGAAAACCGCATAGATACGCTCTGTGGAGAATCTGCTCTCACTAACTCACACGCTCAAGATGATCTATCTGCTCTGTGACGAGCGTACTCTACTTGACATTCAGCAGGCTCGCACCACCGAATTACAATCGGAAATTGACGCCCTGCGCAACGACCTCCAATCGGCGCTCGACGCGCCCTGACATACCCACGCTCGCGGGCTTCGGAGCGACGGACTTCCACCCTACCCGTCACGCACGCGCAGTGACAGAGCGTCATCGTGACCTTGCCCTGCATAGCAAGCCACAGCAAAGTCCGTGCGCCACTCCGTCCATCGAGGGCTATAAAGTCGCTCGCCTGTCTCATGCTCAGCATTCAATCCGACAAGATGAGAGTAGCCACTGTCCTGATCGCAAGCTTCATCGGTCTCGCAGCTGCACAGACGGCGACCACAACAGGTGGCAAGACAGCAGATAAGACGACAAAGAAGCCGCCTTCCGCTAATGATCTCAATCTCGATGCCGTGCCCGGTCAAGCGTCATCGCTAGGTCAATCTGCTGCAGTATCTGCCAGCCCCACAAATTCGACCGGCACCCTCTCGGGCGGCGCGACGACATCGGGTGCGACTACTTCTCCCCCTGTAAATGTCACGCCTCCCTCTACCGGCGCTGGCGCCGGAACATCCACCGGTCTCTCGGCCAACGGTTCTCCTACGACGAGCAGTACAGGCACGTCAAGCATGAGCGGTATGTCCGGCATGAGTGGCATGTCGGGCATGAGCGGTATGACCGGTTCGACTGGCACGACGACTGCCAGCTCGGCCTCGCCACCTGCAGGCAATGCACCACCGCCTGCGACGCCCAATACTTCTACGGGCTCGCAGGCGAACAAGCCCAAAGGTAAGGCATCGTCCAACACTGCGCAAAAGGGAGCTGCCTCGAATGTGGCCATCAGTCTCGGCCTCACTTCGCTCCTGTAAGTACTCCTCTTCCTTCCAGACAGATCAGCAATGCTCATAACGAGCCACAGTGCGACAGCAGCTGGTGCATCACTCCTGTTCTAGACCCATTGCATGCCTCACAACAACTTCAGACCTCCTCTGAGCAGCGTGGCCAGTGACCATTCCACGTTGTAGATATAGCCGTCAATGTCGGGCTCGGCCTTGTGCGCCCAGAACGCTCCTCCAGCGAAGCGGTTGTACCGTCTCGCTCGTGCGTTGTACAGCTTCTGGAACCATTGCATAGTCTGAGCTTCGTCCGTCTCCATCGAAGGTGGAATGCCGAGGGACCATTCGTTCGCCCAGATTGGATGCGGACAAGACCAATTCTTCGTGAGATCGTCTGCCAGCAAATCGTCCAGAGTGTCATACTCATTTCAGCGATAGTAAGGATGTGTCGTCAGAACGAATGGCAGATCGGGTTCAAAATCGTGCCATGCGCCCCGTATACCGATGAATGCGTCATGACCCATCATCTGCTTTACTGGATTGACTTGCGATTCAGATAGGATACGACTGCATGCTCGATAAAACTGCTTGAGTTGGTCGAGATGCGTCCAGTGATGGCGATCGACCTTCTGCGAGCCAACGGACACAATGGGCTCATTGGCAACGTCCACGCCTGCTATCCACGATCGAGTCGCAGTAGGCAGCTGGTCCATCCAATTAGAGACGGCTTGTATCGTCCTGACGCCCTTGCTAAAATAGGCTTGTTCGAAGAAATGTTTCTCGCCTTGTCGTCCACTCGAGCCATACCCGTTCTGAGAGCCAGGCAAGCCATGTAGGTCAATGACAGAATAGATCGAGTGTCTGCCGGCAAGTTCGATCAGACCTTGTAACCGCGGCAGCTGTGCGTCAACCAAATACGGCTCGCCCGACATGATCTCGTTGGCGAATGAGCCCCAAGCCCAGAAGCCTACAGAAATGCGGAGTACATTGATGCCAGCATTGCTGAAACGTCGCAAGTCATCTTCTGTGATCCAAGTGTCCCAGTGCCGCTGCAGTCGGTCAAAATAGTCACGAGTGCAGCCGAGCTCTTGCGCCATCGAATATTCGTCGGTTGCCTCGAGATCGTCCAGCGCTTGTCCGCCCATCCATGGCTCGAGAACAAGCCAGTTGCCTATGCCGACGCCTTGTGCGATCATGGTCGTTCAGTCCCATTCTTGTGGGGCCGTAGAAATCTCAAGAGGCTTGATGGATGTGACGCGGTGATCGATGCAGAGCGCTGATGCTGCTAGCGTGGTTCCCAAGATACCGGCTACCGCAATACTTGCTCGCATCGCGGCGAGCAGCTGCGAACGATGGTGAGTCTGGCCTAGGGAGCCGGGCATCTGTAGCTAAGTGCAAGACTGCCGGCTGTTGGGAGGTCCGTGCTCGACCAGTACGCGAGCTTTTGCTTTCGCGGCAAGTCAGATGAGCCAGTACTCCTCCTCGAGGAAAGCGATCTTGACTTTCTTCTCCTTTGCGACGTGCTCAAGCAGTTCGGGCGTGATGACAATTTCTCCATCTGTACCCTTGACGCTGACCAAGCCCGACTCGTGCATCGCAAAAGCCGCGTCGTCAACGCGCAGATGGACAGCAGCGGCAATCGAAGCGAGTGTGAGGTGTTTCTCGCCTGAGAGCGGTGAAATGGTTTCATTCTGCCCGAGCCTCCGCGGTGACTGCCTCTTGGGACTCGTCTTGGTGATCGTAAGCTTCTGGTTGATTGGGAAGGCGTCAGACTGAAACAGCGTGCGAAGGTGGCGAACGATAGCGCCAGTCCAGTACGTGAGATAGCCTCGAAGGCCGAGATCTGACAGCGGGCGTTCGGGCGTACCTGGTGGTGCGGCTGGGTCAGTGCGACGAGCGATTTCATAGCCTATGCCTGCTGTTAGCAATTGTCAGGCAGCGATGTAGGGAGGACGCACTGAATTCGATGAGCAGATTGCCGTAGCCGCGCTTCTGAAAAGGCGGAAAGGTGACGATGCAGGCAAGATTATAATTGTCATAAGATACCTTTTCCTGCAAACGGGTGTGTTCCTTTAGTAAGATGGGCTGGTGACAGCTGCTGACTGACCTTTGAGAAATACCCGAGCACGTAATCGCGACTTGGCTCGGCTTCAGTGACGATGTAGAACAGGAAGTCATCGACATCATAGAACATGTACTTGTGATCAATGAAGAGCTTGCCAAAGAGGGCCAGATTTTGACAGAATAACTGGTGTGCACGCACGTTTGTCAGAAGAATCCGTCGAGTAGACACAGAGACTTACCTTGTGCTGAGCGCCATCGATTTCCCAGAGAATATGCGCGCCCCGTTGATACACCTTTCTGCCTGGCGGATGTGCCATCTTGCAGATTCTCTGAACCCAAGGCCGCGTTAGCCGAGAGGACGGCTGACAAGGCTATTGCTCACTCTATGAGTCTGGTAGACCGGCGGATTGTAGAAGTACTTGAAGCAGCCATCGCATACGTAGAGCACGGAGGATTCAACCACACTGCCCATAGCATGCGCGTGTCCGTTGGTAGATGGCTGTCCCACGACAGATCCGCGCGGCTGCTTTCTTGGCAGCTCCTTACGACCTGATGTGCTTGCTACAAAGTCGTCCGTTGACGATGCATACTCGTGATGAGTATCTTCGCTCAATGACGCATTCTTGCCTCCCCCTTGCTTTGACTTTGGCTTCCTTGCGGGCACCTTACTCAGCTTGCCAGGAGTGAAAGCATCGTCATCTGAGTCTGAAGCCGGGCGTTTCTTGATGGGCTTGGCGGGAACAAGGCCTGAATCAGCTTCATGGAGCACTCCATTGGGCTTTGAGCTGGTACCTGCCGTCGGCTTGGCATCTTCAAGCAAGTATGGGCTCGAGTACCAGCAATTGATCTCATGCCAGCCCCAGATGACTTTAGAGATCTGTCTCGGTTTGAGTGTGCCCCGCTTGGGCGCATGGGCTTCAGCAGTTGCATGTGAGGTGTACGTCTGCGCAATCTGCTGTGATATCGTCTGCTGGTGTGTGTCAGTACGTGACGCCCGAGTGACCGCGCGCGTGCAAGGCTCACGAGAGCTGGCTGTGGGGATCCTTCCAGCAGAGTAGCAATAGCTGCAGGCACACCCAGTTGGGACTGCAAATCGATTGCAGGCGGTAGAGAGCCTGACTCTTGCTTGATGCTCGTGCCGTTAGTCAAAGATAGAGGCAGCAGTTTAGCGACTGGTAGCCATTCATCTAGTCTCGAGTCGCAACCCTCGTAGTGCACGTATGCTTCTTCTATGAGTCCCGAATTGTCGTCAGCAGCGGCTTGGCCTCGTAGTGAGAGGACAGTCGCAGTTCCTGCGAATAGTGCATCGCGTTTATTCGATGCTGCAACAGGAAGAAAGTCATCACTGACGAGGCGCTGTGTGGTGATCATCGCCCAGGACAGTATAGCTCTGCTTCAATCTGACAGCGCCTTGTTGCTGCGCTGTCTGACGAGCCACCATGCCCCGCTGCAGTGACTAAGACAGGGTGCAACTCGAAGCTCGAAGACGGTCGACTCGAACCGAACGCGACGCGATGGACGAATGACATCAACAGTGTGACAACATTATTGCGCGAGTTCTGCCGCTACAAGGCGCAATACCTCGCCCGTTCTCAAGCGAGCGTTCGCCGGATCCTTGCTGACCCGTTGCCATGCTTCTGCATGATGTGGTTCTGCCGCAATGCATCGACTGACGACCGACTCTTGCTGCTCCTGCATCACGAGACGTTAGCGCACGCATGAACGCAGAAACAAAGGCACCCACTTTGCTGCCATGTTGCTGCTCAAACCGAAGGAACCAAGCCCAGACGTCACCGAGGTCAGGGTTGGCATTGACGGCGCGTTCGAACCAAGCGCGCGCTTTGTCGAGCTTGCGCTCTGTCCAGAAGAGCCGAGCGACCGTGCAGAGCACGAGAGGGTCGTTGTTCGACTTCTTCAACGCGTCGACAGACTTTGTCTTGCGTTGAGGCCGCGCCTCCAACCAGACTGACTCCGACCAGAGCAAGCCAGATGAAGGACATTCTTTCAATGCTAAACGCTTCGCGCATCAGCACATGCTACTACAGTAAATGTCGAGAGACGCACCCTTGGCCATGATCGTCTTTGCTTGCGACTCTGCTCCACATCTTTGCTCCAGTCGACAGGACTCGAGCCAGAGCTCCGCATTGTTGGGGTTGTTGTGCCTGGCTCGCTCTAGCAAAGCACGAGACTTGATAGCAAGACCAGCTCCTTCTTCTAGTCTCGAAGCGAGCAGCCAGAGCGCAATCGATTTCGGGCATTTCTTCGTTCCAAGCTGATACGCTTCGCGCGCCCCGCCGACCTCGCCTTGAGAACTGAGGATCTGGCCTTTTATCATGTGAAGCTTGTCCGTCGACGGAAACTTTGTCAGTGCTTCGTTGACCGTGTTGAGTGCGTCGCTAGGACTGCTGTGCAATCGCTCAAATGCGGCAGCCTTGATCCAGATCTGCAAGGACCCATCAGCGATGATGAGGCGGATTGTGAGAGCGGACGCACTCGATCAGTGTTCGCTACTGTCCTGGCCCGAGCCATGAGTTGCCGAGCGGCAGGTAAAGAGTCGTTCTCGGCTTCGAGCTTGACAGCAGCAAGCCAAATTTGCTCGGATTCTTTGTTGGCCTTGAAGGCCTCTTCGAGGACATTGCGCGCGCCCGGAACGTCCCCTCCCATCCACTTTTCCTTCGCCGACATGAGCCACAGTACCTCTGCCTGTGGGCAAGCTTGCACTGCCCGGTCGAGCAAGGCCAGAAGCGTCTCCCTGTATCGCACGAGGTCAGCTTGCGTTTACCGCGCAAGCTAGGTTGAGCATACCTCGAGCCGTGCTTTTTCTCGAGATCTGCAGCTCGCCGCCAGAGAGCCTGCTTCTGTGGGAAGACGCGAAGAGCATAAGCCAGCATAGCTCTCGCTGTAGCAATGTGAGATGTCGCCAGCGCACTCTGGGCATCTTCCACCCATGTCTCCAATCTCTGATCTTCGTCAATGTCCTGATGGATCGTCGCATTGACGATCGCGCGGGCTGTGAGAAGACTGCCATCTTCTTCGCACCGCAGTGCCTCCTTGATCCACTCTTCCCGAGAGAGCTCGACGCCGGCTTGCCGCAGTCGCTGACAGCCCATCTGCATGACTGCATCGACACGTTGTTCGTTGGGTATGCTCTCATCGCCCGTCGGAAATTCCTCTTGTAGACGAGCAGCGGCAATCCAAATCTCGTGACTCGTAGGAATCGCTCGACGAGCCTTGTTGAGTACTTTGCGAGCATTGTCTGGTGTTTCGACGCGGGCAAGTGTAAGCCACAGCTCTGTTGAGAGCGGGATGACTTCGACCGCGTGAGAAAGCAGAACCCGGGCATCCGCTACTTCTGTCTCAAGATTGACAGTCTCTTTCCATAATCGAACAGAATTGGGAATGTGTTCTAGAGCTTTGCGCAGCACGCGTTTCTTCGACTTGTCGTCTTTCTCCAGATCGACAGCGGCTAGCCAGATCTTGACAGACTGTGGAATGTGTTGGACGGCATTGGCGAGTATGACTTTGGCATTGTCGTTCGTGTTGAGTCTTGCTGCTTGAAGCCATACATCCTCACTCTTTGGACATTTCTCACAGCCCTCTGCGATGACCTTTCGGGCAGCAACAATTTTGCCGGCTACCTTTTCGAGTTCAGAGGCGGCGATCCAGCCGGGCGCATGCGATGGGTTGGTCTTGATGAGTGATTGCAGGAGCGTCCTCCCCTTCTTGGTATCGCCAATCTCAGCTTGTGTCTTATGGATGATACTGTCTAGGCTGGTGAGATAGCCTTTGGGATCGATGGTGGTCGAGCCAGATACGGAGTCTTTGACCTGATCGAGCTTCATGGACAGCATAGACTTGTTGGCCTGACCGATCTCGACAAAGTTGGCGGCACCGGTGCCCGGCTCAGACTCTGTACCGATTGAGGAGTCCACAGCGTTCTTGTCGCGTGACGTGAGCAAGACTGAATCTGGTACGGCGTACATCCTGTCAAAGGTCTTCTTCCTCTTCTTGCCCGTCAGGTTGCCCACCTCGGGCAAGTTCTCCCATTCTTCTGCAGAGACGGAAGCGAGACCCCTCTTGAGGTCTGCGAATTTCTCTTGTATCCTTGGATTCTCCCTGAGATATTTCTCCTCCTCCTCCCGTTCTCTTGCTTCTCGCTTGGCTCGCCGCCGTTCGTCCATGCGAGCATCGACGAGCTCGTAGATCTTGTCCGCCTCCTCATCGTCTTTCTCGTAGACCATGCCTGCAAACAGACCTGTCTCTTGCTCTGGATCTTGGTACTGTTCACTGTCGTCATCGTCCGGCGCCTCTCCCCTTGCTTCCTGAGCTGCCGCAATCGCTTCTGCTGATGGACCCTCGCGTGCCGGTCCGATATCAGAGCGGGTGGTGAAGCCAGCGGCACTGTACAAGCACGTTAACGTCAGCTTGCTGTCTCCAAGTTTGAAAGACGAGCTCATCACCCTCGTCCGAGACCGGCGACGTAGGCCGGTGGTGCCTGCATCTTGAGGAATGCATACTTGTCCGAGTTGCCTGCCATGATGGCCGATCAGGTCGGGCCAATGAGCCTCAAGGGAGTCGAAGGGTGCACGCCAAACCTGCGCCAAAGCCAAAAAGACGAACCGCGCTTCTCTCAGTTGACGCTGACGCTGACGCTGACTCGAGGCTCTCTTCATCTCTGCTCGCTCACATGGCTCCGTCCAAGGGCAGGAAAGACAGGCTAGCAGTGCCCAAGCAGCCAGTCGACGAGCTGGACTATCAGAACGAACGGCTCCTTGATGGAGCACTACACGACTTGACGGTCCATGAACGCATCGTGCAGCTTTGCAAGCAGCTCGGACTAGCAGACAGACTCGAAGCAGCTCGCAAGACCATGTCAGACACCTTCACGCTCCCCGACGCGTTCTGGCTCGATTGGCTTGCCGACAGACAAGCATTAGCAATGACTGTGCCCGTTGAACCCGAAAATGTCGCTCTCTTGCTCATGCTGTGTCAACGAGCTATGCAAGACTACTTGTGTACGTCCTCTTGCTTCTGTACGGCAAGGTCAGCGCTGAGGTACAGAGGCAGCTATACCTATCTCGTCAGTCTATGCAAAGACAGTCATCGACATCTACAAGCGCGCTCACGGCTCCCAGGCGCTTTCGTCTGATGACGCAGACGCGATGGCAGAGGACACCTTGCCGGGCGATCAAGCTCTTGCTCAGCATGTCGACGCAGATGTAGCCAGAAGTCATCTAGCAGCATGTGCAAAATCCGCCTGTCGGCATATTACCGGAGGTCAACCAATCTGGCGTGCCTACGTTGCTTTCGAAGAGGGCCTGCTCAGTCACAAGCGATCTCTTGACCAAACCAGTCGAGTTGCCAACATCTACTTGGAAAGACTCGCGCAGCCTCATGCGGGTATCGAGGACACCTTTCAGGCCTATTCGACCTTTGTGAGCAACTTCGAGGACCAGGGCCAGTACGAGGACAAGATGGTTGCTGCAAACGCGATCGTAAGCGCCGCAAAGACATCGTACAGTCTACGCGAGCGCTACGAGAGCAGGTTGACCCAATTACAGTACACACCAGAAGCGTATACGTCCTACATCGACTGGGAGCTCGAAGTCGATGCGCCCGATCTGGCGCTCGTCGAGGGTCTCTTTGAGCGTGCTGTAAACGACAACCCAGCCTCTGTTGACTTGTGGGATCAGTACCTGCGGCATCTCACTCGTACCTTGCCCACCATCGATCTGGAAGAGATTGACGAGGTCGACACGGATGCTGCTATCTTGGCTCTCGCCAACGCACAACAGCAGCTCGTAGCGGTGGCCGAGCGTGCCGTCAAGGCTATACCGGGCGCTGGTCAGCTTTGGGCAACTTATCTGCGGATCTTGGAGAGATGCGATCAGAGGGAGCAGGTCCAACCGCTTTTCGAGCGAGCAACCGCCATCCGTGCCGTCTTCGATACAGTCGACAGCCTCGTCGACCTCTTCACCGCCAAGACCGACTTCCATCGCAGAGATTGGGAAGCAGTCGTCGTCGCTCAGACAAAAGAGCCCGATGAGCTATTTCAGGAGCCGGCAGACATTCTCAACCAGGGTATCAACACCATCAACAAACGATCCCGCGATGGCGACCCTCAGTGTCGTTTGCAACACTATCTCTCTCGCTTACTGGAACGATTCGGTCAGCCTGATGAAGCAGCCGCAGTTTGGAAAAGAGCAACGACAAAGCACAGCGATGTCGCTGCAGCTCATATTGCTTACGCCGAGCTCGAAGCAAGGCGCAATAACACCGAAGCAGCAAGAGAGATCTATGAGCGTGGCGCTGGCAAAAGACTCGACTATCCGGAGTACCTTTTCTCGGCATGGAGGAGTTTCGAGCATCAGCATGGAACGATCGAGACGCTCGAAAAAGCCAGTCGGACAATCGAGCAGAAGATGAAGGGCGTGAATGCAAGGAGACGGAAAGAGCAAGAACAGCTGTATGCCTCTTATGCTGCTCAAGCGCCTCAGCCTGCTTCGACCGCTGTCGAAACTGCTGTCGAACCTGCTCAACCCGTTGCTTCGACAAGTGCTGTACCAGCAGCGTCTGCTTCTCCCATGCTGGATACGAGGCCTACAGAGAATGGGAGTAGCAAGAGGCGAGCAGAAGATTCGCCCGAAGCTGTTGAGGAAAGCATCGATGAGGAAGGCAAGCGTGCAAAGACTGCGCATACGCCTGCGCAGGACCTCAAGCGCGACAGGGAGCACACGACCGTTATCGTGTCAGGTCTCCCTATGTCGACGAAGGAACCGGCGATAAGACGGCTATTCAAGGACTGCGGCGATATTCGAGAGCTTCAAATGCATGCAAAGACCGACGGTGCTGTCGCTTCGATCGAGTTTGTTGCACGCGACTCCATTCTCGCCGCCCTGACCAAGGATAAACGGAGGGTCGAGGATCAAGAGATATCGGTTGCGCTCGGCTGGCGATCAACGTGCTACGTCACTAACTTCCCCGAGTCAAGCGAAGACAAAGACATTCGGACGCTATTCGAACCGTACGGTGAGATATTGGCAACGCGATGGCCCAGCAAGAGGTTCAACTCTGCCCGTCGATTTTGCTATATCCAATTCGTCAGTCCTGCCTCTGCAGAGTCTGCCCTGGCTCTGCACGGAACGGAACTAGAACCTAAACGCAAGCTGAGCGTCTACATCTCTGATCCAGATCGAAAGCGCGCCAGGACAGACGCAGATACGCATCGTCGGGAGATCCTCGTTAGCCAGCTGACACCTTTCGTGAAAGAGTACGATCTACGCAAACTCTTCACTCCTTGCGGTGTCGTCACTGCCATTCGCATACAGACCGACGCAAAAGGTCTCTGCCGAGGCGCGGCCTTTGTCGACTTTGAGGATGTGGCGGGCGCAGCAAAGGCACTCGAGCTCAATAACACTGAGTTCAAGAAGCGTCACATCGCTGTCGTACTTGCAAGTCAGCGTGGTCTGAAGGAGAAGCAACCGGAGAGCGGTCAGGGTCGCAAAGCTGATGCGACGAGCCGAAGTGTCACTGCTACCGGGCTGCCAGACGGCGTGCTAGAGCCTTTGTTACAGCAAGTCTTTGAGCGATACGGATCTGTCAAATCAGTCACTATTGCAGAAGACGGCAAGACAGCTCAAGTCGAATATGAGAGCGAGGCGGTGTGTGTTCTTCTTGGTTTCAGCAAAGGCGCGCTGACTTGTACTGCTAGGACGTCGGCAAAGTCCTACTGCTACCGCCGGGCAGCATCACTTACGAAGACGTAGAGCTACCGATTACGCCTGCTGCGCCAGCACAAAAGGCAGGCAAGCCAACTGCTGCAGTGTCCTTCATGCCTCGCGCAGCTGCAGCACGTGGTCGGGGCAGGGGAAGGGGTGGCATTGGCTTCAAAAGGAGCGCTGCACCGACGCCGAATGGGGACACGCCCGCGCCTCCCGAGAGCATGCAGACAGATCAGCCCATGTCGGGCATGGGTCAGGACGCGTTCAGAGCATTGCTCAAATGATACAATGCATCACTTCTCATGCTATCTCTTGCCTGCCGCATTGCTACTATCGCCCCCGTCTCCTGACATAGGTCTCGGCGCATCCGGCGGCGCAGTCAGGTCACCGTCAGAGGCGTAGATCTCCTTTGTCGCGGTCATGAGCTCATGCAATTGTCCAATCTGCTCGCTCGAGAGCTACGACGCCACGCGATCTGAGCTCTGGCGATGCAGGACGTCTGATGGGCAGCCTACCTTGTCGAGCAATGCATTGTCGAGCGGCTTGCCCTCCCTCATGCCGGGCTGCTGTCGCTCCAACTCGTCGAGGTAAGTCTTCCATTGGGCGAGAAAGCCGACGATATGAAGCGGGTTGTCCGTCGATCGATGCCGCCTGAACTCATCCTGTGGCCCTACTGTGAGCCCGTGGGGATAGTGGCCGACATTTCCGCCTACTTTGATGTAGAGGTCGCCCATGAGTCGCATCTCATTGGGTAGTTGCTTTCGGTGAACGCGCAAGAGCCGTCGGTAGAGCGGCAGAGGCGGAAGAAGCTGCATCGAGACATCTCGAATCGGTCCCGAGCCTACTGATGCTGCTCTTCGGGCGGCTGAGGGCAGCATCTAGGCTTGATGTCGGCGCAGTAATGTCAGTCTGTCCTCACACCGATCGCGCGTCATCAACTGATCATCGATCGCCAGCCCGGCGTCCACGGCAGTCCGTGAAATCTCAGGCAGGCCGCGCTTTCCCTCCTTTCTTGGCTTTCTGCCTCTGTCGGGTGCCCCTCTGCGGCACTATCGCATCAAATGCCCCAAAAGCTCATCTTATCTACCTTGATGCTGTGTGAAATGTCGCCCAATGCTCGTGTGCCTTAACAACAGTACGATCTGCCTGGCCAGACTAGCTACAATACGACCACTCCACTCTGTCGAGACACAGCGATATCCGGTAGGCCAGCCACAGGCCATCTTGCGCGGCGAATCTGTAATAGTCGGCATCGCTGCTCTGCAATGCCACATCTCCTGTCACCTGGCCGAGGGCTCAATGCTCGCTATCGTCTATCAGCCAGATACAATCAGAAGCTTGACGCCGTTCGCCGGCTGGCTCAAGCTATGCTAGCGCAGACCGACGAGAGAGACTAACACGACGACGGCACCCGATCGACACTCGTTCGTATACGCGTAACATCTGCAAGCAGGCCGTACAACAGCACGGATGGGCAGTGATCTACAATGCATAGCGTCGTGATGCGTGAAGCGTGAGGGAAATCAGTCGAGCTGCCTTTTGAAAAGCATGATGTGAGGCTCGGGTGCGTGTCGTAGGTAGTGGAACCATCCCGGACTCTGTCTTATGCCCAATCCGCGCCATTCGTTCTCTTCTGCTAACCTGTCGAGTGGCAGATACTTTGCCAGCTGCCCAACAATGTCAGTGTTGGTCAGCAAGAAGTTCTAAAGTGTACATGACTGACCTCTTTGGGCAGTATGACGTGGCGATACTCGTACTCATCATCCGAGTAGCGAGCAGAATAGAAGATGCTGTCACCAAATTTGGCAATGTCGCGTGCGCGTTGCTGCGCAAGGTGAGCGGATCTCGCATTCGGTTGCAGTCCCATGACGGCGTTGCCCTCTTGCAGCAGCAGTCTAGCTTGAGCGCGTTTGAGTTGACGCTGATACAACTCGATAAAGTTGGCAGGCACGGCTCTGTTGGCGAGCGCGATTCTCTTGCGGATCGCTCGCTGCTCGCTGATCGTCTGTTCAGGCGTGCTGCTGGCCACAGGCGGGGGAGGTGCCGGTCGAGTGACGAGGCGTCGCTTGGCGTTCAAGCTCTGTCGGCAAGCGGCAAGACCGAAGAGTGAGGTCGGTGCCGGCAGGAGGATGGAGATCCAGCCTCGTCTGATGACGGGCGACTCTTGCCTTGCGTTTGGGCTGACTGTCGCCATGTGCATATGCGACGGTCAGCAAGATTGATCGCTTCTATATGCTCATGATGACAGACTGACCTTGACCTGCTCAGCTGGTCGAACAGTAGATGGGCGTCAACAGTCTCGACTCTGGACCAGAGCTCGAGATGCTCTGCGCTCTCGTCACGCTATCCTGGGTCTCGGTCGTCAGATCATCTATACAATCATTTTGGCCAGTCGCTGTTTGCGCCACCGTCTCCGCGAAAGTTTTTGGAGGACCAGTGGACTGGCAATATATGCGGTCATCGACAAGACAAGTGCTTCTTCAAAGTTCGCTGGATCTGGTTTTCTGCGCGATCGCGACGGTTTCGCGACTTTTTTTTTCAGGATTCAAGAAACATTTGACGAGCGTCGTCGGTTGCCCCTGCCGTCGCTTGGCTTCACTCTCCGCCAACCTGTCATGGCAGGGACAGCGAGCTTGCTGGCGCTTCTGAACGGCGCAGGGCCATCCCAGAGTATAGCCGTGTCGGATCTCTTCTCTCAACCGCAAGCTGCATCGACGGCGAGTCAGGTCGAGTCTGGCAAATCTAAGCAAGTACACGGAGCTCTCGGGCCCTCATCCGACCATGAGGGACTCGCTGCGGCGTCCAGTCACTTTGCACAGATGACCCTAGATGACGTGCTTGACGATCTCAGCTCGTGAGTCTAGCTGCCTCACGAGCACTGCAAGGTCATGACAGACGACGAGGTACAGACGGTTCATCGTCAATCTGCCGGCAGAGGAGCTGCTATCGGTCGAGCGGATCTGCTTCCAAGTGGAACAAGCGTCGGTCCACGCTGACTGTACTGAGTCATCAGCTGACGCGAGCGCAGGCATTGGTTCTATGAGGATTTCGTGCGCCCACAGCAACCGGCACTGCCGTCTTTCGACTTGCGGCACTTTACAACAGTCCTCTTCCAGGCTTGTCCTCTCCTTGCGTGAGGCTTTGTCATCGATCAGCTGGCACTGGCTAATAGCCTCCCTGTCCACAGGCAATATGATGCAGAGGAAGCGTACACAAACTTCTTGCGATATCGCAAGCGAGTTCCCGTCTGCGGCTCTATCATGCTCAATCCGCATTGCGACAAGGTCAGCATGCTTCCCATGCTAAGACGCACGCTCATAGGTATCGCAACAGGTATTGCTCGTCAAAGGATGGACATCTGGCTCCACGTTTTCATTCCCACGAGGCAAGATCAATCAAGGCGAAAGCGAACGAGACTGTGCCATCCGAGAAGTAGGTCCTCGCAGCTGATTGCACGCTGTCTGACAGCAACCGGTAGATTTGGGAAGAGACAGGCTATGATCTGAGGCCGCACATCGACGCGTCCATCGCACCGCATCCGCAGAGTTCTATTGCATGCCCGCCACCGCTACCCGAGGGCATCAGAGATAAGGACTACGTCGGTAAGCATGCACGGCATCGTCCCCGGATCGTACTCATCCCTCGGCGCAGAGATAACGATGCAGGAGCAACGGATCAGGCTCTATGTCATAGCCGGCATTCCTGAAGATTTTGCATTCGAGACTCGCACGCGCAAAGAGATATCTGTGCGTTTGCATAACAGCACCACACGCATTCACTGAGCGTCTTTCAGTCTATCAAATGGTTCGCCTTGACGCAATTGCCGGCATGGTCAGAGGAAACCAAAAAGACAGACAAAAAGTTCTATATGGTTGCCCCGTTCATCAAGTAGGTGTTTATCATCCTCACAAGAGCCCGGCTGAGCTTTCTGCAAGACCGCTAAAAAGATACCTAAAAGCCCGGAAAGCACCAAGGAGAAACGAAAAGCCTGCCATCACGATCTTGCAGAAGCCTACGCCGTCCGAAGCTACCTTGCCGATGCCAGCCTTTTCCGACCTCGAAGAAGGCAACAGAGCATTGCAGGCCCTCTTCTTTGGCACCAGTGAAGCTTCTCCTGCACTGCTGCGAAGCAAAGACCCTCCACAACGTCAGCCTGTCGCTTTGACAGCCCACTCCTCGCCCGCGTCCAATCGTCCAGAACCACCGACCGAGACAGATCTCGAGGACGCCGCCGAGCTTCCAGAGCCAGTCGACTCTGCTTCTGCCAAATGGCTTGAGCAAGCGACAGCGTACATACACCCTCGCGATGGCTCCGTTGCGGCACCTCAGCCAAGTCTGCCACCGGTCCAAAGAGATGCGCTGCTGCGACTGCTTGCAGCAGAAGAGCCTCCGCCGTCTGCGCCGGCGTCGGCGATTAAAGTGAACGTAGCGGACTTGTTCAACGGCGCAAACCCTGCCCAAATTTCGTCCAGTAAGCCGCCAGTCAGAACAGCGAGATTGCCATCACAGTCCTTTGCAACTGAGCAAGAGCGCGATCTCAAGCGGGCGGAGTTGCTTCGAGACCTGGACATACTCATGCCAGTGCCGGCTGAGACAAGTAGATCGGTAGCAAAGCAAGCGCCTATGGCACCATCTGAACCACCGAGGCATCTGAGGCCCGAGACACAACGACCGGTTCTCTTCACGCCATCCGCGCCAACTCAGAGTCAGTTAGTATCGCCCGCTCAGCCTGTCATTGGGCTTCCGCCTGCTTACCCTCAGCTGGGTGTCATACCGGGACAAAGGCCGCCGCAGAACGGACAGAACGGCTATGTTCCCATCAGGCAGACGAGCAATCCCAATGCACGACAGTTGCCGCCTATCCCTGGCAACCAGCTGGCTTGGCAAGTTCCGCCACCTTCGAACCAGATGATAAGCTATGTCAACGGTCTGATGAGACCACTCCCTCATCAGGCGGCCATCCTGCCGCCACCGCCGCCACCACAGCAGCAGCAGTCACATCAACAAATACCTCTTAATAAGCAAAAGCCTCCAATGCAGTCACAGCGGCCGCATATGCAAGCCAATCAGGAGCCTCAATCGTACGCGTTCCAGCGCTCCCCGCAGCATCTGGCCGGGCAGCAGATGTCTCCTCAGCAAGTGTCACCGCAGCCTCGCTCTAACCCGAACGCACCGTCGTTGCTTTCACTTCTCAACGCACCCAAACCGGCGCCCGTGCCCGCGCCAACGGCATCTGCCGCTTCAGCGCAAGCTGTCAATGCGAGCGCACTGCTTTCGCTCTTCGACAGAGCGCCGCCTGGCATATTGGCCGACGCGACGAGACCGGTCTATCCTTCCGGCAGTCCAGCCGTGGCGGCCATGCAAAGCAGTCGACCTGATCTCCTGAGCATCCTGTCACCTCAGACCAAGTTGTGAGAAGGTAGATGCAGTATGTGAGAACAACTATAGCTTTGCAGCGCGACCCATGACTTTTCTAAATAGACCCCTACGTCTTTGCTCGTGCACGCTCGTTGTGGACGGCGTCTGTGAATCTTGGGCGGCCTTGACGGCGGAAGTGGACTCGGATGATTCGACGTTGTAGACCTTTGAACGCTCCTGGCTGAGGATACGCTCGACCTTGAGTGCAGAATCGATGTTGCCCTTTATCTTGATGCGACCGGCATTGAAAAGCTTCTGTGGATTGGCCTGTAGCCAACTGGCCGGTGAGCTCAGTCCATCGGCATGTAGACAGTGATTTGACCTTCCCGGTAGCTAGATCTACGAGGTCCTGATCTGAAGTGAAGATGGTCACGTCGGCCTTGACAGGCGGCTTGCCCTTCCCCACGTGACCTTTCTTCTGCAAGCAATAGTCTGCCGCATGAGCGAAGACGGTCAAGGAGTCGGCAGAAGCTTGCCTTCATATCGGCGAACCATCTGACCTCCTTGCCTTGCTTGTCTGTGATGACAAACTGATAGCAAGTGCCAATCTGACGAACGAGTCGCTTCTTGCTGCTTATACGCGCTTCCTTGGTCGTCTGTGGCGGGTTGAGCAGGACAGACATGAGTGCAAACACTTTGGACGAGTCGAAGCCGGGCTCGCTGAACTTGGGATCCGCTAGCGCTGCCTGTCAAGCAGTCGCGCGCTGGTCAGCATCCTGCAGATGAACGCGATCCTAGCGAATGAAGCCGAGGTCGAGGAGGAAGCCGATGGACTTGTACAGCTGTGAGACTGCGACGTGGCAGCCTTATCACTGCGCTACTGGGAAGGAACGGTGCTGTGCTGACGACGAGGGAATGAGCTGCAATGCCACTGACTCTGACAGCTTGCATCTGGGCGGCATCTGCCTTGGCATCGCCCGAGGATGCGAGCGCGTTGCCCTTCTGCTGTGACTCTTCGGGCCCTGCTGGAATCATCGCTCGCTCTGCGGGTTGTCGAGGCGAATGCCGATCGGCAGCGAGAGCGCTTCACCTAAAGGGCTCGAGTTCCCCGGACACCAGATACGTTGAATGATTGACTTGAATATCGCCCTCGTCCGCCTTGGATGCGACGCTGTCATTCCTGACGATGTCTAACCTTTCTCATTCGGCTTACCTGGCTAGCAAATACCTCAGCGGGCCCAAAGCGGATGCCATACTTGCTCGCGAGGGCCTGAACGAAGATGCGACGAAGCGAAAGAAACGCAAGAAACGTCGACTGGACGATCCTGCTCCCTCGGCGGGCGAGAGCTCGACTGGCTGGATAGTCGACCAAGATGATGGCGACAGCGCTTGGACTGCTCTTCAGCGACAGCATGAAGACGATGAGGAGGACAGACAGCATGGTCAGCGCTCACAAATGCGAGTGCAAGGCTGTCGATGCTCACGAATGAATGGACGTACCCGCCCGCAGTGGTCGAACACAAGACGAGCAAGTACAACTTCAAGCGGATCAAGCCACCCAAGCCTAAGCAAGAGGAAGCCATAGCAGAAGATGAACAGCCTGTCGTCGCTGCCATCACGCAAGACGATCGCGTCGTGTCCAGAGATGTTGCGCCTCCACCTTCTGCGTTATATAGAGCAGTCGGCGGCATCCAGACGGACGAACAGCTAGCGGAAGCAGCTGCACGTCGGCGGGCTGTCGAAGAACGCGCAGAGGCGGAAGCACGTGAGGCTGCAAGGCTGGCTGCGCTCGCCGATCCAGACGATGAGACGGGTGGCACTGTCTACCGCGATAAGAAAGGCAGGAGGATAGATACAAAAGCTGAGCGAGCGGCCGAGCTGAGAGCAAAGAGGGAGAAGGAGGAGAAGGAGATGGCCAAGATGGAATGGGGCAAGGGACTCGTACAGCGCGAGGACAAGGAGGCAAAGCGTCGCGAGGAAGAGCGCTTGCTCGCGAAACCCATGGCCAGGTCAGCTCGACTACTGTCAGGCGTACAGGTCTGAAAATATTGATGATGACAGGTATGCTGACGATCGAGATATGAATGACGAACTCAAGCAACGCGAACGATGGAATGACCCGGCTGCTCGCTTCCTCACCGTACGCTCCTGTGCCATGTCCACTCATTCCTCGCTGACCTCAGCTGTGAGACGCAGAGCAAGACAGAGACCAGTCGCAAATCAACGCGACCGCAATACAACGGGCCTGCGCCCGCGCCTAATCGCTTCGGTATCAAGCCTGGCTATCGATGGGACGGCGTCGATCGCGGCAATGGCTTCGAGAAGAAGCTGTTGCAGCAAGCCAATCTCAAGAAGACGCAGAACGCGCAGGCATACGCATGGTCGACGTACGACATGTAAACTCGATTGCATTCAGTAGAGATCACGCGCGAAACGTCTAGTCCACTCGTTTCTTGCCCAGTTCGACCTCGGCCAGACTCTCCATCTTACGATGCATCGTCGCCGGCAGACGAGCGAGAGCAGCAAAGCTCGCGCGACCCTTTCGTCCGGACTCGTAGCCTTTGCCGTCGTACGTGATGATGTCCGTGAGGGGGTTGAGTCGAGGATAAGCGACATAGTCTACGCCGTGGGCGGCAATGTAAGCGGTCGAAATGACAGTGACGACGATCCAGAAGGCAAAGAAAGTCTTGAGTGGGTAAAAGTTCTGACTGGTAAATCGTGGTGAAGAGATGCCAAAGAAGAGCGCCACGATCGATAGTAGCAGTACATAAGGCACGAAGCGGGCAAAGAAAGGTCTCGCATCGCCGAAAGCGGCATCTCTTCCTTTCCTGGGTTGCCATCGACCCGTCACGACGTCATAGGCGTCCTGTCGGGGTCCATCGAGGAAGTTGTTCTTGATGTATCGCACTGCCGAGTTGATGCCGTCTTGAAGCGCACCCTGCTTCGAGCGTTTCCCTGTCCTGTCGTCATCGCAGAGAATGCCTCAGAGGAGTCATCGGCGGAGCAGGGTGACGCTTACCTCGTGTAATCGGTCTTGAGTGCGCCCGTGCCAGAATAGGCCACGCTGACGCCGTCAGCATTGTCAGCCCATACTGTGCCAATCTTCGTGCTCAGCTGCCAGAGCAGCGATCGAGGCAAAGCCACTCACGATTGCGGAAGATATGCTGCAAGCGAGGGTGATCGTCGACAGTCTCCTTTGAGCTGAAAATACCGACTGCTTGGAGTTGTTGTGTCAGGGCCCACTTGGCGAGAGCAGCTTGGACGACGCCGGTTCGATCGAGACAATCCATGCAATTTGTCCGGACGACCGAGGTCTGTGTCTTCTGTGGCGTCTGGCTCGACGAGGTATCGTGAAAGAAATACCTGCACATTGCTCAGCAGGCCACGTAGAGACAGCCTGCCGTGCTTTACCCTTGTCTGATGAGATCGCTTTCTAGCTTGTCGATGAGGATTGAGACGCGATCGAATCGCATGCCCTTGCACTCGTGATGATAGTCAAAGTACGTGTAGTGAACGCGAGGATTGCCCAACGTCTGGACGGCCTTTTCGTAGCCTTCTTTGACGGGTCTTTCGTAGCCTTTCTGGTTGACCAGACTGACCAAGAACTGGTCGCCGTAGATCTCGACCTGCTCGTCAAAGTGTTTCTTCGTTGCTTCGTGCTGCACCCATATGCATCAGAAAGTCTGCTACGCATGTAGGGTGGACTGACAGTAGCGTCAAGATCCATGATCTTGAGGTCTGGCTTGTAGCGCAGATTGTTGATCTCCGCCCAGAAGATGGGAACGCTTCCTCGCGTCTGGATGTAGCTCCCTCTTATCTCACCCTTGATGGGCGCTCTATTGCCTCCCACGGCAGAGCCATGGCTGGGCTTGTCCATGAGTGTGAGCATTTCTGTTTCGTTGAAGTTGGCGACATGGCCGTCCAAATCGATACCGCGAGAGAAGTAGCGCGTTCCTGCACGATAGCGAGAGCGACGGGAGATGACACCAAAGAGGAAGTCGCGACCGTTTGCGTCGGCTTGCTTGATCTCAAAGACTGCACACAAGTTCAGCTCCTGCTCCGAATGGCACACCGAGCTGCCTACAGCCGAAGATGACGGGCAGAATGAATTTTGAGACCTGCTCGCCCACGCTTAGCGATGGGTCCCGGCATAACGAACGTGACCAGAACTGACATCCTGTCGCGAGGCAGTTTCGATCATACGAGACTGAAGGTACTTGTTCCAGAAGAAACGATCATCTGCGAGTTTCCATGCTGGCCCGTTGTTGCCAGATTTGCTCTGTGCCTACGTATTGCAACGTGTTAGTACACGATGCACGTAGTACAGCAGGAAAGGCAAACCTGGAGAGATCTAGTGAGGTCATAACCGTAGCTAAAGTAGAAAGGCCCCGAATAGAGATGCGACTTGACGAGCGAGAGCAGGTATTTCTCGTTAGGATGGCCGGCGGCGAGAACTTTGTCGACGGTCCATTCGAATGGCATGGGCTCTATGGCGAAGACTTTGAAGTCTGTCGCTTGATAGACGGGATGGGAGAGCAACGTGGCCACGCGCTTGATGCCCGTGATGAGGATGATATACTCGGCTGCAGGCCACAGTTAGCACGCGCACGGCTGTCGGAAACGTACACCGCATACAGTTGAGCAAGGAGACGATGCCGAACAAGCCGTAGACTTTGAGCATCGTGTCATATTGCTGAGGCCGCTTAGCACCATCTGCACGCGCGCTAGCCATGTCAGCTTCAGTCTTGCTAGGCTCCCCTAAGACGCAGGCGCGATCGCCATGCTTGCAGACAGGATGACGATGAGGATCGACTGACTGTTGACGATGATCTCGTTGGTCTTGCGGGTGATGGTCAATGTCTGGCCCTGTGGTCCCTCATCGACGAGATGGTAGGCATCTTTGCCCACATAGCTGCGGGACCGGCTCGCAGCCGTCAGCCGAGCTTAGCCAAGTGTAGCTACCGCACGCACAAGCGAAGATTTTCATGTAAAGCCATGCGAGCGAGCGAGCGAGCCAACTGATGACGGGGCTGTCGAGCAGAGTGGCCGCCGCCTATCGAACTGACGCGACTGTTGCCCGTCGGCCGTACCAGTCGACTCGCTCAGAGGCATGGCGGACCTCAAGGCTATCATCGCACCCTCAGTGCTCGCAAGGTGGGCGCGATGGCTCTGAACCTCCTGAAAGCTCAATGCAATCCTGACTGCAGTGATTTCGGTGCACTGACGCATGAGTGCACTCGCATCATGAAAGACGGCGCAGACTGGCTACACATGGGCGAGCTTGCAATTGCTTCCAGTCCTACGCAGGCCTGCTGACCTGCCTTTCTCGCGGATGTCAGATGTCATGGACGGGTGAGATGCAACGCGCAAATCGTAAGACTGCAGGAGCTGACGTTGGCTGCCCCAGTCATTTTGTGCCCAACATCACCCTCGGTCAGCTTCAGACATCCTCTCAATCCTATCTTGTGACTGACAGGAAGCACATGTAGGGCCGCCCATCCTCAAGTCGGTCCATGCGTCTGTCGAGGGCGCATTCATGGATTGCCACATGATGGTCGCTGATCCCATCCGAGTCTGTCGATGCTCCTCTCTGCGCTGTATGGCGCTCATCTGGTTGCAAATCAGTGGGTCAAGGATGTTGCCGAAGCGGGCGGCAAGAGCTATACCTTCCATCTCGAAGCGACAGGATCAGGTGAGCTGACTCGCGCACAAGTTACCTTGGGCTGCTCATTCGCGAAAGATCAGAGCGAGCACTCGACTGCGTCAAAGCCATCAAACAGCACGGCATGAGGGCGGCCATGGCCATCTCGCCCAACACGCCCTCGAGCGCGATAGAAGACAGGGTAGGCAGAGAGCTGGACATGATTCTCGTCATGACCGTCGAGCCCGGCAAAGGCGGTCAGAGCTTCATGCAAAATTGCGTGAGTAAAGTACGATCACCGTTTGACATCCACACAATTCGTTGCACCTCAACTTCGTCATGCAGGTGGCAGATTTAAGGGCGAGATTTCCGAGTACGGACATCGAAGTAGACGGCGGCGTAGGTCCAAAGACGGTCAAAGTGTGCGCAGACTCCGGTACGTTGCTTGCGCGTCCAATGCAGAACAGGAGCTCATAGGCAGCGAACAGGCGCTAACGTGATTGTGTCTGGCACGGCATGCTTTGGCGCGCCAGTACCCTCAGAAGCGATTGCTCAGATGCGACAAGCGGTAGAGGACGGCAAGAAAAATTGGCCCAAAGCGAAACAATGAAGCATGCATGTTGTCGTCTATCGGGCGTTGGACCGATTGAGTACGGCTGAACGATGGGCTTCCTGTCGTTTGTTGAGAGCGCTCGAGTTGCCGTTGAGAATGGCGATGACCTCTGCTGCCATTCTCCTGCCGAGCGCCTTGTCGTTCTTGCTGTCGCTCGCTACAAGTAGCCAGAGGATACCCCGTCTGACTCTCTGTCGTTCGTTGAGCGCAACAGGGCTGAGAACATTCTTTGCACCCTTCTTCCTCGAGACGATCCTGACCATGGGGCAGACTCGCTCTACTGCCAGTCGGACGAGTGGTAGCGGATCCTGATGGGTGTGTAGTCTGATTGTCGACAGCATGAGGTCAACGGTCGACCTGGCCACAGTCTTCTTGCCGTCTTTCATGATGAGATTGGTCATGAAGCCCAGCAGAGGATCCTCTAGGGGCGGTATAGCAGGAAAGGAGATGCCGAGGGCAGATGCAGCTGCAGCTTGCGCTTGCACAGTCGTTGGCGCTGCTCGGACAGCCGCTCGTGCGCTCTGATCGAGCTCGAGGGCGGGCTGCCTTGCACCCAAGGAGGCAATGGCAGCATGAGTCATCGTCGAGCTGAACCGCCTTGGGAAAGTGACAGTCGGTCTCTGGATGAACTGCGCCAAGGTCTCGCCTCTGATCTTGGGACGTCGACGAGGAGCAGAAGTCGGACTCGGACTCGGCGCAGCTTTGACGGGCGGCAGACCTTGCGAGATGCGGTCCATCGAGATCTTGGTACCTCGGAAAGGCTCATAGGCAGCACTGATGATCTCCAGCGCATCCTCGTAGTGATTCTCTTCAGTGCTAGGCGGTCTGCTCGGTACCGGTCGATTCTTCCGCAGATCTGGCTTGATCGGCTTGGCCGATGTGCTCGCAACAGCGTCGGATGCTCGTACTGGCATCGACATCATCTGCCGTCGGACTGACATCGTGACACCTCGACAGCCTTTTTCTCTGGCTGGCAGTCGGTTCACGCAACTTTCTCTCACGCTCCTGACGCGACTCGCGCGAAACCAAAACCGCGCGCTGGCCGAGGCAGAAGCCAAGCATGGTAAGCCATTTTCATCACTGCAAGGTCGCTCTGGCTGACCTGTTTGTCGAGCAGACACCCACCGACGCAGGTCAGCTTGATGCTCAGCGATCGGACACCGCTCAGCAACTGCTAATGCTTTTCAACTGACAGATGTCAGAGAAGCATTTGCGCTGTTCGACAAGCGAGGCAATGGCAAGATCCCTCGCTCTTCGCTAGGCGAGATCCTGCGAGCGCTCGGCCAGAACCCCACGCAGGCCGAAGTCGAGTCCCTTGGCGCGGATCAAGGTGCAGAGAGTGAGCGCGGTCTCGCTCAGGTTGACCTGAGCTGAGGATATCTGCACGGTCGACAGTCGATTACGCTACTTTTGAGAAGATACTGTGGCGCAAGGATGGTTTTAAACCAGCGGGAACGGCAGGTCAGTCTGACGAGGGCCCGAGCGACGGCTCGCGTGCTCAAGACCTGTTTGGCGACACAGACGAGTTCATACGCGGCTTCCAAGTCTTTGACAAGGACGGGCATGGCACGATCGGCGCAGGCGAGCTGCGATACGTCCTTACAAGCTTGGGCGAGAAGTTGTCGAACGAAGAAGTTGACCAGCTTCTCAAGGACGTCAAAATGGGCTCGTACGTCGACGCTGGTCTCCCTTCCACTGCTTACTCACAAACCCCACTCAGGGACGGCAATATTGACTACCGTCAATTTGTGAACAGTCAGTATCATCACTCTGGCCCAGCAGATCAAGCTGATATCTTGGAATGCCAGCACTCATGGCAGCATAGCACGCAGGCGTTGCTTGTACATTTGCATTACGATCGTGTTGAGCCCGAGCAGCTTCTACCCCAGCCGAGACGAGACTGGACCAGTTCGTGCGGCCGACTGGGCACAGGCTAGGACATCGTGCACGTTCGCCCGGGTCGTGAGAAATTGGCCTCCTCATCCCAACTGGGACCCCGTCAATCTGGCTTGCGAACCCATTTGGGTCCAGATGCTTTCCTCGTTCCTGTACCGACCGATCGCGTCTCCGGTGCGGTAGCTTTGATCGCTGCCAGCTCGGCCTGCTGCTCTGCTTTCTCTTTCTCCCGGTAGCTCACCGTCGCTTGAGCTGCATAGGCATCCATGGGGCTCGATGTGTTCCAATAGTAGAGCATCTGCAGTGCGAGGATGCCGTTCGCCAGTGCAGCGACCAGGAAACCCCACCAGAGCGTGGCGTCGCCCGTCTCTGTCTGGGTGGTGAACAGACGCGCCACGCAACCCGCAAAGCTGTTGAAGACGAGGAAAGAGCTCAGCTGGCCTGTGGAGCCGTTCTTCGCGTTGGTCACGATCTGCGGTAGCTTGGACGAGATGGCCAAGGGTATCGTGAGCGTCAGAAGCCCTCTGAGGATCTTGGTCGGTATCAGAGGCGTGTTGTCCATGAAGAGGTAGGTGACGAGCGCCATGCCGACCCAGAAGGGCAGCACACGTGTCGTCTTGCTATGGCTCGAGCTGACAGGTGCCTTTGGATGCAAGCCTTGTCGCGCAGAATAGCCCAAGATGAGCGAGATGATGATGAAGTTCTGAACGAACAAGAACAGGTTCTCGCCCCATGTACTGAACGGGAAGCCCAGCCTGACGTTGTAGGCCAGCACGATGAGCAGGCCGGCGGTGTCGAGCAGGAAAGAGGTCAGGGAGATGCCTCGAGCTGACTTTGACCTGACGATTTTGATAATCTGTGGTAACTTGACTATCGCGCCTCCCGCGACCAAGCCGACGCCGAGCGTCTTGGACAATGCTAGCGTGAGACATTGCCTGTCATCGAGGTCGACATTGTAGATGAGTGTGGTGTAGCACTCCTGCAAGTAGCGCCTCGTCACTTGATCATCTATCCGCGCCAGCAGGGTGACTCACTTGGCCTAGCAGCGCTACCGCTGGATCCCTGATGAACCCAGGCAAGTTGTGCGTGATGCTTTGCACGAAGTGCGTCATTGCACGAGTACGCTCAAGGCCAACGTCTCGGGGGAATCTCTGCCCGTCGCCGAGCTCATCGTTCGGGCTTCGGCCGAGGCCGCGGCTGCTCTCTAGCTAGCTAGTGGCGTGGCATGGCACTAGATCGGCGCCGCTCAAATTTGCATAAATTGCACTTCCACGACATGTCAGTGATTGGTACACTATAGTTAGTCAGGGGTGATCCTGTCATCTTCCTCTCATTCGACGCTCGGCAATGAAGTCGATGTTGTGGGGGACCCGTAGTACCTGTCACCGTCTATATCGAAAGCTGCAATGAATGCATCATCATGTCTTGGTCAACGGAAGGGCTCTCGACGATCCTTGCCACATGTCGCTCGCTAGTACAGTATAGCACCTGCCGATGAGCGATTGCCGGCATCGCGAAAAGATTTGTTCTTTTTTCACGCCAGGGACGCAAATTGTCGATGCTGAAAAGCTGTCTGTATTTCAATCTGATCGACTGCGCTGTCTCGTCCGGCGGGCAAGTTTTAATAGCCCGTGGAGCGTTGAGTGTGCCTGTGCTGAATACGGCGGCGTCGTGTGCTTTCGCTCTGGGGAGGATTTCAGCATCTCGTTGACTGCTCAATTTTCAAGCTCTTTCGGAGGACCTCCTGCTGTGACTATCGACAGACCTGTGAGTACAGCAGAGCTATCGCAGAGCTAGAGCTGGTGGACTGAAGGAGAAGTATCGGTGTTCAGGCAAGAGTCATCAGTACTATCGTATCGGCTTATCACGTCAACCGTCTGATCGTTACCAGACGATACAGGCACTAGGTGAGATCACCTCCCAACACATGCCGCTCCTCCCTTGCTTCTCATCGCTCCATCTTGATCCGTCCAGATGGCGAGGAGACCGACGATCAGCGCTGCGTCTCTCGATGACGCAAGGCGATAGCCAGGCCTCAAGACCTCGGCCTTGGTCCATTGTCGTGCAACGATGAAGCTTTGTTCGCCCCTCCTGCTCCTTACGCTACTCCTCGTCCCATCCGACGACCGTCGAGCGGTCATTTGCTCGGACACCGCTGACATGAGCGGTGCAGCCCAACCAGAGCCTATCAGAGTCTCGAGATGGCAGCTGCAACAGAAGCGCCCGTCACCAACGGCAGCGGCTCCAACTCGCCCACCTTCATCAACAGAGTGTGAGTTCTACGCTTTTGACCGCAAGTTTGCTCAGTTCTGACATGGCAAGATAGAGCGTCTATCCCCGTCGTCTCTGATACGATCAACAAGGCTCAAGAGATTGTCAACTCAAACTCGTACTCGGCAGCTGCATACAAGCAAGCCGACAAGGTCGCCCAGACACTCTACCGCGCTACCGAGCCCGTCCAAAAAGCACTCGGTCCTCAAATTGGCGTCGTCGACACCTACGCCAACAAGGGTCTTGACTTTATCGAGGCACGGTGAGTCCTGATCGAGTATGTCCACGAAAGACGCTGAATCATGGCGCAACAGTGTCCCCACTGCATTCGCACCGACAAGCGAAGTCATCGCGACTGCACGCAAGCCCGCCGACGACGCTGCTCAATTCGCAAAGCGCAATCTCGGCGGCGTTGCCGATCAGGTGTCCGAACAGCTCAAGGCTGCTTCACAGTCGATCGTTCAAATCCAGACCAAGCTGCAGGAGGTCGTTGCCTCTGTGCCGAGAAACTCAAAGGATGTCCATCAGACCGCCAGCCATGTTCAGGAGCAGATCAAGAGCTTGACAGACTCGCTGCTCGCCGAAGTCGGCAAGCTCAACAAATCTCTCGGCAGTGCTCGCGAGGACCTGGTCAGTGGCCACACTTTCATCTTTCGTCAAGCCGAAGCTCACGCACATTGCTAGCCCGCGAAAGCCCAAGAAGCCCTTGGACCTCTCTACAGCTCGGTCTCTGAGGGCCTTGCGCACATCAAGGAAGAGCTCTCAAAGACCGACGTGCCCATTGCCACCCGCGCTCAGAACGTGCTAGCCTACACGCAGAAGAACACCACGCCGTTCATCAACGATGCCATCAATCAGCTCAAGGCGATCGTCTCCAAGAAGTCAGATCAAGCCGATGATGTTGCTGCCGACGCTAAGAAGCAAGTCAACGGCACTGTCGACGCCGCCAAGAGCAAGGCGGACGAAGTCGCCAAGTAAACTTTTCGGCGGCCAGCACGCCTTTTTGCCGTTCGTACCCGCGCTCGATCCACACACGCCATACTTCACCTCGTTCGCTTATGATCTAACCAATCGCCTTGCAAAAACAAAGGCCCTCATTGTACCACAAACCTCGCAAGCTGTACGCTTTCTGCAAGAATCCTGTCACACGATACCATCGATCATACCGAATGGGCGACTCAGATCGCGTTCAAAGGATCTAACGCCCGCCGACCGCCCAATACCTCCGTGCTCAAGCCTAGTCTAACTTCACCTCATCTCACTTACTGGCGGAGCCCAACAATCTCCCTTTTTAGACGTGTATTCGCCAGCTCTCTCTCTCTCTCCGCGTCGATCCGGTCTACTGCTGCCAAGGTTAACGTTGTTACTACGAATTGCATCAGTCTGTCCAGACCGGAGTGAAAGTACGCACTGACACCATCCGAGCAATGACAGCGCACGGCTTGCGTCGCACGGTCACGCACGGCCTCGCGCCCGAGAAGACTCACATGATGTCAAGTCCGGCACAATGGTTGTCACAGGGTCACACAGCTGAAACACTCCCGTACTCCTTGACAACTCGCCGTCACTCGCATCTCGTAACAGACCGCAATTGTCCATTCCGCCCGCGAGCTCACCAATGGTGCCAGATCCATCGCTGCGTAGTTCGTGCGAGCTTTGCAGGCGAGTCTCATTCGCTTTGCTATCGGATCCGTTGGCTGATGGCGCAGGAGTCAGGCAACGCAAGATCAAATGTGTGCTGCCGCCAGATGCTACGACTTGTACCTTCTGCGTCAAGAAGAGCGTCGAATGTGTCTTCCTCGGTCGCGCTCGTATGGGCAGACCTCGTGCCCAGAACGCCAGCGCTTCGACATCAGGAACAAACACCCATCAGCGAATTTCTGCAACGCGGCAGCCCACCCGTATCGGTTCGATTCATGTTGCGCCACAGAGGCCGACCCAAAGGTCCTTTAGCTCACCGCGTGCGTACGATGGGTCTTTCTTTGACGTCGCTAGCCAATCGCGTCACTGGCTCGGCCTCGAGAATGATGCGTGGCAAAGTTTTGCGCCTGCTTCGTTTCAGCAGCTGCATCACGACTACAGTGCTTTGGCGCAGCCTCATCAGAGTGCATTGCTATCACATGACTACCATCCGGTCGCTCATCAGCTGCAGCCTATCGCGCAACAGCTGCAGCCAAGTCCTCGCGCGCCGGCCGCGCTGCCGGTCTTACCCAAGCGACCGTCCTCGGCGGTCTTCCCTTGCCTTGCAGAATTGATCCAGCCTCAAGATCTCAAGTATAGCTATGACAAGGCTTCATCGGCCCAAGGGCGTCTCTCAAGCCTTGCTGTATACGATCGTTTGCCACTCACACCATCGAGCTACGAGCGTGGCTCGATAACCCATGATCGAGGTCCCTCAGCGGGGCAGAACGGCATCTTCGGTACTGGCATGGATCGTGCTATGCTCGACACTTCGCTCAATCAGCGTATTCTGCCTCTGCCTTCTAGAAGCACGCCCAACCATGGCTTCCATCGATACTCGGCCGGTCTTGGCCTTACTGGCGGCGCGACCAGCTGCAGCAATCATAACAGCTTGAGCGCTTTTGGTCTCGAACGCCCTTCGTCCGGCTTCGATCGCCCGGCAAGCAACTTCGAAAAGCCCATAGGATCCGGGCTAGCCGCTCTCATGCCGACGGACCTTCCGCCAATCCTCAAGATCAACAACGAGATCATGCACGACGCTTCGCCTGCACCAGCTAGACTCTGTTTATCGACCAACGACGCATCAACAGCTTTCGCCGAAAAGCGACCGTCAGATCGATCAGCTGCGCCCTCACCCACGCGTAAGATTCCGCGCCTCAATGAAGCTCTCGAAACGCTTTCGGATGCGGAGCGGAATGCTCTGGCGGATGCGAAGCTGCATATCAGCGCGCCTTCTGCTGAGGTTGTCGCGACTTTTGCCGGTTTGCTTCAATGTGTGACCACATGCGATCTAGACAAGGCCCATCTCAAGCTCATAAAGGATCGCTACAGTGCAGCGCTCGCGTTTGTACCTTTCGAGACGCGCCTGCAATTTGACGAACAGGAGACGCAACGATATAGTCGCAAATCGACGACGAGCGTTCTCTGGCAATGTCTCGCCGTCGATACTCTCTCGCTGCAGATTGCTGGGCGAACAAGTTCGTCAGCCGGGTTTGGTATGCTGCTGGAACGCCAAGGCTGGCTTGCCCGACTTCTCGCATATGATCTAAGCCCTTCCGTCTCCATCATTTCTGCGCGTCTCCAATATGCTGGCTCAAAGCAACCACTTGAAGACGTCCCGCAGCAGACAATCGTCGAGCTCGTTAAGATCTGGCTTGCCACGAACGCAATGTGCATCGTCGTCAACGAACAAGAGCTTCTAGCACAAGTCTCTGACGGGACTGTCGACGCTGCGCTTATCAACGTTATTGTGGCCCATTCACTGTCTAATCTCGGTCAGGACTCGAAATGGCACGATTCTCTGCCTCCGATCTCAGAGCTTATCCACTACTTCGAACGGACTTGTTTCGAACGTCTGGTCAAGACAAAAACCTTCGACCTGTCGACCGTACAAGCGCTTATGATCGGTGGCACACTCGCTCTGCTTACACATAAGATACGCATAGCATGGCTTGGCTTTAATCTCGCTCGTCATTACGCCCGGCGCTGTCTTGCGGATGTCACAGACGTGCCTGTCTACGTGTCAGGCCCTCCCACGATCAATCAAGTACATCGAGGTTTGCGAGTCTCTCGTTGCTTGCAAACCCTCCGCTGACATGCCGCAGAGCTACTACAAACCTGTATATGGCTCACAAATGCGTACAGCATGCATTGCTCGGTTTCACTCGCAACGCCCCACTTGCCACTTGACCGTTTCGATGTCGACTTGCAACTCCCCCCTTACCCTGCAGATTCGCTCTCACTCGCGTACAGTCGGCAGATTGCAGTCAAAGATCCAGGAAAAGCCTGTCTCGCACCGGAGGCTAAAGAGGCCAATCTCGTCGGCTTTGCAGAGCTCTGCCGAGTAGTATATATTCTCACACGGGCTCATCAAGGCGACGTAGCATGCTCTACATCTCTGGATTCGCGCAACTTGACGCCCATCGAAAGACACATCGAGCTCGCGGGATGTCTGATCAACAAGGGTCTCGTTCTGCTGGGATGCACAGATGGCAAGCAAAGCTCTCTTGATAGCGGTCGTGATCGCGCATTCGGCTTCGACAAAGGCGTGCCCAACATCTGCGGCTTCCTCAGCTCGACATGTGCTGTCCTCGGCTTTCAACGAGCATCTACGCATTTTGCTGCCTCCACCAATGAGGAGCTCGCGAGCAGTCCAGTTGTCGCTTATGCTTTGCGCGTTTCAATGACCGCCATCGCGATCGTCAATGCGGCATCTCTGGAGTAAGCTCATCTGAAGTGTACATCGAGGGGGTCTGACTCTTGCACGCAGGCCTTTGCAAGCCTTGGCGGAGACTGAGCTATTGACCGCTGAGAACGGGCAGCTAGGCATTCTCAGAATCGTATCTGACGTCCTTCCGAAGTTCTTGTCGCATATGGACTCTGTCGTCTCTGCAATCTTCATCATGCCTCAGGAAGTCTATCGCCACATCTTTGCTCAACACGACCGAGTCCGTCAGCTGCTCAATGGACTGCATACCTTTGTCTCCGTAGCGCTAAGTCAGTGCTCGTACTAGATCTGCCGAGGTTATCTAACAGGAAGATTAGGTCCCAAGGCAGTCGAGCAGATCGCAGAGCTTCGCAGGATTGGACAGCATGTTATGGAACTCTGGAGCGCGTCCTTCCCGGTACGCCCATCGAAGGGCGACGCTGCAGAATGCAGCACGCCACCTTCGCCAGTCTCTCGGGCCCTACCGATGACATTGCCTTCCTCAGCCGCACCTTATCCCTGGGAGCCTATGCCTCAGTTCACGAGTGTCGTCACAGCTCACGGACCAGCTGGCGATGAGAGCAGCAATCACCTCAGCGTACCGCGTGATGAAGCCCAGGAAGATGACGATGCTTCACTGTACTCCGGCGGCAGTGCTGCCGGACAGCCAGTCAGATTCCATCCGTTTTTGGATCTTGTACATCAAGCCCATTGTGAACTGGACATGCCGTCGATATCCCGCAAAGCGTCTTCTGCGGTGTCTTGCCAGGCCCTGGCCAAGCAAGCTTGCCCGACAGAGGTACGATGGGACGCTCAGTCGCTCGCGCCAATAGTTGTACCTAAGCTGGTATGATAGCTGCCTTGCAAGGATAAGTAACGACGCTCCCTTTGAGCTGTGCTCGCATTGGATCACAATATGATGCTGCATTGTACAACGGCTATGCACATAACATCTGCGGCCAGTGTAGTCGTCAGCTCTCGCTCGTTGATAGGCCAGGATGAGACTTATATTACAAAAAAAGGATGGAGAGAGACAAGTGCCTGGTATCGCACACTTGTCTCTCTCGCGTGTATAAGGCTGAGGGACGAACGCCTAGTATCGCACACTCGTCCCTCTAGCGCGTTGTCGATCTTCTTGTCGTCCGTGTTGAGGCTGCCAAGTGTCGCTGTCGAGCCACGAGCTGGATCCGACGAGCGAGTAAGCCTCCAAGGCAGGCCGCATGCGGCGGAGCACTTGTCGCAGGCAGATACTCTTCGTTCGCTGCAGATACCTCGTCTGGAGTTATCCGTCGCTGATAGGTTGCAAAGCTACCTCCGGGCTCCAGTGTTCATAGGCAAAGCAAGATCCAGAGGCGGTTGTTGTCTTCTTGCTGACCAGCTTCTCGTCTGAACGACCGAGCGCGCCTCAACTTGACAGCCGCGAGCACAGCAGGTCAAATCTCGTCGGCTTGCGCTCGTCCGCTCGAGTCACCTCACGCGCAATTCCCCATCAGACGACAGTTCACCACCCCTGCNTANNGNCCGCGGTCCCGGGCATNTTCCCAATTAGAGCGTCTGAAGCGGCTGTTGTCTTCTTGTTGGCCACATTCTCGCCTCGACGAGTGAAGGCGCCTCCCCCCGATATTCGTTAGCGTCTTCAACAGTTCCGAAAGGGTCATTGGCAGTTGCTCTCTCGCTGCTAGTCGCATAGAAAAGGAGCTCCTCATCGAAAACGACCAGTTTGCGAGAATGGCCTCGAGCTAGCTCCAGATCATCACAGCTTTCGCAAAGGGTCTGAATGGGCATGTTGATCTTCTTGCTTGTTCGCCAGAGCGTCATTGGCGAGCGAGCAGGCCTCTAAGTGACAGTATGGAGCAACCATGACTGGTCAAATGTTGCCGGCCAAAACTCTTCGTTCGCTGCATCTTCCTGCATAGACTACCCTTCCTCGATCGTGGCGACCTTTGAGTGCTATGAGGCATCATCGCAAGACAGTGTCGGACTTGATAAGTCGAGTCGAGATCGCTCGGGTCGAGACTGGCGCGCAAGGGAGAAAAAGCACAGACGTGCCAATTATCTCTGCTCGGGCGAGTTCGGTGATCTGCGCGCGCCGTCTTGTCGGTCAATCGATCACGAGATCGCGCACCGCCGACGTCGAGTAGTCTGCCGCCATGGCGTCGACGTACCCCACCATTCAGATCAGGTCGCACGGGCAAGCGTCAGATCCAGGACACTCAGAGCAGCAGTGGTAGGTCCACTCCTTTGAGTTGCGTTTCGTCCCATGTTCTTCTCTTCTGCAGCACCAATCGACGCCGTCTGCCCTTCCATGCCTACCAGCTTCACTCGTTCGAACAACATCGGCGCTGCTCGCAGACAGCAAGCCAGGGCGCAGAGTTCTTCACGCCATGTTGAGGCGTTCAGGCAGGCGCCTATACCTCCAACGTACGATGTCAGCTCGGCGACAGTCATTGTCAAACTCAGACCGGCTCAGTCTAGGGTCCTCACGCGCCTCTTCAATTCCACAATACAAGACGTATCATCTCCTGTGACTCCCGTGTGATGTCCAACAGCCCCTCCCCCCATGCCATGATGGCTCGTCTGCCCCCAGATTTCAATCTGCTCTTGCCCTTACGCCGAATCTATGCTGAAGCATGTCTTGGAGCTGCAGGACAGTCTTCGATCAGCCACTCGAAGAAAGTCGGAGGTGACCACTGTCTCTGGACACAGCCTAGCTTTGAGTCAGTCGCGCACGCAAAGAAGCCCAACACGCCACATCACGCTCTGCAAGGGCAGCGGCCCTTTTGACTGGCTCGATCAAGTACGCACAGTATGCTAGATAGACCAATAATGGACCAGTGAACGCTCGCTCGACTGGCGATGGCGTCCACCAGACGGGTATTGGCGAATCGCGCAAGCGGCTTGTCGAGTCGCCAAATTCGATGCCGCCGTCGCTTGACACTCGTGACTCCGAAGCATCTACGTCTGCACCCGATGACTCCTCCACGAAGGATCCTGGTGTGACGAATGTGCCAACAGCCGCTTTTAAGGTGGTGCTAGAGACGACGATGCTCACAAGCAGAAGAGGATTTGAGGTCACGGATTTGGAGCAGCTTCATGCAGACACAGCTTCTGCAGACGGAAGCGCTCACAAACGTATCAAGCGGATACTCAATCAGCCGATCATGCCAAATGAAGTCATGACTACAGACTATATGGGCGTTTCTGGCAATACTGGCGTCATTGCTACGCCAGCCCTGTCTCGCGCTCATTCGACAGAACTAGCTAGCGCGAGAGAAGTATCCGTGATCTCCACTACGCCCCCTGCTATCGTTCCAAACGCATCTCTGACAAAGGACGAGACATCGGCTACCGTAGACGAGTTTGTGACTTGTGTCTCGCATCCGTGCTCTTCCGAGAGTCGCTCGGCATGCACTTTGGCCTGCCCGATACCCTCGAGCGGATCACAAGACCCCAGTGTTCTGGACACACAAGCTGGCACAAATCTATTTGAGCTGTCTGCAAAGAACTCTTCAGCAGCTATACTTTCCGACCACCCGGCCGACAGTGCTTGGGCTATTTTGTTTGCCGTTCAGGGTCACGCGGTCTCTGGGTACGTCTGCGAGGACATCTGGCTTCCTCGTGGCCAGGATACATGGTTCATCGTACGCGACCTCGGAGATGACCCTGGCCCGAAACCATACTCTGTCGCACTCTGCAGTGACGTCGTAGCAGTGCAAAACCACTGCGAGATCGCAAGACAGCTCGTATCGGCAACTCGACAAGGCACTCGCTTCCTCATCAGCCTCGACCATGAGCATCGATCCAACCTGGTATACACTATCAGGGATCTCTCTTCAGATGGAATCTGCCTGAACAATCATCGACTCGGACCTGGTATCCGCGCAATCATACGTGATGGCGACACTGTTCGTTTCGACCAGGGCGACAACTCGCCCTTTACTTACAGATGGCATACGTTCGACCCTGTAGCATGTTCGGATCCTGACGCTATGGGCGGCTTACTTGCTGCCTACAAGCTAGCAAATGACATCGGAGAAGGGTGCTTTGGACTAGTCAAGCGATGCATTCAACGCTCTACCGGAGACTGGTATGCAGTAAAGATCTGCAGCAAGACAAAACACGTTTACGACGAGCAGCTCGCCAAGAACTTACGAAGAGAGCTGGACATCGTTCAGAATCTTCCCGCGCACGTATGTGGCTCTATGCAGGCCTGCTGAAGACTGAAATGATCGCAGAACAACATCATTAAATATCATGAGCGTTTCGAAGATGCCAACAACGTCTACATTGTCCTCGAACTTGTCAATGGCGGCGACTTGCTTCATTACCTGGTAGAGCATGAGATTATGGGTGAGCACGGACGCAATGACAGGCTCTGTCACAGATTGACCAACGCACGCAGAGGAGCTCACGATCGCAAAGTTGACGAACATGATATGTACCGGCGTATCTGTCCTCCACAGAGCAGGCATCGTTAATCGCGACATCAAGCCGGATAATGTCAGTCTGCATCACGTCGATGCTCAAGCAGCTCACATGCTAGATGCACAGCTCTTGATGACAGCAGGGAACAATCCGGTCTGCAAAGTCGCCGATTTTGGCTTGGCACGCGCTTTCTCACCCGGCGAGGATCTGACGACACGATGTGGAACAATGACATATCTTGCGCCGGAAGTCCTCGTTCGCACCGATAAGAAGGGCTACGATCAGGCTGTCGATGCATGGGCAATCGGCGCTAGTCAGCGATTTGGATCTCCGCGCAAGCATGTCTGAGTTTGACTTGCTTTGAAAGCTGTCTACATCTGCCTTATGGGCGTATCACCGTTCACTGACGAATCACCTCGAGAGAATATACACGAGCAAGGCAGACAAAGTGTCTCTATCGTGTATATTCTCTCGAGGTGATTCGTCAGTGAACGGTGATACGCCCATAAGGCAGATGTAAACAGCTTTCAAAGCGCAAGTCAAGTCAGACACGCTTGCGCGGAGATCCAAATCGCTGACTAGCGCCGATTGCCCATGCATCGACAGCCTGATCGTAGCCCTTCTTATCGGTACGAACGAGGACTTCCGGCGCAAGATATGTCATTGTTCCACATCGTGTCGTCAGATCCTCGCCGGATGGCAGCCACGGCGTATCCGAGGTCGCAATCGATTTCGTCGATCGCCTTCTCCAGCAGAATCCTGCGGCGCGTATGACAGTCGAAGAGGCCCTCGGACATCCATTCCTGTCTTGCATCGAGAGCAAGGAAGATTCAGCAGGCTTCATATCAGGCGTTGCAACAGAAGCGGTCACTTCATGTACGGCACGCCCTCGTCAGCCGCACGCTACCGCCAGTTCTCGCACTCTCGAAGGCGAGCTCAGTGACAGCCTGGCTACCGTTGTCGCCATCTGACCACAGGCTTCTCCCAATCGACTCACGTTCGCACGCACATCCGTCCCATTCCGCATCGTTCTCATTGTTGTTGAGTCTAGCCACGCTAGTTCATCTTAAGCATCAGCATGCATAGACTCTTATGATCCATACAGCTATTGAGCTGGCAGATCCACCTTGTCAGACTACTTGCTGAGTCTGACGCTCTTGGTCACGTTGGCTGAGATGCCCGACTTTTCGCCGCTGTAGTCGCCGCTCAGCGAGCTTAGACCGCCTTTGTATGTCGGCTTCATGCTGGCGAGCTTCTTCTGCGCCTTTTCATAACGCAAACGCTTCTTGACTCTGGGGTTGCGAGCTTCTTTGGGTCGCTTCGGCGTCAAGCCTTTGTTGGCCATGATCGCTCTCGACACCGAACGCGGGTTATTGGGATCGATCGATTCCGGATTGGTCAATGCATCCCTGTAAGTGCATCTGAGCGCTAAGAGCTACAGCGGTTGGGAACCGCGTACCTCTCTACTAGTCGCGTCAGATCGTGAGCCTCTTGTTTATCTTGCTTCGCTTTGGCCTTTTTGCTCGTGACAAGGTCGTAGTAGCCTTCGGCGTCAGCATCGACTGCATTGATCGCGCCCGCAGCCTCGAGATCGTTGGCGTCAAAATCTGCTCCATCTAGATCCGCGCGTTGAGCTCGACTGTCTCGAAGATGTTGCTGCCGTTGAAGGACGGCTTGCCGTGCGCGCTCCTTGCTTCGATAAGGCACGTCCTCGTCGCCGCCTGGCCTGCTCGTCTGACCTGCCTCTGCACGCTTGCTCTTTGCATCGATCTTGGCAGTGTAGAACTTGAGCGAGCGCTTCTTCGATTCTTTATCTGCAGAATCGGTAGCAGACATGGACAACGGATCAACAAAGTCGTCTGTTCGATCTGCTGATGGAATGTCGCGCGCATGTAGAGGCAGAGGCTCCAGTTGCAACAAAGGCGCTGAAAAGTAAGACTCCTCTGGCACCATCTTCGCCTTCTTAGCCTTTTCGGGGTTTGGGACTCCAGCAGCCCCATCGGATTTGCGTTTCTTCTTCTGAGGGGATGCGACGGCGGGTGAGGTGGCGAGCTGAGCCTTTTGCTCTGCTATCAGTGCCTCTATTTCTGCGTCGTCCAAGTCGCCGATGAGAGTACGCAGATCGCCTTGATTGAGATTTGCGAGGTCATTCAATGTGACAGGCTCGTCTGGTCCATCTGACCCATTGCGAAGAAGCATCATATCCTCATCCGTGAGGGGATCAGATTCATCTGACGCTGACGTGTGGCCTTTCTCATCGTCCGAATCGTCTATTCCGAGATCGAGATCGGTCATGTCCGCTAAGACCTGGCGTAATTCGGCAAGCCTGATGAAGACTGCTTCCTGTAAATCACGCTGCTGGTCTGGTGAGTGCGTTGCGCGTAGGTGCAGGTAGAATGTTGCCACGCTGAGATAGGTCAACAGAATTTGATGATAAAGATGCAAGATTTGCGTCTGTCGATTGGCCTGTAGTTCCTGACGAGTACCTTCGTGAGTCGGTTCGCTTGTGTGTTTAGCTGAATTTGCAGAAACTGCTTGTTGAGTCTTTTCAAGCCTGGAGAGTTGCTCGGCGTAGTCATCGACGAGTGCAAGCAGCTCGGGTGATGTCTTTTGCAGGTGAGCGATCGCTTCGTCGCGATTCGTGAAGCTCATGCTCGACTTGGCAAGACTGACCTCGGTCAAGGGTAGAGGGGCGACTGTGAGCTCTTTGGCCCATTCGGCTTGCGTCGAGTCGTTGAGGCCGTAGTCTGCAAGCGAGAGCGACTGTCTCTTGAGACGCTGGAGTCTGATTGATTCAGCAAGCTCGAGCTCTGCCGTCTCTTCGTCCTCTGAGTCTGCCTCTTCTGCCTCCTTGCGCCCGACGTGATAGCTCTTCCATCGTTCGTCGTCGTCATCCTCCTCTGACTGGCTTGAGGACGACTCGGACGCGTTTGCTGCAGCGTCGTACATGATATCATCACGCCCTACTTGATCAGGCCTGTCGTAACGAGATGTCTTTGCGCCTGGCAGCGGCTGATGATCTTTTGCGCCTGGCTTACCCAGACGCGGTCGTGAAGGCAGCTCCTCAACCTGCTCGTCGTCCTCGTCATCGACGTCGTCGTCATCCTCGTCGCCCTCTTCGGAAAGATCGAGTCCATAGACTTCTTCGTCCTGATCGAGCGTATCTGCAGCCCGAGTGCCTGCAGTATGCTGAGCATACGTCACGAAGCAGTCACTTGAGCGCAGAGGCATACCTCTACCGTTTGATACCGAGAAGCGTGGTTCGTCGAGGAGGATCCGATCCTGCTGAGCGAAGAAAGCATCTTCGTCGTCTTGGGGCACGTCATTCATCGACTGAATAGGCTTCACTCGTCCTCGAGACAGCTCTGCGAGGTCATTGATTGGCGCTTTCCCTCTTGATGAATTGGCTGTGTGCGCAATCAAATATGATCAGCACCTACTCGTGAAGGGATGCCTGCTCACCATTCGAGCTGACACCGGGCTTCTTGCGTGCCATACTGGCCGAGTAGCAGGCAAACGCAGGCAAGCGCAGATTTATTTCTCTTTGAGGCGACGAGTCGACATTGTAGCGCACAGGCGATCTTCACGAGATCTCAGTCATGTCGACCACTGCGGGTTGTGTCAGATAGACAAGCGCGCAAGTGCATTGCTGCAGCATGATGCTCTCCGCCCGGCCAGCGAGTTTGGCGAGCAGGCGTGCAGAGCGAGCACTGCGTCAGCTTGGTCATCAACCGGCCAAGAATGCCGCACATCGCCTGCTATGGTACACTACTGGCTCAAGTAGCCTCAAGAGATGTCGTGTACATGCCGCCTTTCACACCTCCTCAGGGCGTCTAGTCACAGCGCGGACATACGCTACCGAGACGAGGTTGTCCTATGATCACTTCAATCAGCCTCCTCCGCCGAGTGCCTCGGACAGACAGCGCCGGGCAGAGCGCAGACCATTCCCTTTGCCTGCCAAGGACGACAATCTGCAGGACTCGGGCGTACCCAGGCTGTCCAAGATCATCAACGACAGCATCGAGGCCGATGTGCCTGACTTGCCCAAAGCTTTCGGCGCGAATCAAGTCTTGCCCATCCAGCCTGAGCTTGAAGAGACATTGCAGGCTGTCAGGGCTTCCTTCCGTGCCCCCATACGATACGCATTTGCATACGGCTCGGGCGTCTTCAAGCAGAGAGGCTATGACGCCAAAGTGAGCTTTGCCCTACTCTCGGTGCAGTACACGCTCATCAGCTAGCAGGCACGACCCATGCTTGATTTTGTCTTTGCGGTCTCCCATCCGTCCCACTGGCATGACATAAACCTGAGGCAGAACAAACATCACTATTCCTGGACTGCTCGCGCATTAGGATCGGGTAACATCTCTCGCATACAAGAACACGTAGGCGCTGGCATCTGGTTCAACGTCGACTGCGATGTGCAAGGAAAGGTATGTACGCGTGTGCTCATGATTGAACCGGCAGCTCATTGCCCAGCAGAGGATCAAGTATGGCGTCATCTCCATGGACAAGCTCACCCAGGACTTGCTCGATTGGCAGACCATGTATCTTGCTGGTAGGATGCAGAAGCCGGTCAGCAACGGACTGTCAAGACAGCGTTCACGGACTGACAGCGTGGTAGATTGCGGTCATCAAGGATGATGCCCGTGTAAGGTTAGCAAATCAAGTCAACCTGGCCTCAACTATCCGGACAGCACTACTGCTCCTACCGCAAGAGTTCTCCGAAGAACAGCTCTACTACACCATTGCAGGTCTGAGCTATAGAGGCGACTTTCGTATGTCATTAGGCGAGAACCCATCAAAGGTCTTCAACATCGTCCGTACACAGCTGCCTCAATTCAATGCGTTGTACGGTCCCATGCTGGCAAGCTTCAACAAGACTCTCTTCGTCACAAAGGGTGATGCCGAATCGGCGCCAGGCAGCAGGCAGCTAGGCCAAGACACCTCTGCTGCTGCTCGTGCAGATCTAGCCAGAAGGTTGCCAAAGTCTATCAGCGGCCAGCTATATGGCTACTGGACCCGAAAATGGAATTTGCAGCGCGCAAAGGGCCTCGCAGGCGAGGAACTGCCTGACCACAACGAGGGATCACTCTGGCGCAGGATCGTCAGCGATGACGACTTTGAGCATCAGCTCGACAAGAGTAAATCAGATCATGCTGAGATCGCGCCTGTACTGAGGTGCAAGACAGGTCTACAGATGATCATCGGTCGGCCGGCGTTCAGTCAGTCACTCAAGGGAGTCGTCACCGCTGGTCCTCTCAGAGCGATGTCCTATGTCATCCCAAAGATCAAGAAGCGCTTCTCGAGCCCGCCGCCCAAGTCACTCGAGGACGACACACCGAAGGGGGCCGGGAAGAGAGATCGTGACAAGAAAGAGAAGGACATTTAGCACGAGAGCATGATTGTACGATGTATGAAACACAATGCCCTTAACATGCCTGTCATGCCTGAGTGCGTGCCACTCACCTTGTTGCATCAGTTTGAAGCATGGGTTAAGACAGCAAAAATGTTCAACAGCACGCCCGGCGCGCGCTGCTAGTCTTTTGACCTGCTTCTCGCTGTGACGTAAGGCGCAGCAATATTACACTGTGCCGAGGCGCAAAAAGGTACGTGGAATCACGGTGGATCGAACACCGGCCAACTTCAAGCTTCCAACGAGTTGCAAATGAAGCATGCTACCACTGCATCATAATCCCTTGCCCAAAAGGGCCACCTGAACGACTGAGCTAAGTGTCGCGTGGCAGTGCGGCCAATGTAGTAGGATATATAGTTCATCACGCTACTACAGGAGCATTCCGTACCGTCTCTTCCAACCGTGCTCAAGACCATCACGGCAGATTGAGCGGCCCTGATGTATGTCATAGCTGGTCATTGCGCCGCAGCTTTCAATCGGTCACAAATGAAGCTTACAGGACTCAGCGTAATGAGAGACTACGATGCGCAGTCCATACTACATGCAAGTGCTAGCTCTGTCCGAACCGGGGCCTCTGTGTTGGGAGCTCTCGCTTGAGACGGAGCGTGCGCATTATCTGGGTTAGACAAGATCGAGGGTCGGATGTGGCGCCAAACACGACGAATTGATCGATAAGATTCTGAATCGATATAGATTTTCAGCCAACTCGCGCGTCCTGCTTCGGCTTGCGCACTCTTGCAAGCCTCGCAGACGACATGCACGCTCAGAGCTGGACTCGACAAGCGCTTGTAGCTTCGTTCTGCTTGATTCTGACGCCCGCTTTCGCTCAGAGCCCAAAGGTTCTCGATGCTCTTGACGGTAGCGAAGGAACCATCTTCGAGATCTCGGCTCAGGACAGTCGAGGCGATAGCTCGAATAGTGATGCCATGCCAACTCTGCTGGTTCAGAACAGTCAAAGATATGCTATAATGATGCACAAGCGGATATCTGGCGAAGGCGACAAGATGCTCGAGCTAGCTAGGCATTCGTCGAGCTCTGCTGCTGCCGTCGACGACGAGACCAGCACACGAGCTGCTCGGCATACTACGTCTTCCGAGGCAGCCTTGTTGACCACGACGCGGCTGAATCCTAAGCATCAGGCAGAGGCAGCCGCGTCTAAGACTCAGGCAGTCGTTGCAGAGCAGACATCTATAGCCGCCGCTGTGACGCCCGCCAGTAGACGCGCAGCGGCGACGAGAGCCACGCAGGCGTTCACAACGTCTCGAATTGCTGCTGCATCTTCCTCATCTATCGTTGTGGCGATACAGAGCAGCGTGTCTTCAGCTCTGCCGACCGCTTCAGCCATCTCGTCTCGGGAGCAACTACAGTCCTATGGCATCTTTGACAGCCGCAACAAGTATCACAAGGGCTTCATCGCCTGCCTGATTGTCGCTGGTACGTCTCTCTCTGTGGTTCCTCGGTGGCAAGAGAACTGATCTCGTCTTCAGGTATTGCGCTTGTCTTGCTCGTGATCGCTATTACAAAGTACATCATGCATCTGCCACGCTTCGCGGACCCACAAGACTACCAAGAGGGGTATCAGGACAAATGGGCAAGCACGATGGACAAGGGAGAGTCTCATCAGTCGTGCGAGTCAGACACAACGCTACCGACGTACGCTGCGGCAGATTCTTACACGCAAGAGGATATGCCTCCCAATACTTTTGGACGACGCGCAGCGGTGCTTGATGCATCCCCTCGGCCGGACTGGCACCGGCAGTCTTCGTCCCACTTGAGGGTACCCGAACCGCAATCACCCTCTGCGTTGCCATACTACAGTGCGCCACGGTCGAAGCAATATAGCATGGCGACTCGAAGCAACTCGGAACTTGCGCCTGCTCCACCGCTTGATGCCACACACTGGTCACCTGGCCAGATTGTGAACAGTAGCACTGCGTTCGCTCGACCTGCTCGGACGTACACGCCGCCAACAGCCCGCATGATGGCATCCCAGACCGAGCGACGATCGTCCGCAACGTCTGAGAGTCATCGTTTCGATGACGTTGTAGACAGGGCAGATCTAGGACCGGTCTACGGCGTCCAAGATCAGCAGACGTACCATCACCGAGCGCAGTCCTCGATCGGTCTCGGTAGATCGCCCGGAGAGCATACCATGCGAAGAGGTTTCGTGAGACCTGTGAGCGATGCATATGGCAGATATTGATCCCAGCATTGATTCATCGATATCATCTTGTCATGAATGCATTCACGATCTTTGCCACATCTGATACTGGTACCGCACGTCCTTTTCTTCCACGTCGCCCTCTGGCATATCAACTTCGACCCACCGCGCGAGTTCAGCCAAGGTCGCTTGTTGCCATGCCTCGCCGGGTGCGTTTCTGAAGTCGGGCAAGTGAGTATCGCATTCAAAGGAAGGCTCTTTGATCTGCGTTAGTAGGATGCGGTCTGCCCATGCGCCGCTCCTTTGATCTAATGCCAAGGCGTCTCTGTAGATCTGAGCACCGCCGATGATGAAGATGCGATGACAGCGTGGGCCTGTAGAGTCACTCGAGTGCAGCCGCTTGATTGCGTCGAGTATCGAGGTGGCCTGGAAAGTCCATTTGGCGTCATTGCTGTCTCGACACGCGTTAGGTTGTGTAGCAGAGCGGTGAAGGATGGGAAGACTTGCATGCCGGGAAGAGGCTCGTCGCTCCTGCTGAGTACGACGTTGATGCGAGACTTGAGTGGCCTGAACCGAGCCGGAATACTCTCCCAGCTCTTTCTGCCCATGATGACCGCATTCGCCGTTGCTGGCTGATTGTCCGACGAAGGGGTGACATGCTGAGTCACACGAGAGAAGTAGCGCATCTCGCCCGGCAGAGACCAAGGTAGGCCACCTTTGGCCCCGATGCCGCCATCAGGAGCGCAGCAAACGATCAGTGTCAGACGGACGGGCGGACGAGGGGACATTGTCAGTCGATCACGCTGACGATGGTCTGAGCTATGCGATGCCGAACTACTGTCATCAGCGGACTCGGCACATCTGGCTCGTCGTGCAGCAGCGCTTGTCGCTCGAGTCGGCTTGTAGCTTGTCGGCTTGTCGCGAGGAAGTGGAGCAAGTCGAGCAACTGTGAGTTTGCCAGCCAGCGATCAAGGCAAGATGTCCTTGAGAGCGACGATGGCCCTCCAAGGCTCGAGAAGGTTCCCGCTGAGCTCCAAGGAAGGCAACAAGGACTTCTACAAGGGTGAGCTGGAGCGAGAATGGCGCACGCACGGAAGAGGCTCACCGTCCATGCAGGATATGGCAATCATCCCGGTCTCGGCAGGAAGGCGACCGGTGTCAGACGGTCAAAGCAGTCCAGAGAGACCTACCACATCCGTCCCAGCATGATCAGACGCTTCGTTGTGCCTGACAGCCTCGCCACGACAGAGGTCAGTCGGAGCAAGACGAGGCTGCCTCGATCACGATGTGCTGAGCACCGCTGCCCTCGGCCGCAGATGAAGCCCTACGTAGCTCTCACAGAAAAGAGCTCACAGGACAGCATAGACCCACCCACAACGCCTGCAGGCTGGCCTATGGCGGACACCAAGCCAGAAGCCAGCAGAAGCAGCCTACGTGGCGGCATCTTTGGGCCAAAGGGTACGCCTTCTTGCGCGGCCAGTCGGCAGCCTGTCTGATCCATCTCGACAGGCATGGACGGTGCTTACTACCTCCAGCTTGCTCGCTACAACTCGCTTCGACTCAATCAAAGTGACCTAGCTACCTCGGCCTCCCGCGGTGTTCTCGGCCATTTGAGAGATAGCGTTTCTGGCCTACTTCGTCCGAAGAAGTCTGCTTGATCCTATTACGAGACGACGACAAACGCAAGGCATGATACCGTCTGTCATCCACTGCAATCAGAGCCTCTCCGAGCTCGCGCAGACCGAACCGCTCGGACCTGCCATCGGCGATGATATAGCTCGGATTGCTCGCTTGGGCTCCTCAATGCACATGGTCATCCTGCTGTGTCTATGATGGTGCTCCTTCTCGCGCAACGACCCAACAGGACAGTCGCACGGCATGGGCGCATCGCCTACGTTTGATACCTCCGTCGATGCAGGGACCGCCGAACCTCTTCATTCGGATGCGCTTCCCTCTGTCCCTCAAGCGAGCATACTCTCGAGTAAGCCTACTGCCCTCGGCGCGTCGTCCCGCCAAGCCAGCCTTGGCACGCTTGCTTCTTCCAGTCTTGGTTCCTTTCCGTGCACAGCGGCCCATAGAATGCTCGCGCCGAGCATTGCTGACTCTGAACGCGGGTCTGCAACAGCTACCTCGAGCACGACGTCCCTAGCAGCGCACCAGACAAACGACTCGACTTCACACTTGTTCAATCGCAGATTGAGCTCCCGCCCTGCCTCCCTCGTCCTCAGCTCGTCTCACTACGCCAACATGAAGCAGCCCTCTTCAACTGTCACAGTCGAATCTGCGGACGAGGAAAAGTTGGAGCAAGCGGGCGCAAAAGAGCAGGCAAAATTACAGCGTAATTTTGCTGTAGCAGATCATGATCCGCAGGGCGAAAAGATACACGCGATGGTGGACATGTCGACCATCAAGCTCACAGCAGAAGATCTGTACAACAAGGATATGGTCGACATTGAGCAGCTCAATCTGGACGATGTATGGACTTTGCTCAAGTGAGCTCTCGTAGCTTCACAGACGCGTGTACTGACGCACTCGAGGCAGATGCAAGGCTGATGGCCTGACGGCTGGAGAGGCTCAGCGCCGCATCGACGTGTTTGGCCCCAACAAACTCGAGCACAAAGATGAATCGGCTTTGCTCCAATTTCTGTCGTTCATGTGGAATCCTCTCTCGTGGGTCATGGAAGGCGCTGCCCTTGTCGCAATTGCACTATCAAAGTCAGTATCTCCCAAGATAGGCGTACATAAGCTGACTGGCCATAGAGCAGCGGTCAGAACCGTCCACCGGATTGGCAGGATTTCCTTGGCATCGTGCTGCTCTTGTTCATCAACTCGACGATCGGCTTCCTCGAAGAGCGCAACGCCGGCAATGCCGTCAAGGCGCTCATGGACTCACTCGCACCGAAAGCCAAAGTCAAACGTGACGGCGCATGGAGCGAGATCGAATCTTCAGAGCTCGTGCCTGGGGATGTCATCTCTTTCAAGATTGGCGATGTCGTGCCTGCCGACTGTCGGCTCTTTGATGCCATCAATGTTTCGATCGATCAGGCGGCACTCACTGGCGAGTCCTTGCCTCAGAGCAAGCGCGTCGAAGATCAATGCTTCTCAGGTTCGACGTGTAAGCAGGGCGAAGCTGAAGCAGTCGTCATTTCGACCGGATCCAATACCTTCTTCGGTCGAGCAGCAACTCTGGTTGGTCAGGACGACGACTCGACCGGTCATCTTCAGATGATCCTCGCCAAGATCGGTTCCTTCTGCCTCGTCTCGATCGGCGTCTTCGTCGTCGCAGAGATCCTCGTGCTATACGCGGGATTCAGATACTCTTATAGACGTGGGCTGGATGACATCCTTGTCCTGCTCATCGGCGGTATTCCCATCGCAATGCCGACCGTCTTGTCTGTCACACTGGCGGTCGGCGCTCAGCAACTTGCAAAATATCAAGCAATCGTCACTCGTATAACCGCAATCGAGGAACTGGCTGGCGTCACGATCCTTTGCTCTGATAAAACTGGGACGCTCACGACTAATAAGCTCACGATTGATCGGACCACCGTCAAGACGTATGCCGAGCTGTCGGCCGACGAGGTCTGCCTCGAGGCTGCCCGAGCTTCACGTACCGAGAACCAAGATGCAATCGATCTATGTGTTGTCTCCTCGTCCGGCGGTCCAGATGCCGCAAGGAGGAACATCAGAGTCCTAGACTTCAAGCCATTCAACCCAGTTGACAAGCGTACAGAAGTCACCTACATCGAGGAAGACTCTAGTATCATGCGGCGCGTCACAAAGGGCATGACAGGCGTCATCATTGAACTTTGCAGTCGTGGCAAAACCGAAGCTATCGAGACTCAGCTCGAGACTGACGTCGAAGAATTCGCTCGCCGCGGTCTTCGCGCTCTCGCGGTCGCGCACGAGACTGTTACTTCTGACGACAAAGATGGCCCAGGCGATGGCTTCCGACTGATCGGTCTGCTCGCGATCTACGATCCACCTCGTGATGACACTAGGCAGACGATTGAAGATGCCCTCGCTCTTGGTGTCAAGGTCAAGATGGCAACAGGTGATCAGCTGGCGATTGCAAAGGAGACAGGTCGTCGTCTCGGTCTTGGTGATCACATGTATCCTGCCAAAGTGCTCAAGGACGGTCCTGCACCTGGCGGCAAGCACTTGACGCTCGACGAGATGATCCTGGATGCGGATGGTTTTGCCGGCGTCTTCCCAGAGCACAAGTATGAAATCGTCAAACGTCTACAAGGTCTAGGTCATCTCGTCGCGATGACAGGCGATGGAGCAAACGATGCGCCGGCGCTCTCCCGTGCGAATGTCGGCATCGCTGTCGAAGGCGCCACCGATGCTGCTAGGGGTGCGGCTGATATCGTCTTGACTGAACCTGGTCTGTCCACAATCGTGCACGCAATCCGGCAGTCCCGCGTCATCTTTCAGCGGATGCGCAACTATTCAATCTATGCTTGCGCAGTCACGATCCGTATCGTTGTCTGTTTCGCCGTCCTGGCATTCGCCTTCAGGTTCAATATGCCGCCTTTCATGATCCTTTTGGTCGCCATTCTCAATGATGGCACGATCATGACACTTTCTCTGGATCGTGTCCTACCGTCAATGACGCCCGATACGTGGGATCTGGGCGAGATATTTGCTTATGCTATTGCGTATGGCGTCTATCTCTCTGCGGGCACGATCATCTTTGTCGTACTCATCCTCAAGACGTCCTTCTTTGAAGCCAAGTTCGGCGTCAACCCCATCAAGGCTAACAACGACTACCAGCTGCACATGGTAAGCGGGCATCGTCAATGTGATGGGCTCCACTGACGCTGCTGCAGATCATCTATCTTCAAGTGGCACAGATCTCACAAGCGCTCATCTTCATCACTCGCTCACACTCCTGGTTCTTCGTTGAGCGGCCCAGCCTCGCCCTCTTCGGCGCCTTCTGTCTGGCGCAGCTCATATCCTCTATCATTGCGGCGTATGGCGATTGGTATGTCCTCTGATTCGATTGATGACCCCGTTGATGCCAAACCTGCAGGGGCTTTGCCAATGTCGCCAGGATCAGCGGCGGTTGGATCGGTATTGTCTGTAGGTTGAGCACTCAGATCTCCTTGCAGATCAGCTGACTCTATGCGCAGGGCTCTTCAATCTTTGTCACTTCTGGGCGCTCGATTTGCTCAAATTCGGCATGCGATACGCCTTGAAGCGCGTACGTAGGACTACCACGCGCGAGGAGCCCGGAGCGACCTCGTCTGATACGCATCCGCTCGCTCGGAGCTCCTCGCGTGTGTCTCTGCACGAATCGCTTTACTCGAACCGCGTCAGCTTCCTCCGTCGAGCTCAGCGTCGTCTACCTGGCCTCGGAAAGCGGCGAATCGCGATCGCACAGAACGAACTCGAACGCTATTCGACTGCGTCCATTCATGGCGCTAGCGAGCAACTGAGGGGCTTGAATTAACAGTCGCCTGCTCAACGTCGTGATAAACTGTATAATGCAAGCAACATGTAACAGCAGCTATCTCATATCCTCTCACTGGCTGCAATAGCGACGCGGCAGCCGCCAGCAATGATTGCGCTGAGTAAAGCATGCGCGGGTGCTTTCTGAGAGTCGTTCTCAACTGCAGTGTCTAGGTGCTCGAGCTCGTCGTCTCTGAACTCGGCAAGGATCTTTGCGAGGAGCGGGATGGAAGGATGATCATGCGGCACTTTGGATAGCGCAGTCAGTTGGCTGCCGGCTGATCAGCATGTGAGAATTGAGCCTCAAGGCAGGAGCAACATACTCGTTGTAGTGCTCGCCGATGACGGTCTCGACCGCTTCCGTGCAGGCCATGGCGGCTTCTCTGCCCATGAGAGCTGTGCCGGCGCCGAGTGACCAGCCTGCTAACTTCCAAAACGGGTAGAGGGCGGTAGGCCGGACGCCATGCTGCAGTATGACTTTGTCGAATGTCTGAATGTGTTTCTTCTCCTGATCCCACATGTGCTGCAAAGAATGTCAATAACATGACTGTCAGGTGCAAGTGGCTCACCTGTATGAGCTCTGCCAGGGACTTGTTCCTGCCCAGGACGGCGAGCTGTCCTCTGTAGATCCAGTTGGCTCCCAGCTCGCCTGCCTGGTCAACCCTGATGATTCTCTCGATGATGCGTCGCTGAGCCCTCGTGAGATCAGCAGGCGTGCCCGTCGTCGCAGCCTCGGGGAAATCAGGGTTACCGCTAGGCGATAGATAGGCCGATGAGGGCAAGTTGGCCGTTGCAGAGTGTTCCGGCGATGATGTATGGCCACTCGCGGAAGGTGCCGCGCTGGCGATGCCTCGTCGCTGGACTGTCATCGATCTACCTACTCGCTGGTGGAAGCCTCTGATCGTTTGTCTCGACATCTATCCTATCGACTTGGCTGTGGCAACTTGGCAATGTCAACGTCGTCGCGCGTCTTCTTGTTTGAATATCAAATCGAAGATGATCATCGAATTGCGACTTGCTTGCCCCCGCCCACGTCGCGGAGATGATCGATGACGTCGCCGGACATGTGCTTGAAGCTCTTCCTGCTCCTTCTCGCCGGAAAGTAGCGAACAGCAAGCATGTCATCGATCACGAAGAACCCCATCACCTGGAAGGGATACGGCATTGCCTCCACCAAGGACTACAAGAACTTCTCTGTCCGCGACTTTGAACCCAAGAAGGCGGACGACTATGACATCGACATTGCCATCTCTGTGAGCCTTCACGCTCTTGACTGTTCTCTCCTTGGCTGATGTGTTCCTCTCTGTCAGCACTGTGGCGTATGTGCTTCGTAAGCCGTTCATCGTCTGGTCTCGCACACGCTTGCTGACACGTTGACATGCTAGCGACCACCACACGATCAGTGGAGGCTGGGGCCCTGTAGCCGACGAGCACCTCATCGCAGGGTGTGTCGACCACCTATCAAGCTTACTCGAGCTTACGCAGCATTGACCAGACACGAAGTCGTCGGCAAGGTCGTCAAAGTTGGCAGCAAGGTCTCGAGCATCAAAGAAGGCGATCGTGTCGCTGTAGGTGCTCAAGTGTGCTCCTGCTTCGAGTGCAACAACTGCAAGAACGATAACGAGAACTACTGTCCCAATGGCGTTGATACCTACAACGCAAAGTATCCCAACGGCGATCTCGCGCACGGTGGCTACTCGGCCGGCATCCGAGTTCACGAACGCTTCGTCTTCCCTCTGCCGGAAGCACTGAAATCAGAGGATGCCGCACCCATGGCTTGCGCTGGCTTGACGGTCTACTCGCCCATCGTGCGCAACGGTACAGGCCCCGGCAAGCGAGTCGCAGTACTCGGTCTGGGAGGTCTCGGTCATTTTGCAGTCCAGTGGATCAAAGCGCTCGGCGCAGAAGCCGTCGTCTTCTCGCACTCGCCCTCCAAGAAAGAAGATGCGCTCAAGCTTGGTGCGACGGACTTTGTGGATACCTCGAAGAAGGACTTCGAGAAGCCTTGGGCGGGCAAGATCGACCTGATCATCTCGACTGCTTCTTCCACAAAGGGGCTCGATCTCAATCCCTACATCTCCACCCTCGTCCCGCAGGGCAAGCTCGTCTATGTCGGCATGCCCGAGGAAAGCCTGGGAGAGATCAAATCGCAGCAACTCGCGGGTAATGGCGCCTTCATCGGCTCCTCTCACATTGGCTCGAAGAAGGAGGCACTTGCGATGTACAAGCTCGCGGCCGACAAGGGCGTCAAGCCTATGCTCTTGGTGCTTCCCATGAAAGAAGCCGGCAAGGCCATCCAGGTGCGTTCTTTTGCCATCTCTGTTGACACTCGCGCTCATTGCGGTTTGGGCAGCTCATTGAGGACAACAAGCAGCGATACCGCACTGTTCTTGTCCAAGATATCGTCGACTATTGAACAGTGAAAAGCCCTCGGGGGCCAAAGCTCAAAGGCTAGCAAAGTTGTACGCCAGAAAATGAAAAAAACGCGTCTGCTGCAGTGTCGACGTGTCAAGCATGTCAAGCCGCTGTTAGCCTGCCGTCTTAGCCAGCCTGAACCCATGTCAGACAGTGAGATTGCTGCAAAGGCGAGCAAGAGGAGTATGAATGGCGAAAGCGCAGCTGGCAAGAAACGCAGACGGACAGAACCCACGTGAGTTCAACCCGCGCCATGTCAGAGGCCTCACTGAGCGTCATGGAGGGACATGTCCAGTTCTGATGGGTCTGACATGGATCTCGATGACTCGGCAGACGAGCAAGAAGCAGCAGAAGTGACGCCCGAGCCGACCAAAGCAAAAGTCAAGCGAGCTGCACCGCGGGCCAAGACCGGCAAAGGCTCAAAGAAGGTCTTGTCTAAAGAGACTGTCTCTGACAGCGAGGAAGAGGGTCCAGCCGAGCCCGAGCAAGACGACGCAGACGAAGATCTCGAGTCTGAGGATGAGGTCGAGGCGGCACTCTACCCGCTCGAGGGCAAATACAAAGATGCAGCGGACCGTGCCTAGTACGGCTGCCTCCCTGGCTTCTGCGTCTGCTGCCATGCTGAGATCTCTCGATGGCACAGCCTCATGACGCTCACCCAGATCCAGCGCGAAGAGATTCTGGCCGAGCGAGAGGAGGAGAAGCAGGAGCAGATTGACGCCCGTGAGATCAGAGCGCTCGCTCAGAATGCCGGCAAGACGAACAGGGCACCCGCTCGAGCGTCGACTCGCAAACAGACCGTCGCGCCCTCAAAGACTGACAAGGCGATTGACGCGCTCAAGAAGAGCAGGACAGACCGCATAGAGAAGAAGACGACGAGAGTAAGCGCAGAGCTGCCTGCAGAGATATGCGTGGCTCACACGCTTCACAGTCGTCTGCTGCGCCAAAGAGGGACAGGAAACCGGCAAATGAAGAGTCAGACGAGGAAGTCGCTCAAGCAGCACAAGAGAGTGAAGGGTCAGAGGAAGAGACCTATTCAAGGAGAAGAGGCAGAGTCAAAGTAGATAAGCCAACGCGGGCTCAAGAGCAAGAGGCCACGCATGCAGAGATCAATTCGATCTTGGTCACTCGCGATCAGCTGACTCGCTACTGGCCTTGCCCCTGGTTCGCCGAATGGGCGAAAGGTGCGCACTTTGGCCTAGCTGCTCGCGAGTCTCACTCGTGCCTACAGATGCCTACGTAAGAGTCTTGGTCGGAGTGGATGACACGAAGCAAAACGTCTACCGGCTTTCGCGCATCCTGAGCGTCGAAGAGGCACCGACGCTGTACAGACTCGAAGATAATTGCAAGACTGACAAGGCGCTCAAGCTCGCTCACGGCTCGGCAGAACGCATCTTCGAGATTAGCAAAGTCAGCAATTCGCCAGCGGCTGACGTGAGCTTCATACTGCAGTGTCGAAGCTATGCTCACGCCATGTCAGAGCGAGGTACGGCGCTTGAAGAGTGTCTTGCTTAGCGAAAAGCGCAAACCGATCACAGCGCGCCAGGTAGAACAGAAGCTGCCCATTCTGCAACGCTACGCCCAGCACGCACCAACCGAAGCTGACATTACGACCCGGATCAATGTCAACAAGCTCGATGATGCCGAGTACGAGCGACCGCGCAGGAAAGCACGATTACTCGAGGAGCGTGCGGCAGCAGAGGCCAAGAAAGACACAATTGCACTCGCCAAGATCAATGTCGAGCTGACTAAGCTGGAGCCTCCGCTTCCAATAGCACGCGAACCTTCTGCGAACACATCGGAGAGCGCGGCGCGGATAGCTGCAAAGCTACAGGCGGCAGCTCAGACTCAGCCGAAGCAGTCGCAGGCACCCGGAAGGACAGATCCAGCACGGCGGACTGCCGACTCGCTGAATGGGGGTGGATCAGGCTCCAGTACACCCACGCGCCTGAAGGCCGTCAAGAGGTGCTTCTCTCTGCTAGTCATGTGTTAGCACTGATCAGGCATGCAGAATGGAGGGCGCAATCACACCAAGCAGTCTATCCATAGACCTTACGGCCGCCTCTGAGACTTCTCAGAGTGGACACAAGCCTGCACGCATCGAGCTCGACCTCGGAGACTTCTGAGCGAGCTCCGCTTCATGTTGACAACAGTAATGCATACTACATAGCTACTACGTCGTGATCTACATCTCTAAGAGACGATCGATAGAACGCTCTAGATCTCCCTTCTGCGAGACGAGAACGATCTCGAGAACATCGCTCGTCATGGTGGGAAAGATCTGCTGCAGTGTTCCGAGTGCTGCGCTGTGAGCCGCTTCGTGAGCTCGATCAATCTCTGCCTGGACCGTTGCGGCAGACTGATTGTCCGGTCGATAGTCGCCCGGCTGAGTCTGGGGCAGCAAGCTTGAGCCAGCAGAAGCTGGACGATCTGTCGGCGCGCCTGCCTGCCAGGGTGAATAGCCTCGCCGCCTAGCGGGACTGGGTAAGGGTGTGCCTGATTCCGACGGCGGCCGCAAATCGCTCTCTTTGCTGCTGATAGCAAGCTCGTCAAAGATTTTGCCGATTGCATTCAGCGGCTTGCTGACCGTCTTTGTCAGATTGTCGCCAGACTTTTGCAAGAATCCCCGTGTGATCGAGGGCAGAGTGGCGCCAGGCTGCTCAAGCGCTGAAGCAGTATCCGCTTCGGTAGCTGCGATGTCATCCGGCTCTGCTGCTGAGGGCTGTTCTTGCTCTGCGCGAGTGAACCGCTTGAAAGGCTCGAGCACCGGGCTAGACTCGCTGGGTAGATGCGCAATTGCATCTTCTACGTTTGCTTCAAACTCGTGCTGTGTGATGTTCGAGAGTGACGAATGGTCCATTGACTCGATGAAACCAATCGCTCCATTGAGGCTCGAAAGGTAGTAGCCACTTTCGCCCTGCAATCTTTCAGGGTTTCTGAAGCGCTGTATGTACTGCAGATTCGATACAAGATGCGGTGGATTTGCTTGCAGGACGACATAAATGAGGAGTGGCATGAAAGTGTCTGCACCTTGATCTGCAGCAAGCTGTCTGATGAGGCCGAATATCACTTTGCAGCAGTTGAGTATGCAAATGAGCTTGTCTCGAGGTGCCTTGTACTGGTTGATCTTGAGCAATTCTGTCCGTGCAAACTCAACAAAAGCAGATGTTTGTTCGGCTTGTGGTAGGTCGAGGTGCTCCTCGCTGACCCATCGGAAGAGCTGTATCCGCTGGGTCAGGATCTGATCGCGCTCTAGATCGTCTGTCGAGAACGTGGGCGAAGCAGACTGTGCAATGGCAGGAGTGAAAGTCCTGCTGTGCTGTTAGCAGCCGGGATGAGATCACTTTGACGACGTACAGATGATACAGGCGATTCATGACGAGCTTCTCCATCGCTTCGATGGCGTTGTCAAATTCTCGCTCAGAAGCATCCTTCCAGACCTCGCAAGAACGCATCTTGAGCGTTATGAACTGTGGGCTCAATCACGTGATCAGCAGGGATCAATTCACTTCGTGCAAGGCAACGGACGTCGAGAAAATCATTGATGACTCGAATCTGATCATTGACAGACCAAGGCCGTTTTGCAAACTCTTTGAGAAAGCTCCGTAGGTATCGAGCAATGACGTCGGCCTGTCGAGAGCGCATCTGCTCGAGAAAGCGATTGAAATCAAACGGCACATCTTCGTCCTCCTGTGTGACTTGCTTCTCGCGAGCAGGATCAGGCGCAGCAGGCGGCGCATCTTCCTCGCTTTGCACGGCCGGAAGGGCATTCTGCTGACTTGTGCGCAGGAGCATAGGCTGACTCGCTTGCTGAGGCGTGCCAGAGAGTGACCGCTGCTGAGGTCGCCGACCGGCGACGGCGGCAAAGAGGCTGCTCTCCGGAGTGCCTGCACGCGAGGAAGGTGCAGTCGCTCGTGGCGAAGAGGCTGACGGAGTCAGAAAGCCAGACGCGACATCACTGTTCAGGCTTGGGGACAGCCTTGCTTTAAAGGCAGAGGCAATCGAGGAGAACGTCAACGAGGGCGATTGAGTCAAGCCTTGCTTTGGCTCTCTCTGCGGTGCTTCTCCAACGGGTGGCGCGGGTAGAGGGGGTGAAGTGGGCATGGGCAAACCAATGAGAGGCGGTTGAGCTTGCGAGCTTTCGTCTTGTGCTGTCGTCAGAGACGCAAGGGGATCGAAGTTGGCTGTCTGACTTGCGAGCTCGCCGGAGCGCTCCGCATCTTCCGACTGGTCACTCGTGGCATGCTTCGGTAGCTCCGGCAGTGCACGCGAATGCGACTCGCTCGGCGAGCCAGGCGGTGAATGAGACCTCAGCGAATCCCAGACTGCAGCGCCCGAGTCGAGCTCATCAGCCTGGGCAGCCATGCCTTCCTATCAGTCGCAGCGATGAGTGAGCGGGTCGGGCATCATGACTCGCCCGAGCTTATCGTCATTCGGTTGGCGCTGGTAGCCGTCGCCTCCTTCTCGTCGTCGTCGTCGTCGTCGTCGCGACTTTGGCGCTTTGGCTGGCTGCTCCCAAACTTTGACTCTTGACGGCTCATGGAGGGCTTCGATGACCTCCTCTCGCCGGGCGCAGGTCTGCATCGATCTAGCGCATCCAACGATCCCGCAATGAGCTCGGCGTCGTTCTTTGGCGCACCGCAAGATCACGACGAGGATGGCATGGACAATCCGTTTGCAGACCTGCCTGCTGGGCGCTCGCTCTACCTTGGCTCTCCCGCTGCGCCTCAATCTCCTTCTCGGAGCACTGAGGAAGCGGCAGCTGCACTTGGCTACAGCACAGCAGCCTCAGACGAGCAGTTGAACGACTTGCATGGCTCACAGGTAGACAGCTCAACGGGCCCAGAGCTACTTGGCAGCGTCCCAGCTGCCCATGAGCACGCTCAGGATCCATATTCGGATGAGATTCCGGGCACGCCGGACTCGCCTGAGCTCACACTGAGTACGCCTGCGCCTGTAGAACGCCCGGAGACGCTGTTCGGTGCGTCAGACGACTTGCTCGAAGGTCTGCTGGCCCGCCAGCGGGCTATGCCTCCGCCTCCTGCATTCAAGCCAAGTCGTACTGCGGCTGTTCGTCAGTCACAGACAAACGCGGAAATTACATCAAATGTCTCGAGGCATGACTCGCTTGCATCCATCGCGCCCATAGACGGCCGGCCTGCTTCCTTGCAAGGCGACAGAGTCATTGTCTCTCCCATCAGTGGAGAGTCAGCTCAGCGGGCGTTCAGCAACCTTTCCCTTGAAGCAGACATGCGCTCAGCGAATCCGACACTGGACGCGACACCAGATCCCGATCTGGGCTGGCGCGCTGACAGAGGAGACTCTCAGAACACCGAGGATGTCACCAGATCGGATTCTGCCTCTGTCAAGACAGTCGCCTTGGATTCTGAGCGCCAGAGCCTTGCAGGCGTCGAAGTGAGGCCATCTCTTCATCTATCGCAAGCCCGCTGACGCAGCGCTTAGCCGTCTGTGCAGCCCGGGGTCGGCAATTCCTCTATCAGCGCGCAGACGACACCTGCGTCGTCAAAGCCGAAATTCCAGATTACAGTCGGCGATCCTACCAAGATCGGCTCAGACTTTGTCGGTAGCGCGCATATCGTATATACTATCCGCACAAGAGTACGTCTGCCTGGCTCGCTGCTGCTACAAATGACTGAGGCAAATGGCAGACAACGTCTACCGCCTATCGGAAGCAGGACTTCTCTGTCCTGCGACGATTCAGGGATTTCGTCTGGCTATACGAGGCGCTCGCGGCGAACAATCCAGGCGTCATCATCCCGCCAATTCCCGAGAAGAAAGTGACCGGGCGATTCTCCGATGGTTTCGTCGAAGGTAGACGGCAAGCCCTACAGACTTGCCTCCAGACCACCGTCGATCACGCGCTTCTGCATTCCGATCCCGACCTCAAGACTTTCCTCGAATCAGACTCATTCAATGCAGACGTAGGCAAGGAACTTTTGCGCCGCTATGCTGTCTGACGGTTTGCGTAGATCAAGCATCGAAGAGCTGACCATCCGTCCGAATCTAGCGGCTTTTTTGCCAATCTCGGCAGCTCAATCTCAGGTCCAAAATTCCAAGAATTTGACGATTTCTTCGACAGTAGACGCACCTATCTAGACATGTTCGAACCTCAACTCAAGGCGCTACACCACTCCATCTCGGTCGCATCTCGAGCTCGGCAGGCTTTATCCGCGTCGACTAACGAGCTCAGCCTGGCGCTCGTCGCTACTGCAGCTTGCGATCTCTCTCGACCAGTGCGGGACGCGTTGTCCGGATTGGCAGCGCTCCTCAAGAAGATCAGAGACATTGCGGAGGCCCAGAGTAAGTCAGAGGAGGTTGGCTTAATAGCTACGATTGACACCTACAGCCGACTGGTCGGCTCTGTCAGGGTGGGTGGCCTTCTTGCCTCAACATTGACTCGTGCTCACAAGCTGCATCAGCTCGCTCTGCAAGCGCGCGTGAAGCTCCACCAAGCGTGGCAGCGCCATCTGAACCACGCAGCGATGCTTCTGCAAAGTTATGAAAAGGCCAAGCGTCAGGGCAGGCTACACGAAGATGTACTCGAATCAGACCTCGCCGAATGCCTCGAGGTGCGTGATATGCGATACTGTAGTTTTCGCTGATCACATGTTGCAGGCCGAGCGCAAAGCTGATACCGCCAAGCGGGATTTTGAGGACGTGTCGAAGCTCACGCGCGCAGAAATGCTCAGATTCGATACGGAGAAGGTCGATAATTTTCGGCTCGATCTGACGGCATACGTCCGGGGGCTTGCTGCGCGTCAGCGGACTGTCGTCGAGCTGTGGTCAAAGTACACGGAAATCATAAGTGAAGCTGTCAATTCGAACATAGTGTCTTTACCGGCCAACAGTGCCGATGTCAGTGTTGTACTATGAGCGCAGATCTGAATCTCAATTTTATCAAGTTGCAACAGCGATGCGAGTTGATCAGCAGAGGCGAACAGCTTGCATTGAAGATACGCTATCTGGCGCCCGCGGCCGCTTTGACGAGGCATTGTCATGAGCAGGGATCTTCCTCAAATATGCCACATGTTATCTCGGAAGAGAGCTTTGCTGGAATTATACGCGTTCCTAAAGCCAATGACCTTGAGGGCTTCAGCGAGATCCTCGAAAAGGCCTGGATGCGTACCTTTGCTAGGTAAAATCATACCCAGCTCCGTCTAACGATGCCCAGGATCGCAAATAGTGAGCCGCAGGATGCCTTGCACCGGTATCTCTTGCAAGCATGTTTGCGATGACATTGCTGCTCAATTCGTCAAAGTCGTTGTCAACGGCATCGTACCCGTTCAGGTCTTCACCATCGTCATCGTCATCGAACGGACCATAGTAGCCCATGTAGTCCTGGTCCTGGTCCTCGTCTTCGTCCTCATCTTCATCGTCCTGATCATCCTCCTCCTCGTCTTCGTCATCGCCATCGCCATCGTCGTCGTCATCGTCGTCCTCCGAGATCTGGCAATCGACTCCTCTCGCCAAGCAGAGCACCTCGAGCGATTCCAGCTCGGCGTCAGAGAAACCGGTGCCGGACAGCACCCAGAGCGCTTCCAGCTGCGGGAAGAAGCGTGTTTCGATGATTGGCTCAAATTGGTTGTATGCCATCTCTAACTCGCCGATCTCGAGGGAGCGCAAAGGCGAAGTTCGGAACCGCTGTATGAATTGGACACCGGCGTCTGCAGAGCCAAGCGCGAGGAATTCAAGCTTGCCAAAATCAAACTCGGGCCCATCATCTAGTCCTTGAGGCCCGGAAAGGTCCTCTAGGCCGTCGATGAGGTCGAGCTCGAGATGCTCTAGCGTCTCTTGGCAAAGCTTCAGCAGGGCCTCGAGCACGGTTCGATCGAGCGGCATGAACTGATAAAGTGTCAGATGGGTCAGCTTGGGGCGCCAGTCGGTCATTGATGGCGGCACGAGCACGGGCGAGCGGGCTTGGCGGACATTGATGAGTTCAAGATGCGTCAGACTTTCGAGTGACTGTACGTGGTCGAAGATGTTGTGGACACCGTCGGGTTGGCAGACAGTGTCATCAAAATCTTCGAGTCTGAGTCGTTTGATATGCTTATAGCGGTCGAAGACAGGTCGGAGCATGGAGAGACTCGGTCGCAAGGCTTCCCCGGCCTGGCGTGCCAATTCGTTGCAGTCGTCTATGAGCTCCAGCTCGAGCAGGTTGGACGCATCAGGCAGATGATCTGTGAATCTGTCCTTGCTGGTACGGTCAAGCGGAAGATCGGTATCGAGGGAGGTGATCTTGTCGAAAAATCGAAACAAGACGATGGCGAGTGCCATTCGTCTGAAAGGCTCAAAGGTGTCAGGCTCGGTGTCTGCGACGACGCCCTTGAGCGTGAGCATGGTCCTTGTCATGGCCATGCGGAGCGTTCGTGTGTACTGCGAGACCGAGGGCGCCAAGGCACTGATGAACGCGAGTATGTCCTGATTGGTAGCGGACGTGAAGTCGAGATGCATCCACTGCCAGGGTCTGCAGAGCTCGCGAAAAGTTTTGCAGGTCTGGGCCAGATGCCAGACGGAGGTGATGACGCAAAGCTTGCCGAGCTTGACGTGAGCGGGCATGACACGTCGCTCAATCTTTGAGTCGTCTGTCAGATCAGAGGCATCTTCCCAATCGTCGTTGCCCTCCTGACTATCTGATGATCCCTTTGCTTCCTCTGCAGTCGACGTAGCAGCGGTAGGCTCCATGCTGCATTGCCTGAGTGCTCTTTCTAGCTGGAAGCCTGCCTTGTCGCGGAGCGGGCGCTCTGTGATGCCGAGCTTCTGGCTCTGCGTGAGTATGCGCATCTCCTGATGTACCATCGTGACCGCATGGAGTGGCCCGACAGCGCCTAGCGTGCGAGCATCTTCGAGTTCGAGTGCAAAGATGAGCTCGTCCATCGATGATTGATGCAGATGCTCCACGATCAAGGCCAGCAGCTCTGCCGGCAGACTCTTGATGGAGGCCCCGCCTTCTGATGCACTCATCTTGGAAGCTTGAACAAGGCGAGGTCCGACTGTAGCGACGAATGGTTGGCTCCGGCTTACGCGCTCACGGCCGTCGACTACTCCACGCCCAGGGCGCCACTCACGCGACAAGCTCACCCTTCAAGCGCTCTCGGGTACATCGTGGCTATATCGCGATTCCCAATGCGTGCAATACAAATGAGTTGCATCTTCACCAGTCGAGATCATAGTCACCAACGTGGGGCAGGCCACCCCTGTCAAAGAATTGCCGCTCTCTGTGTCGCGCTAGCAGGATCGCAATAGCGTTGCTGCCAGAGATATCAAAGTCATCATTGCCTTCGTCGAACGCTACCGACTCTTCGTCCTCATCGTCGTCTGGAGCCACATCGTCAAGTGAACCCACGTCGTCGCCTGCGCTCGTTTCCTCCTCGTCATCCTCCAGGCCTTCGTCGATTTCACAGTCGATAGCCATCGCTTCGCAGAGCACTATGAGTGCCTGAAGATCCAGTTCGGTAAAGTCGGTATCGGGAAGGATCCAGAGCTTGCTCAGCTTTGGAAAGTATTTCGTCGCGATGATGGGCTCGAACTCGCTATACGGCATGACGAGCTTACCGATCTCGAGTGATAGGAGAGGCGAAGCTTGAAAGCGCTTCAGGAACCGCACACCTGCAGCTGCCGAGCCAAGTGCGAGAAATTCGAGTCTCCTGAGACCGAAGGAGGGTCCCTCGTCCATGTCAGAGGGCGTGGCCAGGCTGCCTTGGTCATCGAGGAGGTCGAGCTCGAGGTGCTTCAAGGTGTCCTGAGAGATCCGCAGGAGATCTTCGAGAACGGCACGAGAGAGCGGAACAAACTGGTATAGCGTCAGATGGGTCAGCTTGGGGCGCCACACATAGTCTTGTGGCGCTCGTTGGTGTCGGGAGCAGGTCTGGCGGATACTTATCAATTCGAGATGCGTCAGGCTTTCGAGGTTCGCGATCATTTCGAGTATGTGATGGTGCTCATCGCTCATGCCGACAAAGGCATCAAAATGCTCGAGCCTGAGCCGCTTCAGGTGGCTGTAGCGAGCGAAGACGGGCACAAGATGCGAGTGGGCAGACGGGCCGGGCGGCTTGGCGTTCATGAGGTCTATCTGGTTGACATAGTCAAAGAGCTCGAGTTCACGTACGTCGGGCGCGTCGGGCAGATGGTCAGTGAAGTTGGCGACCGCACCGCCTCCAAGGGGGAGGTCGACATCGAGATGGGTGAGCTTGTCGAAAAATCGGAAGAGGACGACGGCAAGTGCCATCCTCCTGACAGGCTCGAATTCTTCCAGTCGATCGCTGGCAAGGACGCCCTTTGAAGCGAGCTGGATGCCGACCAGAGCGATACGGAAGGAGCGAGTGTACTGTGAGACAGAGGGTGCCAGGAAGCGGATGAAATCGAAGAGATCCCTGTTGGTGACGGATGTGAAGTCGAGATGGCACCACTGCCAGGGCCGGCAGATCTCGCGGAGAGTCCGGCAGGTCTGAGCGAGATGCCAGACGGGTGTGATGACGGACGCCTTTCCCAATGTGCAATGTGAGGCATGGCAGGCATGGCAGGGCAGCACGCGTCGCTCTGTCTCGCAGTTCGCAGAGGCAGCAGTGACGGGACCACCAGCGTCGTCGTCGTCGTCGTGCTCGCTGTCTGCTCGTCCATCCCGGCCGTGGGCCGACTGACTGCTGTTGCGTGCTGCTAGCGCTCGTTCCAGCCTGAACCCGGCTTCATCGCCACCTAGCCGTTTTGTGAATCCAAGCCGCTGCAGGTTGGTCTGGATGCGCAGGTCCTCATGCACGGCAGTCTCTGCGTCGAGAGGTCTCGCTTTGCCGTGCTCACGAGCATCAGAGGAATCGAGAGCGAGCAAGAGCTCATTCATTGACGAATGGTGGAGGTACTGAGCGATCAGACCGAGCAATTCATTCGGTAGACTGTCGAGCGAGACTGGGCTTGCGTGATCGGCCATCTTGGCTCTAGCTCTGTCCAAGCTGAGCCCGTCTGAGCGATCAATCAGTCTGCCGGCATGTCGCTCGTCCTCGAATTTCTTCTTCTCAGCAATTTCGCGCAGAGCCAGCCAGTCGACCGGCGCCCGTGGCCATGAGACCGTAGACACTGCCTTCTCTGACCGCCGTGAAGGGCCATGTACGGCCAAGCCTCTCGCTCTGCTGGCCCGCCCAGGCAGCGGGACCAACAGGATCGCTCGGAGCCTCCCCTGCGTCACTCGCTCGGGAACAGACCCCAGCAAGGCTACTACAGCAGCGCAGCCGGCCAGTCACCCTCCCCATCGGCTGCACACGCCTACCGTCAGCAACAGCAGGACAGCTATGGATACGCTCAAGATGCGCACTATGGCTCCCCTTCCCAGACCGCCGACTTGCGCTCATCTTACCCTGGCCATGCGAACTCGTCAAGGTCAGCCGTCGTGTGTCTCTGGCGGGGCAGGCTGGACGCTGACCATCTATGATGATTGCGCGCGCAGGTATAGGTCAGCCAGCTGGTCAGCAGCCGCACCCTCGAGACCGAGCGCAAGCTACAGTCGACACCATCAAGCCGGCTACCCGCCCTCGAGTCAGCCGCTCAGCTATAGCTCTGCCCGAGAGCTTGCAGACCACCGAGCAGACTATGCCATCGATCATCCTGTTCACTCGCGTTCGCCCTCGATGAACATGGGCCAGTCTCGCTCTGGCTCACGTTCGCCGCCTTACATGTCAAGAGCGCCAGACGTGTACCACGAGCCACGCTATGACACAAACAGACAAGCTGCCACGAGCCAGGCCGGCTTCATACGAGCCAAGCCTCCAGCAGGTGGCGGTCTCGCCCATGCCGCAGCCCTCGTCTCCAAATGGACCCAGAAATTTCATGGTGCAAACGGGGCGCAACATGAACCAGCTTCGCCCTACACTCGCAGGGAGGATCAGGTCAGCTTGAGACCACAGGCAGATGACCATCCTGCCGATCGATACCTGCCAGCAAAGCAGTATCGCAACCATGCCATGTCGCCATCCAACAGCACCCCTATGCCCGCCTACAGCGGTCACGGTCACGCAGGCGCGTACACGCATCGGGCGCAGCAGGCACAAGCGCAGGAAAACCTCCAAGCCAGCACGAACTCGCCCGAACATTCCCCCCAGCGCCCAGCCTACTCCCGCAAGAGGCGCTCCTCCTCTCTCGGCACTGCCGATGTAGATGGCCAGATGGCTGCAAGACACCCACAGGGAGATCACCGCTCTACGCAACAATTGCTCGATACGGACTCGAAAATTGACTTGCTCGGTCCGAGTGAAGACACTTTTGCAGACGAAGATGGTGAGCTCATCGACGAGGCCGCAGACCGTACTTCTCGATCGCCAATCGTGCAGACGCCATCACCCCGCGTCTTGACGGCGAAACTGCCAGCTGCTCAACAGAACAACCTCGCTGATGCGCCAATGGAGGATGAGCTCGTCGGCGCGCCTGAACCTGTCGTTCACAAGACGCTCGCACAGCTACTGCGCCTTTCCTTAACGAGCTCTCAAGTGCAGCAGCAAGAGGATGCAGTCGTCCAGTCTTTGCTAGCCTCCCAACGCGATTGCAGTGACCCTGCATCCGCACCTTATCACGCTATGCAGACAAGACCACCCCTGCAGCACGACATTGCAAATCTGCCGTTCATGAAGACTGACAAGCAGGCTCATTACATCCTTCGTGATGCTCTGCTTGAGGGCCTCAGTCGGCGCATGCGGAGACGATGTCTACAGATCAACAGTCTGCGTGGCGATTACAAGCAGCTCAACAAAAGCTGGAAGTCCCATTGCGTGCGTATGGAGAAGCACAAAGTCCCTCTGCAGAATACTCGCGGCAATCTAGTCGCTCCCGCGCTGGCATCTGCCGCTGTCGCGGACTCCGTGCCGAGCACAGTCGAAGCCGCACCGATTCTGGGCACACCCCTGTCAGCTGGCGGCAGAGCAAATCGACGCGCCAATGCAGCCCTCTCGTCCAGTTTCGGCTATGGCGATGCGGCGCGCTCAGAAGCCGAATTTCTTGAGATCCTCGCCAGCCTCGAGCACGCTGATATGCGCGATCCGACTTTGCGCGCCTCTCGTACGACAGCCGTGGTGCCCGACATGGCGCTTTCGTCAACAGAGATGGGCTTTCTCAGTCTAATTGATGAAAACGCTCTCGTCATTGATCCGATAGCTTTTTATGGTATCCGCGATCCTGGGCCAGTCTGGTCACCAGACGAGGAACGCATCTTCGCTCAAAACTACGCTGTCTTCCCCAAACAGTTTGGCAAGATTGCCGCCTGCTTGCCGGACAAGACGACCCAGCAATGCGTTTTGTACTACTATCGAGCAAAGCGGTTCGTCGATTTTCGCGCGCTCACTGATCGCCGAGCCAGGGACGGTCGTAAGCGCAAGCTAAAACGCAGGGATCGTGGTGCGACTACAAAAGGCACTTCTCTACTTGCTGGTCTGGGCCGTAGCCGAGCAGACGAGGAAGAGGACGAAGACTCACCGCCGCCCTCGCCCGAGGTGCGCAAAGAATCTGCTGCCAATATGCCTCTGCACGAGGCGCCGGCTGCAGCTGCTATGTTGCGCCGCGCGATCAAAGCTGCTGAAGAAGAGTCTCTTGCTGCCTTTAGCGAGGCACCATCCAGCACAACGGCAACCATCGAGAGCGGCGTGGCTGCAAAGGATGCAGGTATTGGCAAGAAGAGGCGTGGCAAGACCGCACGCAGCGACGTGGCTTCAAGTGCTGCAGAGCGGCTTAACAGCAAACGAAAAGGCCCAACTTCTTCGTACTGGTCCGTTGCCGAACGCAACGAGTTCTTGCGGCTGCTGGCAATACATGGCAAGAATTATAAGCGGATCGCTCTTGATATCGAAAACAAGACTGCTGTGCAGTGCAAGAACGTCAGTATGCAATCCTGCGCGCGGAATCGTACTGATTTAGCATGCAGTTTTTTCAAAACAACTACAAGAAGCTCAATCTGCAGGAAATTGCAGACGAGGCGACGGGCGAAGAAGTCGATGACGGCGAGGCTCTCGACCTACAAGATGACACTGTCGAGGTGTGCACTCTCTCTCTGATCCTCTTGTCTGTCTAAGCCGATGCAATGGGCAGATGTCGACAGAGCAGACGACGCCGCGGGAGGGGCTTGACACCGGACCGCAGACCGGGTACTTTGAGAGCCACGCACCTCGGCAGCTGCGCGATCTGCTTAATGATGCCGAGGATCAGGCGCCGAATCAGAGCTCTGCTGGCTGGTTCGGAGATGATGGCGATAGCGTTGCTACGGAGGAGGATGATCAACAAGAACGAGCCGAGCGTGTGCGAGATGAGCGGCTTGCTCAGCAGCAGCAGCAGCAGCAGCAGCCGCCCCATCAGCGACAGCAGATGCATGTGCAAGCTCCGTACCATCGACAGGAGCCAGTGCGGACGCAGTCGTATCAGCACCCGCCCTACCAGTTGGGACAGGAACGCGAATACGAAGCCAGCCTGCACGCGCAGCAGACAGCTTACCAACGTCGATCTGGTCAATATGATGCGTACGATCGTGACATGCCCTGGCCAGCGAGCAGACCATCGTCACAGATGCCAGGCTGGCAAGGCTATGGTCGTGCCCAAATGTACGAGCGGCCTCCTGCGCCGTACGAATCTCCCAGGTGGTCAGGACGAGCAGATCAGCCGCCAGCTGGTTACTATGACAGAAAGCCCGCCTACCCTAGTGAGCCTCTACCGCCGCCCGCGCGTCATCAACAGCAGACACAACATCACCAGCACCACCAACAGCATGATCACCACCAACACCAGCAACAAGCGCGATATAGCGATCGGTCTTACTACTGAGCGTTGTAGTGTGATTATGCAATAAGATCGTATGTGATGTCACATCAAGGCTGGTGTACATGTGGAATCAACGCATAGCTGTTGGTTGTTGTGTTGCAGGCTGGGCCGCCCGTGCCGGTGTTGGCGCTGGCTGAGCTGGATATGTCTGTGCTGCGTGAGAAGGGGCTGCAAGATCGGCTGAAGTGGCATGTGATTCGTGAGCGCGATCGCCAGCGGGTGATCCGTCGCTGTGAGTCGCCTTATTGGCGGTCCACCACGAGGATTTCTTGGAAGCGCCGCCGGGCGCTTTGGCTTCCTGGACTGTCTGCTGAGCAGCTGCCTGATTGTGCTCATGGCCTGCTGCCGCACCGCTAGGCAGAGATCATCAGCACTTCGTCCAGACGGACTGGTAGGAGACATACCCTTTGGCAGCGCGCTTGATGAGGAACTCTTCAAAAAGAAAGGCGTTTCTTGAGTTAGGCTTCCAAGCCGCATAGGCGATGTCGCCGACGATGGGTACGATGCCGATGCCTGTCGCGACAGCCTGATTGAACAGCATGTGCTGCTTGAGTGAGTTGGGCAGATCGCATTTTGTGGCAGGCTTGATGACGAGATAGTAGGACAGGCTGAGGTCAGCGACGTCGCCGACGACTGGGATGAGGCCAAGAATGGCAGTGTAGCCGAACCTGAAGCCGCAGAGACTGAATCCACGATCGAGTCGCCGAGCTCGACGTCTGATCTTGCCCTGCAAAGGCTCAATGGTATCGGCCGTAGAACGTCAATAGTACAGTGTGGAGAGCGTACGAGTATCTTTTGCTCCTGTTTGGTCAGACCCTCGGGCATTGGACGGTTGCGCCTCTTCTGCTTGCCCTTTGCGTTCGTATAGGTCTCATATCGGGGATCTGCAGGCTCGGCCGTCTTGAGATGATCGCCGAGTACCTTGCGCCCGATTTTGGTCGCTAGCGTGGATGCCATGCCTGACTGACACTACGGCAGCGCACTTCGATGGCTATGGATCGTGTCTGCGTTGCTACAAAGGCACTGTCTTGCAGAGAGAAGCGATTGATGACACAGCCCGGCGCACGGCACGTTGATTTGACGCGATGTCGATGACGCGCTTTGAATTTCCTGAAATCCTCGTCCGCCTGACCGAGTCGCCTGACCAGCCGGCCAGCGCTTGCAGCTCACAATGTCGGGCAGCAGCTCGGCGGTACGTCCCGGAGCCGCCGGAGGTGAATCTTCTAGCTCTATACAACGCGCTGCGGCGGGCCTGTTCAAGCGGAAGAGGCCAACGGGATGGCGGATACCGTCGTCTGCTAACAATGCCAATGGCACGGCGGAAGTCAAGGCGAAGCTCAAAGCCCTTGACGGCGGTAAAGTCAGATTGGATGCACCCGGGACACCCTGGCATGAACTCGACCTCTCCGAATCTTTCTTAGCAGACCTCCAGAACACCACCCGCCGTCAGCAATCGTGGTTCTACAAACGACGACTCTTCTTCCTCTTCGGCGGACTCCTCGGCGGTTTTGCCGGCTGGCTCTTCACCGGAGGCCCTTCCAACATGCTCTCGGGACTCGACTTTGGCGATCTGAGCATGTCACTCGGCGAACTGAGGAGTATCTCTGACCTCGCCGGCAATTTTGGTATCAACTTTGCCAATCTCACAGAATCCTTCACCGCCCCCGCTTGGCTACAGTCGAGAGACTTCAAGGTCGGCAGACAGGCCAGAGATGCAGGACTGACCAAAGAACACGCTGTCATGTTTGTGCCTGGCATCGTCTCATCCGGTCTCGAGTCTTGGACAGACTCCGAGGAGCATGCACCTTGGTTCCGGAAGAGGATATGGGGGACCACCTCCATGGTCCGCGCCATCATCACACAGAAGAAGGAATGGTTACGCGCACTCACCCTCGATCCCGTCACAGGCCTTGACGGGCCGGGCGTCAAGGTCAGGAGCGCACAAGGCCTCGACGCTGCCGCCTTCTTCGTGACCGGCTACTGGATCTGGTCAAAGATCATCGAGAACCTCTCTGTGCTCGGCTATGATCACAACGACATGCACATGGCTGCCTTTGACTGGCGACTGTCCTACGGCAATCTGCAAGTCCGAGACAAGCTGTTCTCTCGCATGAAGATGGCCATCGAGCACAACAAGCTCATGCTAGACAAAAAGACTGTACTCATCGGACACAGCATGGGCTCCCAGGTCGTCCTTTACTTCTTGAAATGGGTCGAAGCGGAAGGCTACGGCAACGGCGGGGATAAGTGGGTCGAGGACCATATCGCAGCCTTTGTCAACGTCGCAGGAACGATGCTTGGCGTGCCAAAGGCTATGTCAGCTTTACTCAGTGGTGAGATGCGCGATACCGTAGAGCTGCCTCCTGCTGGTGTCTACCTCCTCGAAAAGGTACTGCTCGCTTGCATATACACGTGGGCGACGTTTCTGAGTCTACTATCTAGTTCTTCAGCCGTAGGGAACGAGTGAGACTATTTCGATCATGGGCTGGCGCATCGTCTATGCTCATCAAAGGCGGTAATGCGGTCTGGGGTACGTCATCGGTCTGCGTCTCACGTCCAATACAGGCTGATCTATGCTCAGGCGATACCGATGGAGCGCCTGATGATCCTGAAAACGCGACGCTCTCGAATGCGTACATCTATTCCTTCAAGCAAGACGCCAAATCAGAGCTCAGTCACGAAAACGTCCGCCCCAACTTGACACTAGACGCCGCAATGACTTATCTGTTGCAACATTCGCCCGATTCCTATCAAAAGATGCTTGCCTCTAACTATTCGTTCGGACTCGAGCGAGATGTAGAACAGATCAAACGCAACGATAGAGATCCGCGCACGTGGTCTAATCCGCTCGAGGTGCGCTTGCCGAACGCACCTTCAATGTCGATCTACTGCCTCTATGGCTGGGGCAAACCGACCGAACGAGGCTACTTCTACAAAGCCGGACCATTAGAGGCAGGCGAGGAGCTTGGTACAGCCGCATGCACGGAGCCCGGTGGTAGCTGTGCAGTCGAAGACAGCAACATGACGTCCAGCAGTCCCGTGCAGCTCCCGACTCGGCAGCGGGTCTACATAGATAATGCCGTCAATCTGGAAAGCACAAGACCGCAAGTAAAGAGCGGCGTCCTGAACGGCGAAGGCGACGGCACGGTCTCGTTGCTATCGCTCGGTGCCATGTGTGTGGATGGCTGGAAGCGCGATCGCTACAATCCTGCCAGGATCCCGGTCACGACGCATGAAATCTTGCACAACCCAGAGCCTTTCGACCCTAGAGGAGGCGCGGGTACGGGCGATCACATTGACATTCTCGGCTCAAACGAGCTGAATAGGGCCATACTGCGCGTCGCTGCTGGGCAGGGCGAGCTTGTGAAAGACAAGCTCATCTCGCCCATCGTCAAATACGCTGCCAAGATCAAGTGGGATGCGCCCACTGATCCAATGAAGGAGCGCGTCGGCTAATCGCTGTACATGATGCCCACCATTGATGCTTGTACATAGATGCACCTCACTTATCAGACCGGCTAAATCGCAAAATGCAGCTCTGTACATGACTTGATACTTTCTAGCCGCTGCTGGACGATGTCTCGAGCTCCATCTCTGCTGTGGGAGACTTGCAGTACTCGACTGATCCACGCATGAGCAATATACCACGCCGTGCATGACCGTACTCGCCCTGGACGCCTTGGCAGAGCTCCGGAGATCGGACGGCTTTGCCGCCGCAGTTCATTGAAATTGAGCTCTTTGCGATTTTGACCAGCGCTGCAAATCTTGATGGTCAGCCCAAGCTCTCGTGAGATGGATGACGTGCGATCGGCTCGCGTGGGATCCAACCAAGCTCTGCAGAAGTAGATGAGTGCGAGCGCTGGTAAGCAGCGGTCAGCCTGCCTGATCATAATTGTGGCCAGACAGCATTCTCTGTACAAAGGTGATGCAGGGCGCTCCTCGTAGTCTGCCTGGAAATCGTAGACGGTTCCTTTGACCGGGAGACGCGTGATCGCCACCTGCGATGGCATGAACTCGCGCCAGGGATCTGTTACGGAATGGAATATGTACGGCCAAGTCAGGGATAGGGGTCTTTCCTTGACAAAATCAGCCACAATGCTTGAGGGGGATGTTGGGGCGTGACTGACGAGATCGAACGACCAGTCATCCGAGCCGCGCTTGATGACCGTCATTGTCTGCTCGCGCTAGCACGATGCGTATGAACACGGAGGCCAGAGACTCGGATGAGATGATCCTACCCATGCGGATAGTACGCCAAAGGGAGCGCCATTGCGAGGAAAACATGTCGTCTGTGTCAATCACGTTAGCTCATGGAGCACTTCATGACGGGGACTCTGGCGACTCTGAGACGGAACACGGCCGAATAAGAAGTAGAACCGCGGGCAAGCAGGGTGAAGTCGAGGGCGTCGTCAAGCGATCGCTCCTGAGAAGCAGCAGAGTCGAGCGGTGTGGCGAGCACCAGACCAGAAAGGAGTGTGGAAGCTAGGCCGAGAAAGACGGCCAAGAGCATCTGTACAGGCAAGGTATAAGAAAGTCCACGTCAGTACTTCAGTGGCGCGCAGAAATCATCGTGGCCTTCGTCGCGTAACCAACAGACAGCGCGGGCAAGGCAGCGAGCCAGCAGCGTGCCAAAGAGGCAGACGAGCTCGCTTGCTGACAGCATGGACGTCAACTACGAGGACGTGGAGGATCAAGGCAAGCAGCAGGAGTGCTACACTTGCCGCAAGCGGGGAGCTGACATGCCGTTTGAGCAGATGGCATCCGCCTCTCCTGGAATGTCTGGCCTTCCTCGCGCTTGGAGGCTACCAGGACGGTGGTACCCATCGCATGCGTACACACCCCCCTCAAGCCTCGCGAGGATCTGCCGCCAGTACTTTACGAGCCCGTGACGTGTCGTTCAGGCACCTGTCGCTCGATCCTCAATCCTCACTGCCAAGTCGACGTGAGGGCGAAGCTGTGGATCTGTCCCTTCTGTCTGAGCCGCAATCCCTTGCCGCCTCACTACAAAGACATCTCGCAAACCAACCTGCCGGCTGAGCTCCTGCCAAAGTATTCCACGATTGAGTATACCCTCGTCTCGACCCCCGTCAGGGTGCCCCCCATCTTCCTCTACGTCGTCGATACCTGTCTTGATCCAGAGGATCTCAAAGCGCTCAAAGAGGTCCTCATACTCAGCTTGAGCCTCATCCCGCCCAACGCGCTTGTCGGACTTGTCACCTACGGAACCATGGTAGGATGACCAGCGGCCCCCTAGTGTGCAGGCTGACAGTTTCCGCCCCAGACGCAAGTTCACGAGCTTGGCTACTCGGAATGCGCCAAGTCATACGTCTTCCGAGGTACGAAAGAATACGCGCCTGCGAGAATACAGGAAATGCTAGGACTCAACCAACTTCAGAGGCCTCAGCAACCCGTCATGAATCCTAATCTGCCTCCCGGTCAGCAGCCGCAGCTTCAACAGCCATCTGGCGGAGGCGCTGCTCGCTTCTTGCAGCCTATCTCTGCCTGCGAATTCCAGCTCTCGCTCATCCTTGAATCGCTCCAACGCGATCCTTGGTCAGTCGCAGCCGACCGCAGAGCTCAGAGATGCACAGGTGTAGCCATGTCCGTCGCCGTCGGTCTGCTCGAGACGACCTTTGCAAACACGGGTGGACGCATCATGCTCTTCACTGGCGGTCCTGCCACTGAGGGCCCCGGCATGGTTGTCGGCCAAGAGCTTCGAGAGCCTATCCGCTCGCACCACGACATTGATCGCGATGGCGTCAAGCACTTCAAGCGCGCGACCAAGGTGCGCCCGTCTTGCTGCTTCGATGCTCTGTCACTGAGCTTGCAGCGCACAGTTTTACGAGTCTCTTGCGCGAAGGGCTGCTACCGCTGGCCATGCCATTGATATCTACGCCGGCTGCCTCGATCAGGTCGGCTTGCTAGAGATGAAGTCGCTCACCAACTACACAAACGGGTACATGGTGCTCGCCGATTCCTTCACGATGGGCATCTTCCGTCAGTCTTTCCAAAGCACTTTTGACAAAGACGAAGACGGCAATCTGCTCATGGGCTTCAATGCCACGCTCGATGTGCAAACTACAAAGGAGATCAAGATCTCTGGACTGATCGGTCATGCTATCAGCGGCATGAAGAAGAACGCCTCGGTGGGCGAAACCGAGATCGGTATCGGCCAAACATCTCAATGGCGACAAGCGTCTATTACGCCTAAGACGTCCAATGGGATATATTTCGAAGTCGTTACTGCTTCTGGTCAGCCACCGTCGCAACAGAGAGGAATGATACAGTTCATCACACACTATCAGCACTCGTCTGGACAATATCGTCTACGTGTCACTACGCTCGCCCGCAATTTCGCGGAAGGCGGAAGTCCTGCCATCGCTGCTAGCTTCGATCAGGAAGCCGCTGCCGTTCTGATGGCGCGCATCGCTGTTTTCAAAGCCGAGATTGACGACAGTCCTGACGTGTTGCGTTGGCTTGATCGCATGCTGATCCGTCTCTGCCAAAAGTTTGCCGAATACCGAAAAGAGGATCCGACGAGCTTCAGATTGTCGCCAAATTTTAGCATCTATCCTCAGTTCATGTTTCATCTCCGAAGAAGTCAGTTCTTGCAAGTCTTCAATAATTCGCCCGACGAGACTGCATTCTACCGGTACGTCGTAAGCGCAGTCTCCTACCAATGTCGCTGACACATGACGCAGACATGTACTCAATGCTGAAGACGTCAACAATTCTCTTATCATGATTCAACCCACGCTTATGTCCTACTCGCTCGACAACGAGCCGGTGCCGACCTTGCTCGACTCGGTCTCGATCAAAGACGATGTCATCCTTCTCCTCGATACCTTCTTCCACATCCTTGTAAGTCGACAGCCCTGCTTTGGCGCTTCTACGCTGACTGCTCACAGATCTGGCACGGCGCAACGGTCGCTCAATGGCGCAAAGCAGGCTATCAGGATCAAGAAGACTATTCTCATTTCAAAGCTCAGCTTGAGAAGCCTCGTGAAGATGCAATGGTGCGCTCTAGCCTGGAACAGCTCGCTTGAGCTGACGTTCTGCGCAGGATCTCTTGACCGATCGTCACCCTGCACCTCGCTTTGTCAATTGCGACGCTGGCGGCTCACAGGCTCGCTTCCTACTCGCTAAAATCAACCCAACGTCGAACTTTGGCGGCGGTAGCTATGGCGCTGGCGGGTCGACAGATGCTGTCGTGCTCACAGATGACGTGTCGCTCCAGGTCTTCATGGAGCATCTAAGAAAGTTCGTTCTCTCTTACTACTTGGCGAGCATCAGCACGATGACTGACATGATGGTCAGGCTGGCTGTCAGTGGCACGAACTAGAGCTCTGCTGTATCAATGAATGTCATGACTCGTCTCATTCACTAGAGGTTCAAGCGCTCGCGCGCTCGTCGCGACATGCACGCGACCGATGCGTGATGCAAGGCGACAATTTCCTGCCGGCCTCTAGCCGTGGTTGAGTATTCGTGGACGAGGCTGTTCTTTCATTGAGGCTCCGCCATGGCGGCTTCGAGTGCGCTGGCGACGGCGTCAATCGGCGTACCGGCCGACCAGCTATTCAAGCGACTCGAGCTCATCGGCAGAGGCGCCTATGGATCTGTCTACAGAGCGCAAGCGCCCTGCTCTACCGCACTGAACGATCTGACCCGGCCGCAAGCAGGACACATCTTCCAACATCGACAGTCATCGCCCTCAAGGTGATGAACCTCGACACGCCAGACGATGACATTAGCGAAGTCCAGAAAGAAGTGGCATTGCTGTCACAGCTCCGTGACGCCGACAGGAACAACATCACACTCTATCACGGCTGCTGGCTTCACCGGACAGAGCTCTGGATCGCCATGGATCTGGCCAGTGGGGGCAGCATACGCACACTGGTCCGTCACTTCTTCGGGCGCGAGCCAGGAGCGAGCTTACCTTTTGGCGAGCAGATGAAGGCTGGCACGCTGCACGAGCGCTTCATCGTCATCATCGTGCGAGAGGTTCTCACTGCCCTCGCATACTTGCATAAGATGGCCATCATCCATCGCGACATCAAGGGCGCGTCACCCGCTTGTCGTACAGCACTGTGGCACGGCTGACTCGACTGAGCAGCCGCTAACATCCTGCTCACACAAACCGGACGCATATTGCTCTGCGATTTTGGCGTGGCGGCTCATCTTCAGCTGCACAGCAAACGCTCAACGTTCACAGGCACGCCCTACTGGATGGCACCCGAGGTTATCACTGAAGGCAAAATGTATGACACTCGCGCGGATATTTGGTCACTCGGCATCACTATCTACGAGATGGCGACGGGCAATCCTCCATTCGCAGACATGGAAGCAATGCGAGCAATTCAGCTCATTCCAAAGACACCCCCCGCCACACTCAAAGGTGGGTCATGGTCCGCAGCCATGCGAGAATTCCTTGCGAGTGCCTTGATAGAAAGTCCTAGCGAGGTGCGTTGTGCAGCTTCCTAGGAGTTCATCAAGCTTGACATGCAGTGCAGCGGCCGACAGCCGATGATCTTGTCAAGCAAAAGTGGATTAAGAGCCAGGCCAAGACGCCGCTGAATGTCCTGCGGGAGCTCATCAACCGCTATGCTGCATGGACAGCTGCTGGCGGCGTAAGACAGAGTCTTGCTGGCGCCCAAGATACTCCGGAGCTCGAGGAATCCGACTTTGACGGTGGCATCGGTTCCTGGGATTTTGACGTACGTGATCTACGACTCTGCAAGCAAGACAGCTGCTGAATGGCCCATTACAGAGCGCTGTCGCTGACACAGAGGAGGACACGCTGGGCACCGACACAGGATGTAAGTCAGCCGTGCTCGACTGAAACGCTTCGCAGCTGATTTGCATGGTAGACGCGAGCTCCGTTGCTGCGATCTCGCAGCCTCGATCGAATCCTTTGATGGGCCTCTTCGATAGCGACGAAAACGGTGCGACGACGTCACAGGCTCGGCCGTTCGCACTGCCGCGCTTGCCAGGTCTCAGCTCGCTCGCACCGCACTCGCAGGCCGATAATGAAATAAGCGCTCGGAGTATTCATCAAGATGCTTCCACGCGCGCAAAAGAGACGCTCAGACATAAGCCGTCGGCTATTGAGACTTCGTCTGCTGTTCTCCACGACGATCTTACATCGCCACTCACGATCCGGCCGTCGCCAAGACTAGAAGGCATGGCCATCATGCAGGCGGCATATGCTGAATCGAGATCGACTGATTCGCCGACAAGTGCCCACTCTCTCGACTCGCTGCACGGTCAGTATCGCGGCCGGGCGAACACGGCGCCGAGTCAAGCTGGCCATAGAGTCACTGGAAGCACTGAGCTTCGTTTCCCGCCTGTGCGAAATGCCAGCGCTTTGCCACCAGTACCTGAGAAAAGGGCTGTCGGAGAAAAACCGCTGTTGCTCGTTCAACAGCGTCAGAACAAGCTGAAGCTGGCGACCGAAGCCACGCGAGTCATGGCTGCACAATCGCCCACAATGTCTGTCGAGGAGGCATTCTCAGCGACATGGCCACACGGACCTGGCATCAAGGTGCTCGACTACAACGCACTTGCGTCTGCTGGGGATCTACAGAATGAACTTGACGTGACTCTGTCTGCACTGGGTGCTTGGCTGAGCACAGTCGACACAGGTCTTGGCATGCTCCTCGAGCAGCACGGCGCTTGATGAACAACCGCAGTCGATATATCGATGATCCGAAGCATCGACCCTTGTGGCAGGTTGGCTTAAACTGCTGACTAACCCCAGGACTCCCCGAGCGTTGCGAGACAGCCGCGCCTCGAAGGATCGCAGGACTTACCTGCAGCTCACAGTCGCAGATTACGCCAAGGTCGAATGCAGGAGAGAGGCGCTCCTCCTTATACGGAAGGAAGGGCAAGACGTTCATAGCACTGCCATGCCAGTAGCATAGTGACCCTGCCGGGGCGCGAAAGGGCCTATCAGAATAAACGCCAAGGCTGTCGTCTATATGTAGACAACGAATGATCCGTTGCGTCAAATGCATCTGCGACAGCGGTCCTCGTGATGTGGTACCGAAATTGCGTTTAAAAGACCAACGGACTAATCGACGCTTGATTAGTATTGCCGGATGGAGCAAAAAGAGTATGTGCTACTCGACGAGTCAAAAAGCAGCGTACCGGTATTGACCCGGCCCACCTCTCGATAGTAAGGACATTCATCGTTGCAATCGAGCGCATCACCATCCTGCTCACGCTGCACTAATTGTTCAGGTCTGGGCTGGCGCGGATGTAATATATATATCTCAAGTTCTCAAGACACTCAAAGCGTCAAACCCAAGCTGATCACGATGTCGGCGTCGCATGGGCCAATTGCCGAGTAGCTCGCATCAGGCGGCGAGTAATGGGCCAGCCGATCTCTATGCTACACTCGGCATCGATCGAACAGCCTCTGAGGCCGAGATCAAGAAGGCTTATCGAAAGCTCGCCTTGACGGAGCATCCTGACAAAAACCGCACAGAGGGTGCCAGCGAGCGATTTGTAGTGATACAGCAAGCATACGAAGTCTTGTCAGACGCGCAAGAGAGGGCATACTATGATCAAAACTACAGCGACTTTGTCGAGGGTGTCGGTCAAGGGGAGAACACTCATGACTTGGACCTGGCAGATCAAACGACAAGGGCTCCCAACATTTCGAAGCGTCAGCTCATGCGCTTCTTCACGGCCGATGCCTACAAAGGCTTCGAAGATTCAGACGCTGGCTTCTTTGCAACTTATCGCACTCTCTTTGAACTTATCGCCAAAGACGAAACACTCGCGAGGCCGTATCCTGGCGAGGCCGCGTTGGCCGATGCTCCTTCCTACCCGAGTTTCGCATACTCAGCTACACCGTACGAGCCGTCTTTGCGCAACTTCTACGCCACCTGGCTCAATTTCACAAGCCGCAAAAGCTTTGCAGGCGTCGACATGTACCACGCTCAAGATGCGCCTGATCGACGTTACAAACGCGCCATGGAAAAGGCTAATGCCAGGGCGCGGGATGTCGCTCGTAAGGACTATAGTCAGACAGTGAGGTCGCTGGCAGCCTTTGTCAGAAAACGAGATCCCCGTTTCCTGGCTTCTGATGCAGCCGACCCTATGAAAGCTCGAGCGGAAGAAGCACAGAAGTCGCGCGAAAGCATCCGAGCCGCAGCAATCCTACGCGCTGCAGAGGCTGAGAAAGCTGCGGCAGAGTATCGAGCTCAGCATTGGCAAGAAGATCTAAAGGATCCCGAGCAGCTCATCAACGGCGAGTACGTCGGTGACCAGCCTGCTGACGAGTCTTCCGAAGCAGACGAGGCTTACTGGTGCGCGGCATGCGACAAGACCTTCAAGACGGAGGCTACTTGGTCCAATCATGAACGATCAAAGAAGCACAAGCAAGCAGTCATGCGTCTCAAGCGAGAAATGAGCCTCGAAGACAACGCACTGGACCTTAGCTCGCACTCTTCTGCGCAAGCTAGCGAGTCGGTGACGCCAGCCAAGCGTACAGATGCTTCAAGTTTAGATATGCAAGGCAAATCACTTGCAGACAGCCTAGCAGATCTCAACTTACGAGCATCAGACGAAACTGATGCGGATCCTGAGGGGTACGCCGCCATTTCGGCTACTGACGAGCCATGCAAATTCGACACATTGATCGAAGAAAGGACGCACTGTACAGACCAGCCCGCTGAGCATGCCGCAGTGTTGCCGCAAGGACATTTGCCTGCAAGTGCTGCAGATGTGCAGCATTCATTGGCAGTCGAATTGCCGACGAAGCGGGAAAAGAGACGAGCAAAGGAGGCAGCCAAAAAGACCAACGCGGCAGATTCTGTACGTCCATCTGCCTTTGCCGTGCATGTGAAGCTAAGTTGTCGCAGTCCGCGGTCTGTAATGTCTGCCAGGAAGCCTTTCCCTCACGAAGCAAGCTCTTTTCGCACATCAATGACACCGGCCATGCTGCTGCCGAGACCAAGGCAAGCACCAAAGCATCAAAAGCAGGACGGAGACGGTGATCGACTGTCTATGCATTGGAAGCGCGATCTAATCGTACTTGCGGAACCCTTCGCCTGTTTTGCGACCAAGTTTGTTCTCCTTGACGAGCTGCTCGAGAAGGGGACTTTCCTTGACCGCCTCTGCGCTGATCTCGCCCGTCTCAACGCGCGAGTCTCGCCAGCCTCGTGATCTACAGGCCCAGTCAGCATCCGAGGGAGCGTGACAGGTGTGACGCACATGTGCGACAGTGTGTCTAGACCGACAAACTGCTCGTTTGTTCGTCAATGGTCAATGCATGCAGAGCGGTCGATAGCTCACGTCTGAGAGTTCGAAGGGGCCCATCGGATAGCCTGCGCCAAGCTTCATAGCGACATCAACGTCCTCTGCCGAGGCCTCGCCTCGCTCGACCATGCGGACCGCCTCGAGCATATAAGGCACGAGCAATCGATTCACAATAAAGCTAGCGTGGCTCAGCCCGGTAAGGCAATCTCAGCCAGGACGACGTACCCTGGCGTATCTTTGCAGGAGACGGCAGTCTTCTTCATGCGCTTACTGAGATCAGCGAGAGCTCGATATGTCTCCTCGCTGGTCTTCTCCGTCTTGATGATCTCGACGAGCTTCATCTGCAAGCAAGGGACGTGAGCCAGCAGGCGGCTGAGCGGGATCAGGCTTACCTGAGGCGGCGGGTTGAACCAATGCCAGCCTATCCACTGTCGGCTTGGCTCGGTCGATTGTGCAATGTCAGTGATGCTCAGACTGGACGTGTTGCTTGCAAAGATGGCATCCTTTGGCGCCGACTTGTCAAGCTTGCTGAACAGCTCTTGCTTGACCTTGATGTTCTCTACGATGGCTTCGAGAACGAGATCGGACGACTTGACTGCTTCGTCTGGGCTTGTGCTCGTGCTGATGTTCTCAAAGACTTTGTCGATCAACGACTTTTGGGCTGCCTCGTCTTCAGGGTGCGCTTTCCTTGCTATCCTCGTGAGTGATTTTGTGATGATCTTCTTGCCGTTCTCGAGCGCCTTGTCCGAGACATCCGTCATGACGACCTACAATGGCTCAGCGGGAGCTCTGTGCCGGGCTGGGGACTCACCTTGATGCCGTTTTGAGCTGCGACCTGGACGATACCGGCGCCCATGAGACCGGCTCCAAAGACTGTCATGTGATTGATGTCTTTCTGCAGTGCTGCCGAAGTGGCGAAGCTTCTGCGCACAGCGCATCCTTGCAAGCTTCTCAAAACGCTCGGCCGCAACATTCTTGGTGATAACATGCTCGCCGCCGCTGGAGAGATTGGTGGTAGTCGCGCCCCGTACAGCTGCGGGGACCAGCAGCCTGCCTGCATATCACGTGACCGAGATGTTGACTGACGTGCACGCGCTCAACCTCACGCTGCCCTGTGAGCTAGCGCAACAGTCTGTCAGCGAGAGTGTTTCATCATGGCTATCGACGAGAATGTCGACCCTCGTGCTCGCGCTATCGCCATGGCAGGCGGTCGTCGGGCCGTGTCGAGTGGCTTCATGACCAGCGAAAGGACTCCAGCCGGAGGCACACACAGCACGTGGAGAGAGCCTCGTACGCACGGACAAGTCAAGCCCAAGCCGGCCCCGCTACTACAGGGAGGATACACCGCGGGCTTGTTTCCTTTGACGACATCGTCCTTGCTCGTCGGCGACCGGCAGCCGACGAACGGCAAAGAGCAGCTACACCCATCTCGGCCGGGCTTGGCGCAGTCAAGGTCAAGTTCGAAGGTCAGCACGAAAGAAGCCAGGATAGAAGATGCCCTCTCAGACATGAACATCGGCAATGTAAAGCAGACCGACAGAGGTGAGCCCCTCACAATCTAGATTGTCATCATAACAGAGCTCACAAACGACCACAGACGAAAGAGCCTTAGGTAAGGGACGACCCCCCTCGATGCAGCCACTTGGCCCAATAGACAATGTCGTCGGCCATTCACCCGTCCGACGCCTGGTCAGCAAAGGGCAGACTGCATCTGGCGCTCGCGCGCAAGCCGAAGTGACACCTCCTCAGCGCAAGAGGAGCGCACGCGCTTCGCCTCAGCAGACACCCCAGGCTGCAATACATCATCAGCCGGTCAACAAACCCGTCTCGAAGCTCACAGAGGCGCATGGATCCCCGCCTCGCATCATTAAGCGCAAAGACGGCGCGATCCTCAAGCGTGGTCGAATGCTTGGAGAGGGCGGCTTTGCTCGTGTCTACGAAGCCTTTCCTACTCTCGCCTCCTCACCCGTTGTCAATCATACGCCGGGATCAGTTGATCGAATCAGGATCGATAAACAAGGCGAAGTCAAGGCGGTCAAGGTCGTTTGCAAGCAGCAACTCAAATCCGCAAAGAACAAAGCAAAGGTGACGTCTTGTTGATTCCCTCACTTTATGGGCTAACATCTTGGCAGCTCTTTACTGAGATCAAGCTGCATCAATCGATGGCGCACCCCAACATCGTCCGCTTTGACGACTGCTACGAGGACTCGTCTTCGGTATACATGGAGCTCGAATACTGCTCTTTAGGCAGCATGAACGAGTTGCTCAAGCGACGTAAGCGATATCAGGAGCCCGAAGCACGGTACTATCTCGTACAGCTCATCGGCGCTTGCGATTATATGCATTCTCGCTCGGTCATACATCGTGATCTTAAGCTCGGCAACATCTTTCTCGACGGCAACATGGATCTTCGTGTCGGCGACTTTGGTCTCGCCGCCCTGGTCCGCTTTCCTGGTGAGCGTAAGACGTACGTCACCTCGTTTGCGAGTACCGTGAGTAACAACTCATCAATCTGCGCAGGACGATGTGTGGCACGCCAAATTACATTGCGCCAGAAGTCCTCTACAATTCAGGGAGCGGACACAGCTTCGAGGTGGATGTCTGGTCGATCGGGGTCATACTCTATACGCTCATCATCGGTCGTCCACCCTTCCAGACCAAAGAGGTAAAGGCAATCTACGATAATATCCTCAAGACGCGTTACGGCTATCCGGAAAACGTTGCCATCAGCGACGAAGCAGTCGATCTCATCAGCAGCATACTTACATCAGCAGACCAGCGTCCTACTCTCGCGGACATCCTGGCACATCCTTTCTTTACATCCGGTCCTTTTCCACCCAGGATACCCACGGGAGCCTACCATGGCCTCGTCGACTACAGTGGCATCACGCCAAGAGAATCAGCAGATAATTTTGAAGCTCTGAAGCGGATTTGCTCAGCTCATACTTCGATACCCAGCCAGAGGACGCATTCTCGCAGCCCTGTGTCGGAGGGGAGGACGCCGCCAAAGGAGCCGAGGATCGTTCCCGCGCCGGCTGTCGAGCAGCAGGCCCAAGCGATGGAGCGCGAAGTCCAAAAGGCCCTCGCGCCAGACAGTCCCGTGTCTGACCTCATCAAATCTGCAAGAAAACCCCTTATGGTATCCTCGCAAGCCGCAGAATTCGGCAGCAGCCGCGGTCAGCGCAACAGCAGACGCACTTCTGCTTCGCCTGGACAGTCAGCAGCAGCATCGCCTACAGGCGGCAAAGGCGCTGCAGCGCATGCAGATGAGCCCGAGCGGGCTCAACGCGGTCTGTTGCGGCGCGCAGTCACCCAACCGAGCCCGTCAAAGCCGTCCGAAGTCTCGCCAGGCCAGCCGACTCTAGCCGGGTCACTTCGGACAGTGCCAACCTCTCTAGCCGGCTCGGTACACTCCGAGGCACCTTTGCCCGCGAAGGAGAAGAAGCCCGCCCCGACCGAAGCTCAGAAGGAAGCTGCTGATCTCGACAGTCACGGTCCTACGCGTATTGAGCAAGCTGGATCAGGCCTGTATGCAGCATATGCCTCCGCTCTCGGCGATGCACTGGCGTGTGACAGCCCGGAAGCCATCGAAGCTTTGCCAATGCTAGGTGCGTCAGCTGAAAGGAGGTAACGGCGCCCGGCTGACGTGGCATTGCAGGAGCAGCAGCACAGCAGCCGCGCGTCTTCATCACGTCCTGGATCGACTATCGACACAAATACGGCCTCGCATATCAGCTCTGCGATGGCACGAACGCTGTCCAGTTCAACGACAACTCGAGCATCGTGTTGTCACCTGATCGCAGCCGCTTCGACTATCTTTTCCATCGTAAGGGATCAAATTATGTCAGATGCAACTACGACAAGGGATCGCCACCAGCAGACCTCGCGCGCAGGGTCAGTCTGCTGGATTATTTCCAAAACTACATGAACAAGGTGCTGGAGCGACACGAAGAATACGCATTCAAAGATGGACGACAGAAGGACATGCACTTTCTCGTCAAGTACTTCAGGCTAGAGCAAGCTGGCGTCTTTCGCCTCAGCAACGGTCTTGTGCAATTCAACTTTGCAGATCATGTCAAGATCTTGCTGTCTTCTGATGCGCAGATTGTGCATGTCATCGGCAAGGATTACCAGCTGTCCTCCCATACGCTGCGAAGCATCATGACGACTGCACACTCGTTCGGTCTGCTCGCGTCTATCGCTTCGGCTTCTGGCAGCATGCAAGAAGGTCGACAAGAGTGCAGTGACTTGCTGCAGAGACTGCAGACATGCTGCGAGATGCTGACGCTGATCAGTCAGCGCAAGACCGCCCCGAGAGCTTGATTCTTGTAAAACCACTGTAGCATATCATGCAACAGGAGCTACTCAAATGACCATATCTGCACTAGACTCGCATTGACCGTGGCTATGCTTGTGTCATTGAGCGCAGGCGGTCGCTTGATCTTGCGTTCCATCTCAGTTGCAAAGAGCTGATCACGGACATCCGCGTCAGTGAAGTGCACGAGCTCGAGCATAATTGCGACTTACGGTAGCGTAAGCATGATCGAGAAAATCTTCGAGATCGTACTCCGGTCGCACGAAAGGCTCGCTGAAGATTTTTGCGAGCGTGGAGATGCTAGCGAGGTAGTGAGACTGTAGCGCAGCAATCTCCCATAGCGAGGTAGCGAGCGCGTTGGTCTCGAGAGGATCTGGCTCTTGCATATCGAACGGATCACCTGCGACGTCATCTTCACGATGAACCATGACCATGCAAGCTGGGTGACGCTTGAGCAGGTTGTAGACAAAGGGCAGAATGGTGATGATCGCAGCGGGCGGCGCGGATACGCTGAGGCGAGCCAATCGCTTTGCAAAAGAAGCGACCAATTGCGCAGGGAGCAGCCTGCTCACGACAATGAGTTTGTGATTCTGACCGAGTATGTGCACTTACGGTGATGCAAGGAAGGTGTCGAGCATGCGGAAGAAGCGCGGCCGGTAGCGAGTGTGCAGAACCTGTCTGTCCAGGAGCGCATAGAGTCGCTTATAAAAACTTGGGTAGTCTCTGAGCAGAGATCAGCTCGTGCTGGCGGCAAGGGAGAGAACGCACAGATTATGGTGGACAATGAGCGTAAAGAGGCCGTTGAGAGCGAGCAAAGCCGTCGTGCCACCTGACTTGATCGTCAGGGTCTGGCATGAGATGATGCAAAGAGGTCTGACCTCGATCGCATGCGTCTGAGAGGAAATCCATGAGCGCCGTCGGACGGCTCATGTGAGGAATGACGGAGCGATGCAATATGGCGAGCACGCGCTTCAGGTCGTCTTCGAGATGGAGAAGGGGCAACAAAGCAATCCATGCTTGGGCAAAAGCTTTCTTGTGCTGGACCAGACTGAGTAGCTCAGGCAAGCGAGCTTGAGCTCTGCGACTGAGCCGACGAGCAGCAGGATCATCCGAGCCAGAATCTGACGGATCGTCAAAGATACCCGTGCTTTCGTCTTGGCCGTCTTGCTCGCCAGCTGGGATGTCTTGATCTCTCTTGCGCTTCTTGCTGTCTGTGGCTTCGACAGCCGGACGAGCGAGAGGTTTACACGTCCAGAAAGCGTCGAGCTCGGATGATTCGGTAGGCATACTGCTGAGGCCTTCAAGGAATGCGAGCGCTGTGCTGGTGAACTTGTCGAGTTGTGCAGGGTCAAGCTGGTCGCGCGTGGCCTGCGCTTGCTCGCTGTGGTGTGCGCAGATCAGTCAGTTTATTGTCAAAGCAGGCATCTCGGCCGTACCTGAGCGCACGCAAGAAGTAGAGCCGAATGTCATCGTAAAAGTTGAGATAGCGAGTGAGAAACTCGAGACGCAAGTCTGGCGCGATCGTGACATGTTTGCTCGATCCTTCTGGCCGCACAGGCAGCAAGAGAGCTTGCATGATCTTTGACCAGAGGCCGGCCGCAAATTGATAGGCAGGCGGCCTTTGCAGAGACGAGAGCTGCTCTGACTCTGTTCTCAGGAGATCCATGAGGATATTCAACGAGGCGAGCTGCAGGGTTCGTGTATGAGCGTTCGACGCCTTGCCGGGCGAATGATAGCTCACTCTGATGGCCTTGTCGTCGTGATGGAGCATCGCAGCGAGCGAGCTCACAAAGGCTTGGTAGCGAGCTTTTAGCCAGTCCCTGACTGTTCTCGCAGCTCCCTCTCGGTCGCTCGGGAGCCTGCCGTGGAGTCTCCCCCTCCGTATGAGGGAAGACAAGATACGGTGGAGCGAGTAGACTGCTGCGTGGGCCGTCTCTGCGCTCTGAGGGGAGGATGTGGCCGAGTGGAGCGAGTCGAGGAGATCAGAGAGAGGATTGAGGTTGTTTGGCTGTGACTGCAGGCTGGCCTCTGCGGTGGCAATAGCGGGCAGTCTGGCCTTCTCCGACGGCTTCTGGGCTCCCACCCTGCCCGGCATCTTGCTCCCTGTCGATCCTCGTCCTGGTCGACTGCCACGCAAATTTATGAACGACAACGAGCCCAGGCACTGCGCAACGGCAGGCAGAGGCTAGGCTCGGCTCGGCTCACACTGACAAGCTCGAGTCGATCGTAGCACAGGCACAGTGACGACCGGGCTTGAGCGCGGCCATGCTGGACGGATAGTCCCTCCATGCGCCCAGCCAGCCAGACAGACAGACAGCGTTCCCTTCGCCCGCAGACTCAGCTGAGCCGGCAGGGATGAGCAGTCCACTGCCTCCACCGCCCAGACGGAGGCTCAGAGTCACTCCCTCTGGGCCAGTGGACATTGCCTCGAGGGCAACGCCGCCTGGCCTGCCTCACTCGACAAGCTCGCCTGCCTTGCTCAGGGCGAACAGCTCGACCAGCCTCACTTCACTCACCAGGCCGGGCAGCGCAATGAGCCTTGCCTCTGCCCCCACCACGGCCCCTACAGGATCGACCGTCTCCATCGCATCCTCGCCCGTCAGCCAGCCGGGTGGTGCTGCCAGGGCGAGACAGTTCATCCAGAGGCCTTACCCTTCCAGCACGGCGCTCTCAGATCCCTCGTATCCAGTCCTGCCTCAGCGGGTCTACGCTCCTGTCACACTCACAGGCAATACATCCAGTGGCATGTCCCTCCTCGTCCCCACCGCCTCATCGTCCAGCCCACCCGGCGCGTCTGCAGCCTCCAGCTCGACATCCCCCGCGCCAGAGTCGGCCGCTCCCGCGAGTGCCGCGACAGCAGCAGTCGTGAAGCGCAAGAAGAAAAAGAAGAAGATCGCCATCACCCCAGAGATCAGCCAGGCCGTGCACAATGTCGGCCTTCCCACTCAATCTGTCCCCATGGACCTCGATCCACCCGCCACAGCGCCCTCGCCCAGACCACAGCCACCTCTGCCCCCGCGCCGCAGGTCAGATACACAGCTGACGCGAGCACCGATGGCCTCCTCTGCCTCGCCTTCGCCAGGCGCAGGTGAGTATCAGCTTGTCACCCTCACTGTTCGACAGCTGACGCTCATTAGCTGCACCCGCAGCGAGCATACCTACCAGGACGCGCCCGGCCACCTCCGCATCTGTGACGACCTCTTCGCCTGGGCGGGCGCGTTCAAGTGGTCCGGCGATCGTGCCGCTTGCCTCGGCAGCTTACTCGTCAGAGGCAGGCCAAGCAGACGAACCTCCTCCGCCGCCCTGGAGTGCTCCCGACCGAGAGCTCGTTTGGTCCTCGACGGAGCAGCCGCTCACCTTTGACCCTCAGATCCCGTCAGAAATGACCCAGGTGGCTCCAGTCCGCCACGACCAGGCTAATGTTGCCGGCGTCAGGCTTGCTGATGCCGCTGAGCTGCCTAGCAGCCCACCGCCGCAATTCGACTCTCTCCCACCTTCACCGGTGGCCTCAAGGGGACCCACACCGCCGCCAGAAGCGCGCCTGCCGCGGGATTTGGATCCTTCGGGCCTGCCTGTCAGAGACGACGCGACGCTATCAGCTACAGAAGTCTCGACGATGGCCGTACTCGCATGGGAACAGGATCGCCTGAACGGCTTGCCCCTTGAACAGCGTACACAGCGCGAACGGCAGCGTCGCCGCAGGAGCCTCGACAGCTTCCTCGAGAGCCAACGAGCGGCTTATTATGCTTTCGAAAGAGCGCAAGAACGAGCTAGCATCCCGCACACAGAATCTGTCGCGACAGATCAACACCCTGGTGAACCGCCCAGGCAGCGCCAGAGGCTACAGCTATCCGAGATCGACAGTCGCACCACCACCGACCACGAAGAATCGCATGGATCTGCCGCAGAGGAAGCTCGCTTACCAGGCGCATTCATCACTCGTCAGCCAAGGGCTCGGAGCTCACGGTTGCGTGCAGCGACCCACGCTGCTGCTCGTTCGGATCCTTCGATAGACGACGATGTGCTGGTCGAGCGACTGAGCAATAGTCTTCCGAGCGCGCCACACCCCGTCGTCACCCAGCGTGTAGCGAGCCTAACCGATGTTTCACAAGCACAGGCAGCCCCCGCGGCCCAGGCAAGTTCGCGTCCTCTATTCGGGGGATCATTCTTTGAGGAGGCGCGCTACGGTCCCACCTCTCAACATGCCGTCTCTGGGCACCAGGTCGAGGGAGTGCATCCGCTAGATTTGTCGGCCGTGCCGCAGGAGGAAGAGACCCTGCGATCGCCGTCGTACCTGGAGCTGCATCCAGGCTTCTCGGGCCCAAGCTTGTCAGACTCGCTAGCAGAGCAAGGCGCGCCTCATCTGCCAACCTTCGTCGATAAGACGCTGGCTGACAAACAACCGGCGGATCCTGTTGTGACTCATCGCGCAAATAGCCTGGCTTCAACTCCAGAAGCATCCGAGCCATCGACCGATAGTGAGTCGCCCTCTGCCAGAAGCAGCACGACGCCAGAGGATCCTGTGACAGCAGCCGTTAACAATGCCGGTCGTCTGTCAGCAGATGTCCACCGCTATCCAGTCCTTGGTCTGCAGCGCGCTCCGAGTCGGGCAGAGCAGATGGCCGAAGGCCGACGAGCGTCCATGCTCCTCACCCGACCTCTCTCAACGCGCCGGCCTCGACCTCCATCACGTAGATGGGGCATGACATTTGAACAATTCGAGCGTCCCGTGGAGCAAGCCAACCCGAGCTTGCTCTCTTATATTCCTTCGGCTGAACGAGATTCCTTGCCAGCGCCATTACAGCCTCGTCGACTCAATGCTCTCACTGAGAGCGACACGTCGCTGTCTGATGCGCCTGATCATATGGAGCTCAGCGGCGTGCAGACTCTGATCAGCCGATTCGAAGCCGTGAACGCCGTCCGCAGCTCTCCTGCTCCCACGCCGCCTGTGTGGAATCGGAGGCACGCACGCAATGCATCCGCGCGGTCATCAGCAACAGTCACAGCATCGGAACCCATACAAGTCACGTTTGCACCGCCGTCTCATCATCCACCGCCTCGTCCGAGAGGCCCTCGCGAGCGGCCCGGTAGTGCGAATGATATCTCGGCGCCTGTTGCCACCCGGCACATTACGGATGAGGCTATGCCGACGACAGAATTAGCGTCCATGTCTCTGTCCGAGCCACTTGCCGCAGCCAACAGCACCGCGCGTATCGCGAGCACTAATTTGCGTCGGCAGAACTCTGTCGCAATCACCGATCTCGACCTACTTATATCTCGCATGGACAGCAACACTGACGGATCGAATTATGAAGTATGTTGCGACTTGTCAGGCCAGGGTTTTCGCTGACAGTTCTGCAGCAATTACTCACGCTTGGGGAGATGATCGGTGATGCAGATGTAAACCGTACGGATGAGGCCATCCTGTACGTTGCAAAGATCGAGCTCGGCATGCGACGACGCGACGCTGCCGGCAAGGTCAAACAGAAACTGTTCTGCGCAGGTAAGTGCTTCGTTCTGAAGATTGGCAACATTGACATCGGCCAAAGGGGTCCGCGTCAACAAATGCAGCATCTGCCTCGTACAGTTCCGACCGGAGGAGTTGGCTGCCATGCTGCCCTCTTGTACTCACGTCTTCCACTGCGGCTGCGTTCAGAAATGGCTCAAGCGCTCGCATCAATGCCCTGTCTGTAGGGCGTAATGCGCCAACAAACTGTTGTTGCATTGTTGACCGTCTATTTCACTTCTGTACTATGACCGGCACACCATATATGACCGAAGCCGCACCGTTGAGATAGCGGAGTCTGCAGACAGATCTCGACGCTGACAGAGCCTTAGGTAGACTCAATCCCTGACTGCAGAAGCCCAAGGCCTCGCCAGCAATGTCGAGACCAAAAGCCGCCATTGTGGCTTTGGCGAGCTTGTCAATATCCTTATCAGTGACGTCCCACAGGTTCGCAAGAACACATGGGCTGCCTGCAGCGAGATAGTGCCAAGGCGTGCCAGTACTGTCGTATTGCCCCTGTCGCCTGAGAGCACCCGAAGAGCAGCCCCAGAGCATGGCAACGGCGCATTTGGAGAGCTGCCTGATACTTCTCGAGCTGATATACTGTTCGCCACCGCCGTGTCCGAAGTACCTTTGCAAGCAGTCAGCCGGTGTCCTCTTCGTCAGACGTTCTAACTCACAAGAAGAGGTCATTTTCGCGCAGGGCTGCCTTGAGCTCCTCCTGACTCGGTGCTCTGTTTGCAATCTGATCCCATGCGTTGCGATTGAGATCGTCGACGAAGGCGCTTGCCGTATTTTTGAGATCCTGGCTGGGATTGAGCACGGCAAAGACACGTCTTGCGTCGATCTGATAGCGTGCGTGGCTGGATAGCTCTTCAACATTGGCGTGCCAAGCACCATGCATGTCGAGACGATCGCGCAACGCAGCGAGAGACGAGAGACGTGTGACTGATCGACCTTGTAATACTTCCAGAGATTCCCATGGTAGTGCGGCGAGATGTTTGTCAAGGATCAGGTATGTATGCGCGTCTTCGCAATCAGCAAGTGACTGCACTTTCGGGCGTTGCAAAGGCGCGAGAGCTGCTTTGATGTCACACATGAGCTGATCGGCATCGAGCTCGTCATATGCGATGGGCAGGCCGCAGAGGTGGACTGAATCGATCAGCAGGTGGACAATGTCCTCAAAGTCCTCATCTTCGCTTTCGCTAGATAGCTCTGCCAGACATTCGACCAGTTCAGCCGGTAGCATCAGATCTTTGGTGACTTTTCGGCTCGTCGATGACAGCGCTGCCTTGATGTGTGACAGGATACTGTCTTTGACGCTTGCAAGCAAGGAGGCATCGATATGCAGGCGAGGTGGCAGAAGCATGCACTGCATCTCCTTGAGCTCGTGAGAGCTCGATGCGGCGAGATCCATACCTTGTAGGCGCCCAGCCAGCGCTGCTCCAAATTTGCCAAGAGCTCTCCGAGGCGAACATCTAGTGCTTGACGGATCTGCCACCAGGATTTCCGGGTTTCCTTCGTATCGACCGTCTTGGCAGCTTGTGCTGTCGCATTTGCTTCGGTGATTATAGATTTGAGCTCATGCATACATGCGGCAAAGTCGAAAAGCTCGTCTTCGTCCTCGTTCTCGCGCTTGCCCATACGATCCAGAGGAAGTCGAAGAATGACAGGTATCCGGTGGGGTACATGCCGAATCAGGATCAGTGCGTCTGCTTGCTCGTTCATCTGCAGAGAGACAACGATCGAGTCATGCGGCAATCGCTTCATTACCTCGCTCGCGTCGCAACCTTGCCAATGTTGGAGGTACTGCTTCGATAAATTGGCCCAGTGCAGCTTCATGGGGTCATCTGTGACCAGTGGACGCATCGAGCTTGACAGACTTGGCCAATTGGACTTGCACAGCGCAGTCGTTAGGCACTTGCGCGCAAGCACGCCTGTCATTTCCCTGTTGAGAGTGATGGCGGTTGCATAGTCTGCTGTCTAGTCATATATAAAGATTTCCAACGCACACGCAGCGAACGTACCGAGGTTGTGCAGTACAGTCATAGAGGTATCAATGCCATGCTGCAGAATCCGATCGACAAGCCAAGCATCGAGCACAACGAGAGCATCGCGCTGCAATGTCGAACTTGATGCAAGAAGTAGCTCAGCCAAATAGGCTTTGACAAGATCGCCAGCAGCCTCCTTGCGTATGGAGCCGATGCGGCTGCCAAGCCCAGCCGCTGCTTGCAAAGCTGCGGGAATCATGCTGGCTGCTTCTGAGAGGGTCTCACGACGTCCCTTGAGAATCTTCCTGCTCTCTAAATCGCTATGTCTGAGCATTGCAACAATAAACCGCGTTTGTAGACGTCGAGTAACCGAGCAGTATTTTTGCAAAGCGCTCAGAGGCGAGACCAAGTGTTGTGCTTTATTGCCTGCGCGCGCGAGCCACGCCATGCGCCACAAAACGTCAAAGGTCTCATCCGAGAGCGCATGTCGGATGTTGGCAGTAGTCTGCAATTGCGACCTATTAGGACTGGGAAACGTAAGCAACAAAGAGTCGGTATCCTCTGCCGAATGCGAGACAGCCGCATGAGCCTGATGCAAGAAGCGCTCTGTCTCTGCAGACGATCCGGCGAGCGAGCTCTCAAGGAGCAAAAGACTTGCTGGCATATGATCGAAGCGCGCCGCTATGCGCCTTGCTGCTCGCCTGTCTTCGATTGCCATAGTAAGATCGTCAGCATCATATGCAAGTTGGCCGCGCGCGCAAAGCAAGCGGAGTGAAATTCGATCGAAGCAAAATGCTGTGGCGCATTCCAGAGCTTGACTGAGCGCATGGATGGCCAGTCTGACCGAACCTATGCTCTGATACATTTCAGCCGTGAATCTGGCAGACTCGCAGAGACCTTGTGCGATCTGCCAGGTCACACAAGATACATTGAGGATCCGACGGCTGAAGTGACGATCCTCGATGCCGTCTGAGATGTCCACATGCTCGAGAACAGATCGAGCAGGACGCTGACGCGCCGTATATCGCGAGATCAGACCGAGCGCATTACCGTATATGCGAGAAGCGGCGAGAGCAGCTTGAAGTGCCTCATCCATCTTGCCGGCAGCTGCCGATATGTGCGCCGCGACCAGATTGCTGTATGCACAAACGTCTTGATCGGCAAGTCGCCATTCCTGTCTATCGCCCACGCGTTCGGCCGACAGCGTCGTGTAGCATTCATACGCCGCTATGTGAGACTGAGCCGCGGTCTGCGCGCTGACATATAGAGCTGCTACAAGCGAAGAGGTGAGATGAAATTGACAGAGCATGAGCGGTGTTTGGCCTTCAAGCCGAGTCTGAGAAGCTTTAAGCAGATCATCGGCTTTACTAACGTTCTCTGCGCGTGCGTATGCACGGGATAATCTGATCGAGGCCGCGATGAACAGAGACCGGCTCGAGGCATCTTGACATTCGGCAGTACATCTGCGCAATTGACGTAGGACTTTGAGAGCGCCAAGGCGGTCACCTGACACCTCTGCAATGTCTGCAAAATGTAGCAGCTTGTCGTAGCAGCCGATGCTACAAGCAACAGGCAGATGCGATGGCGCCGCAGCCAGTCCAGACTGTGGTGCACGGCTCGTTTGCTTATTGTGCGGTCCCAGGGACGGGATTTTCGGGCTAGCGGACGGACTGAGGGCCATCTTGTCGATCTTGTTGGTTACCTCCTCTAGTGCGGAGTAGCATCCCCCGCGCTGCCTCGTCGTCAACGTCGGCCATCCCGAGAGAGTCTCGTGAGCCAAGCGACAAGCTTCCTGATATATTGCAGCGTGCTCGCCGGCGTCGCGCCAGCGCATCGTTGCTAACGCTGTACGAATTGGCAATGACTGCGCGCAGCATGCACTAGAGGCAGGAATCTCTGCGACATCTGCTCGCATCTACTATGAATGTAAGCAAGCGTCTGACGCAGCGGCACCTGACCGACCCTGACCTCAGCGAGGTCTTGCGCCTCTGCCGAAAGCCGCATGATCTCCTCAGGCTCGACCGCCGGCTGCTTCGACAATGCCTCCATCTTGAGCAGTACGATTCTAACACATTGTGATCAGCAAGAGCCACGCTCAACCCAGCGAGGCTTGCCTTAGGCGACGATGAGACGAATTCGCCTTGTCCAACCGCGCTAGGAGGGAATCAAGTGTATGCAGATAGAGTTGGTCTGAAGACGACTTTCGGAATTGCCGTGAGAGTTCGTAGCATTGCACTTCCATTAAGAGCAGTTGTACGGCCGAGTTACTCGTTCTCGCGGCACAAAGTATATCGACAGACGCGGCCGTGTAGTTTAGCAGTACATCGTCCAACGCTATCGCTGTGCTTAGCGAGACGAGGCGGAACAGAACGCTATACTCTTCCGCGAGGATGTCTAAAGAGACTGTGCTTGCTCGATGCGCAAAAGTCGGATCTGCCGTCAGCAAGACGCAGCCAGTTGTACTGCTCTGTAAAGCCGCTGAAAAGTTTCCTTGCTCTCTTTGCACATGTGCAAGCGTCTCATACCGTCTAGCAAGAGCCTTTGCAAGCTCCTCGATAGCCTTGCTGTTGCAGCGTGAACCGGGCGGCGTCGACAACAATGCTGCGGCGATGATGCACGATCTCTCCACAAACGATGCTGCATTGCTATGTCTGACCCGATGAAGCGCGATACCATGGTTGTACGCAGCTATGGAGATGCACCTTATGGCGTTGAAGACTGCATCGTCAAGCTGCTCGAAGGTGATCTGAGTGCTGCTCGTACTGAATAAGTCTGCAGCAGACAAAAGCAGGCCAAGACTACGGGCTTGCGAGGCTCGTTCTGTGGTGGAGAAGATGATTGATGATGCAGTAAGAAGGCTGTCGAGCATTCGCAGTCGCGGTGATGCCTGGACCGCAATGCCTGCTCGGGAAGACTTGGCCAGACAAGAAGCAGCTGCGCACAGTATGTCGGCAAGTTTTGGGGCAATTCCCGGTTCAGATGACGTTAGAGCCTTGTGGGCTGCTAAGCGCAGACCATCTATAAGACTGACGGCGCTTGTACTGTCTTGCGAGCTGCCCAAACTTAGCAGGGCGCTGATGTGACCTTCTATGTCCTTTGTGACCGCGTCTATTAGGGTTCCTTGATCGAGCGAGCGCTGCACATCTAAGACGGCAGCGCGTGCACGAGCAGCAGGCGAGCCGTTTCCGGTCGATATTGGGATACCTGCTTGCTTTGCTACGCGATTGACTAGTCTTGCTAGCCCTGCGAAGGCTTTAGAATCGGAGCACGCTTTTTGGGCAGAGCGTTTGGTGATATTGGTGATGTCGAAACAAATCTGATCGAAGGCGGCTTCCACAGCCTCGCGCATGACAGCTGCCGACAGTGCATGCTCGCCCGCGGCGCGTAAATAATGCACGATGCTTTTCTCGATTCGAAGCAAGACGCCTTCGAGAGCGTCAAAGTCGATCGCAGGCAAGAGAGCAGGGATCATGGCATAACGAGATGCCTCAATGCGTAGCCGCAGAATGCCCGCAGGATGGGATGAGCCTTCGATGTCTAAGCTAGCGGCGAAGAGTGCACGGTGTATAGCTAGCAGAAGTGCTTTGAGACGAGCAATACGGGTTTCTGCGTCCGCAACTCGCCGAGTAACAGCTGACTCGTACCATGCTATGGCATCTATCGTGTCACGAAGACAGCTCAGCCAATTCTCGAGCTGCAGGTCCAGACCGTCTCCTGATGTTTGCGAACGAAATGTCAGTTTCGCTAAACACGTGACAGTGTGGTATTGAGCTGTCATGACGAGGGAGGCAAGTGTAAGATGCGAATCGTCAGCGCTTGATTCTTCGCATGGCAAGCTCCTATCTGATCGCGAGTTGGGCGTACTTGCGTCTGCAGTACTTGCGTCTGATGCTGAAACGTGACGTGATCGATTTGTTGGGGATTGACGCATCTTTTGAGGCAGCAGAGGGTAGTGCAAGAGGTATGCCCAACCACGGAAGCTGTCTTGAGGCGTCCGAGCTGGCCGTGAGGGCGAAGGCTGCGAGAGGATCTTGCACAAGCTGATGTGCTTCTCCGCAAGTTCGAGCAACGCGCGATGATACTGTGCAGCTGTTATGCTCGCGTGAAGCCGGCCAACGCAGGGAGGACATACCTCTTCGAGCTCTATCAGTCGAGCTATAAAAGCACTTGAGGCCTTCTCAATCTGCAATATCGAGCTACTGCTCGCTCTGCTGGTGAATCTGAGTGTCTCGAGTGCTGTCGCAGTCTCGTCCATGGCGGTAGTGCGAGTCTGTGTGCCCGTCCTCTTGGACCTACTGGCAGCAACAGTGTTACACCCAGCGCCGTTGAGCGTGCAAGGCTCCTGCGGTGCGTGTTCGGACGCGGAAGAATCAGGCCGAATCTTTCTGCTCTCTGCGTCTTGCGCGGTACTCGACGAGCTAGCTAAGCGGGCCAGCAGCTGGAGGTTCTCATTGACGACTTTCATAGCCCGCGACGTCTCTGCTTGCGCAGATCTATTAGCTGTTGTTGCGCGCGGCTTGCCCATCGACGGCCCGGACGAGCGAGCTGCCTGGCTGCGCCGCATCTGCTCGCTGTCTCCGCTGCCGGCGAGGTGCGCTGGACGTTGACGTTGCTGCAATCGCTGCCGTGCCTCAACGCGTCGAATGTCGATCGCGGGCGCGCGGACCGTCACGTTACCCGACCACGATGCACGATGCTGCTGACATACAGCTCGCTCGGCAGACTATCGCAATCTCACGGGAAGGCTGCAAAAAAGATTGCTTGCAAACGAAACGACGGTATACACAACTCGTTTCGCGCCGCATGCTCTCATTGCTGGTGACACTCGGGCATAGCCTCGTCTTCGAAGCCAGAGTATGATCGACAAGGATGCTCGTGAGACATGCCGCACTGCGCGCATTCTTGAGGTCTCTGTTGCACTCTCTGCGAAAAACAGATTAAGCCAAGGTAGCATGCCAGCAGAGACGCGTACAGCAGGGAGTCTGTCGACGAATTCGAGAGCAACAAGCTGGGTGCGATCGATCTCGTCTGAAGCATCATGCTTACCGGGCGGAAGGATGTCTCGCAAGGCCTGCAGAGCGCATCAGTATAGCTCACTTTGTCAGACAGGAGCGACATGCTGTCAGGCCTTGAGCTCGTCTGGCTGCAATGAATGCTGGGTCGGGCAAATCGAGTTGGATGCGCAGATAGAGATCGCCCTGGGGTGAACGATCGGGTCGAGGCATGCCCTCGTTGCGTATCTTGACGAGATCGCCCGACCGTAATATTCGGTGACCGGGCCGGCCCATGTCCGGCATGCTTGCACGCAGACCTCGACCGTCGAGATGGATCAAAATCAACCGAGAGAAGCCGAACAGGGCCTCTGATAGCGTGAGTGTGACATTGCAGAATAGGCCGCCGTCGATGAGCAGCGAGAACGCAGGATGATGCGAGAGAGTGATACGGAAGATGAGATCGCCTGGCTCGAGCTCTGCTTTCTCGTCACCTTCACTCTCGCGAATGATTCTATGACCGTCCTGTATGCCGCGCTCGAGAGGGACGTCGAGCTTGAGCTTGTCCTCGACCGTCTCCGCGCCTTTGCATCCGGCACACCTGCGATCGACGTGAGACGATGAAAGCGAGGAGCCAGTCGAGAAACGCACAGGTCTTGCTCCCTCACGCGGTGACCCGTCCCTTTACAGATGGCGCAGCGAATCATGCTGACATAATACATCTCGGGTCCGTGCAAGGTATGCTGGGCGATTTCTCCCTCACCGCTGCATCTGCCGCAGCGGCGCAGCTTAGCATTCTGCCTAGCGCCTGTTCCGCCGCAGGTCTTGCAGATTCGCTGACGCTCGAGATCGAACGTTTTGGTGACGCCAGTAAAACTCTCTTCGAGCGTGACTTGGACGTGAACGACTTGGTTCATTGCCCGTCTGCGCATCGTCTGCTCCGCGCCTGGCCGGCCGAAGAACATCTCGAAGAAGTCCTGCAGATCCCCCTGGTCTGGCGCCGAGGACGGTCCTGCGCCTCGCTGAAGACCTTCGAGACCGACGGCGTCATATCTCGAACGTTTGTGAGGATCAGAGAGGATCTCATAGGCTGCCTGTATCTTCTGAAATTGGCTATGATCGCCAGTCGTGTTCTTGTCCGGACTGAGGAAAGAGACTCATGAGTTTGGGTGGGAGGGGATCAAAGGGAAGCAAGCTTGCTGATGAATCATTGCAAGCCGTCTGTAGGCCTTCTTGATCGCATCTTGCTCGCTGTCCGGTGGCAGCTCTGCGCTTCGGGTAGGTCAGCGCTCGGCTTCGCTGAGCCTGCTCGTGAGCTTGCCGAGTACGTCATAGAGTTCGGTGTCGTGTGACATGCGGCCTTTGCCCTGATGGCGTACATCCACTCGACGATTCTACGCGAGGCGCGAGCACGATCGACGGACAGACACCGATCGCAGGCAGGCAGGCAGGCAGGCAGCTCCCCTCTAGACCCATTCACTGACATTGCCGACGCAGACGATAGCCAGCGACACTGCACAATGTCTCTGGCCGCAAAAGCAACCTTTGGCTCAGCGGTCGTGCTCACTACCTTCACCGTCTGGGGCGTTCACTACATCCAGACCAGAGAACGAGCGGTGCGTCTGATGCACGACGCAGCGCTACTCCCAAGGGCTGAATCTGTTGCGCTGCAGACGATGTACCAAGGCGTAGTCAAGGATGACGCAAGGGTGGCAGCCAAGAAGCTTCAGCGAGAGGCAGAATTTGCAGAGCAGATCAAGCGGCAGGCCTACCTCGAGCAAGTCCAGCCGGTTTCCAATCGAACAGGACCCCAGCTCGCCCTGCCCGACGATCAGATACCAAAGCAGGATCAGATCGAATTTGAGGGCTGCAAGACATGCGGCTAGATCTCGGAGCTCATCGAGCATCACGCGATCCTGGTCATGCCGCCTGTCATCGACGACGGCAAGAGTCATGCGACTGTTTGCATTGACTACAAGCAGCCGGCAGCGCCTCAGACTGCTTTGCTGTGCCAGGATCGACTGGCGAGTGGCGTCACACTGTACAGTATCTCCTCCATACGACGGCGTCGATAACGTTAGCAGACAACGAGCTCGCAAACATGCTGCAAGTTTTGTATGTCTGCTCGGCCGACCTTACGGATCACGCGTCCGTCGCTGCGCTGCGCTTGCGAGTAGATCGTCTTACAGGCGAATCAGGCAACGTCTTCTTGGCAGTCGGTTTCCGTGTCGAGCGGGGTACCTTCGTGGCTAAGCTCTGCTCATCGTCTGTGCCCTCGACAGAAGGCTCGATCGAGGCAGAAGGGCCCTTACGAGTCGAGCGGCGAGGCGTGCTTGCCGCGACCGGCTTGTTTGACGCTTTCTTGCGAGTCTTGGGTTTCTGTCCGTCGTTTTGCGTCGTTGCGATTGCAGTATCATCATCGGCGGCTGATCTCCCCGGACTGAGATCGACTGGAAAGCCGCCAGGTGGTACTTCCGTGCGATCAGATGCCACCAGAGCGCGTTTCGTGACAGACTCATCAGCATGAGCAGGCGGCTCGGCTTCAAGCTTGCGTTTGACCGTGGCAGGCGGACTGACCGGTTTGTCTGGCGGGCTCTTGTGCAAAGACAGAAGCGGGCCAGGTTCAGACCGGACTGTATTGAAGCCAGAGACGCCGGGCGTGCGCTTGACGTGTTTCTCAGGTCGGCACGCAAGATCAGACGTACTGGCCAATGCCGCTGCTTCGGTCGGCGATGACATTGCATAGGGACTGCGCGGTATCCGATCCTTGCGCTTGAATGGTGTGGGCACAGGCTTGATGGAGGAGCGATCTGAGCTTGCGTCTGCAGACTGATCCTGCTCACGCCAGGGCGAGGTCGCTGCGTTGCGTTCTGCGAGCAAGGACAGGTGCGCTCGACCCGGTTTACGCACTGGCGTCGAGCTCCGAGCCAGCGTCCGCGGTGGTGCGGAGAAAGGCATGGTTGTATCGCTTGTATTGAGTTTGCTCTCATTGAGCGATTTGCCAATGACAGACACATTTGGTGACGTGCTCGGACTGACCAGCCCTGAAAGATGATGATCCTTGATAGCGCCGAGAAACGACTTGACACTCGCCATGCCGTCAGGCTGGATGCCTCGCTGCGGCTGTCGAAGCGCAGGCGAGGCTGACAGCGGTACGTCGACGACGTCACTGCCAGCGGCACTTGCGCTTTGCGGCTCCCAGGCCATGGCGACAGATGGGCGAGGCAGACCCTCCATCTCAGAAGCCTTGTAGCTCGTCAAGCTGGGCACAGCAGAGGTGACATAGTCCTGTCTAGCCAAACTCGATGCCGGCTCCGGCAGACGCTGTGGACTCGCGACAGAACTCGAGTTGAGTTGCTCGAGCTCGAGCTCGACGAAAGACTGCTGGACAGCAGGTAGTATCGACATTGTGCTAGACGTGGTATGCCTAATCCAGGTCGTCTCAGCTGCGGTGAGCTGAACAGGCGAGCCAGGCATGCTTTCCTCTGCCAGGAATTTGATGAGCTGCGTGTAGCGGCCTTCTGATGTCAAGCGAGCGACCATGAAGCCTCGGACGAGCTGGCGCTTGGCGGTTGGTGTCTGGGACGTTCGCAGGAGGTCGAGACAAGAGGCATAGACGGATCGGTCCTCGCTTGGCAGCAGGGGAATGGTCAGGAAGATCTTCAGTGAGGCTCTACTGTTGGCACGTTGATCAAATGCAGTTTTGATGACGTGCGAAAGCAGTTCAGGTCGTGCGCTTGGCTCATCGGTCGAATACCGCCTGAGCCAGGTGAAAGCGCTGTCAAGTCGACCGAGCTCAACGAGAGCAGCAATCATGAGTCGCACATCCGCACGTGCCGTCAGTGACAGCCGAGCGGACTGGACAAAGTCGACGAGTAAAGAGGGAGATTCACTCGCGAGAAAGCTGACGATCTCTGACACAAAGTCGAGCGTTATGGCGGGCGACGTGAGCAGCGAGAAAGCTTCCTGAGTGATGGAGTTAGGAACGTCTACTTTGTCTCATCACTGAAGCGCTCACGGAATACCGCGCGCGGTCGAGTGCCCAGTATCCGTCAGCTGCTCGCCTGAAGAGAGGCGGTAGCTCGAGCAGATCGGCAAATGCACTGGCTCTGCTATCGCCATAGTCCTTCAGGAGAGTGTATCTACCCGCAGATGAGCCTGCGTCTGCTGAGCAAGACATATGCGTACACAAGGCAGTCCTTCTTGAGCATATCAAAGCTGACAGAGCGGTCAATCTCGTCGAGCAGGCGAGCGAGGGTACGCTCGCTCTCGGGCGGGTACAGCGAGGCTACGTCGCTGCTGTGAGCATGCAGTCATGAGTGACAGCCCTGCTACTGACTGGGTACATTGGCGAGCGAGAGCAGACGATCAAAAAAGAGCGGCCCGTTGCGTGTGCGACGGTGCTGGATCCAGTCGAGCAGCGTGTCCGAGACTGTACCATCCTGCTCGGGAAGCGCTTCGATCCAGGGCAGATCCACGGCTGCATTGACGGAGCTGGCCGACTCGTCTGGACCAGGCAAGCTCGTGAACCAGCTGAGGTAGTAAGACTCGAGCCTCGTCTCGTCACCATCCATCGAGATGTCCTTGGTCAGAGAGGTCTCTGATGTGCTGTCTGCGCCCATGCCGTCCAGCATGGGCCGGTCGACCGTGGGCTGGCGTCCTGCAGGCGGAAATGCGAACGAGATCGAATTGTCGTGCTCCTTTGTCGGATCGCTTTCCCTGAGGGGCTGGCCGAACTGAGGTTGCACGCGCGGATCGTGCTGAGCGATGGCGACCATGTCAGCAGCCGAGAGGCAAGCCCGGGATGCTTAGCGCTTGCACGCGCGTGGAGTCGAACTCGCTCCGAGTGGCCACAGAGATCTAGACTTGGTGCGCGAATGGGACCCACCAATTCCTGGTCTCTAGATACAACAACAGATGCACTCGGACTACTTGCATGCCTTGCATTCGCACAAGCACGCAGGCTCTGCGGGGACGATGACGCAGCGCGTGTGGCATGGTGTTGTGCTCACTCCCATCGCGCTTTAGGCAGGCCTTCGAAGCCACTTTCCGTCCACTTGTTTTCATCGCTGCCAGAGAACCCAACTGAGCGATAGATCCTCCCTGCACTCGGATTGTCGTTGTGCTCAAAATACAGACAGATCTGGGTCTTGCTGGCCGGCACCGTCTTGAAGAAGAGAGCGTGGACGACCGTGCCGACCATGAGCTTTGCGATGCCTTGCTTGCGTGAACCCGCATCAACATAGACACCCTGTACAGCTATGGTGCGCCGCGTCGCTCGGCCGAGCAGAACGAAGCCGAGCACCTGATGCTTGCGTGTGTAGATGTAGATCTCCTCCTGATCGATGCCGCGCCGCGCGATTGTCTTGCACTCGTCAAGCGTGGTGCTATCTTCATCCAGAGCGAAGAAGTCGTGCAAGAGCTGCGCCACTTTCTCGAGCTCCGTGGCATCCGTGGCAGATGCCAAGCGGCACTCATCGTCAACCGGAACAGGGAGCCCGCTGCGCACGTCGGCAGCAGCCGAGTCGGGTGAGCAGATGAGTTGCGTCGTCAGCCGGAAGGGCTGTACACGGACGACTGCGCCTGTGACGATGGCCCATTGCGTCTGGAACTCGGTGACGAGCTCTGTGGGTCCCATGATGCTCCGCACGCTTCTGCCGTCCCATCGCTGCCTAAGGTTGCTGACGAGGCAGGCTATGCGACTCCGAACATAATGTGGATTCTTGCTCCATTGAGCGTTGGGTGCACCGAGCGCAAGAAAGTGAGCGTTCACACTGCCTATCACAAGCCTGCCAGGACAAAGCTGTTGGGTTCAGCAGGACGAAGGACACTGTCTGGAGAATCCGACTGACTCGCATTGCAAGAGTCCCATACCGGTCCGTGATAGTACAAAGGCATACAGTCGTTCGCTCGGATTGGGCTTGACCTGCCGCGCGGCATCCCGACAAGCCGTGCCGAGGGCGAGATTGACGGGGGAGCGATCACAGTCCGCAAAAGTGTCGGTGACAGCATTGACGAGGCCCTGAGGAGTGAATGCGTCTACAAACACCAGCTCTGCGTTGTCGCTTGAGACTGCCATGCTCAGTCGATCGAGGTCCCTAGCAAAGCACGCGAGGCTCGCAAGGCCGTCAGCTCTTTTCTTCAATCTCGGACGTGTGATGTCCTGGATGCGCTCCCTTCTCAGTCAGGCCATGCATCTAACTAAGTTGATTTTGCGACACACTTCCCGCGCCCAAATAGCTTGCACGGGGAGGGAGGCCGCCGCCACCTGGCCAAGCATGCATTCGATCATGACGGCCGGTGATCGTGACCGTCGCTCGGTAAGTGTCCCGCTCTCGGGTGCGCGAGCTCACCAAAGTAAGCCGTGATCGCTTTGAGCTTGCTGCCCATCCAGGCTTCTTCGAGGACCACTCTTCCGTGTCGTGTCGTCAGCCGGCCGACTTCGAGCGGATCAATATTGCGGGGCAGATACAGCGCGATGTTGTCAGTCAGGCCTCGGGTGACATTCATCAGCTCTGGCCCAGCTAGTGGCGCAAGCGACGAGAGCGAGAAGACGAGCTCCGGCTGGCTCTGCTTCTCGTCAGCCATGCCGCGTGTGGTTGCAGCTGCCAATTCCATCTGAGTTGCTTGCATGGCGCGGTAATCGATACCGCCCCATGGCGGCGATAGGAAGACGACGTCTATAGAAGGTCCGTCGAAGCCGGCAGCTCGTCTCGACCTGGCTTGCTCTGCTGCCCATGTAGGAAAATCTCCATGCACAAATGTGATGCGATCCTCTACGCCGTATATCGCGGCATTGTGTCTAGCGAGCCTGAGCCGGAGCTCCGAATTGTCTATCGCTACGACTGCTTAGAGACGAATCAGACCATTTACTAGGGATACACGGCTGCGCACCTTGCTTGCATGTCAGCGCGAACTGGATGGCATTGCCGCCCACACCGCAGAAAGCGTCGACGATGAGATCGCAACGGCATTGCTCTGCGATCTGACGCGCTATCGCCTCCGGCGTCACAGAGAACCAGCCAACATCGTCCATGCGTATGCCGAGGTCATATCTCGAGAACAGACGATAGCGCTGATACCAGTCTGCCGAGCTTGGCTGTCAGCTTGCTTGCTGACTCAATCTCGATGCGCAGGCTCACATTTCTCGTGGCTGTTTGGTAGCGTCTCTTTGGTGTACAAAGTCTCTGGATCCCCCGGTCGTGACTGCCAGCCTTCGACAGCATGACTCGACCCACGAGGTACGCCGGATCGTTTGCGCTTCTTTTTGCCGTTTTCATTCGCGATGAAAGTATTCGATACGGCACCGTAGCTTGGCAATTTACACTCTGAGGCCCTGCAGGGCTCGTTCTGGCCTGCAGTGCCGCCTGCAGAGGAGCTTGGCTCATCGATGCCCAAAACGGGGTCTAGCACAGGTGACTGAGGCTGCCAGACCGGCGAGAGGGTTCCGTTGTCTCGTAGAGACTGTGATACCAATGGCGTCTTTGGTGGCTCGATAGCGCTGACGAGGACAGGCTTAAAGCTTGATCTGATGTCGCCGTTGCTGAGAATGCGAAAGACGTTGCTATGCGAAGATGGCATCGCGTAGGATCTTGACCTCAGTCCGATGCACGCTCTACGCAGTGAGGGTTCAAGCACATCGCAGCTGCACAAGAAACACCGGCTCGTGCGCCAAGCGACAGCCTTGCCTGGGCTCCGCGCAATTTCGCTGCTTCAAAGGGAGCGCGTCAGCAAGTGTGGAGCCGCTATGGAGACGATGAACCGGCGAGGTGGCGTCGCCGTCATCGCCTGTCGTCATGCGTTGATCAGGCGAGTGAATTGACTGTGATTCCACCTTTGAATCATCCCTAGATAGACGGTGTATGCGAGCCTTCTCACTTCGCCGCTACAATCGTATCTGTTGCCACACATAGCCGCTGTCAGGTTTCTCACCTACGCAAGCCCGCCGTCGTTATCACACGACCCACTCCCATTCGCCGTTGTCATAATCAGCCGCCCTGTGCAAACTGTCTACTTGTCTCGTGTCAGCACTGACTAGCTGCACTCCTTCTGACAATACCAGCCTTGACTGCCGCAACACCTGCCACATCTGAAAGTCAGCAAGCTCGGACGACATGCTGGCAAGGCTAGCATATTTCGCGCCATCTAAGCACACCGTCAAGCACGTTCAATAGCATCTCTCTTCTATCCTCTATGTCGACCAGACGCAAGCTACGGAGCCAGCAGAGCGATCCACGGCATCACGCTCTCCTCGCTCCACTCGACCTTTCGACTACCCGATTGGTAAACCGACATACGTCGGCTTCAGCGCCGACCGGGAGTCCATCTCAGCGCAAGAGCGTCACAATGGGGCGTAGCACCTCCCTGCCCTCATCGAGCATACGATCGACAGTCGATTCTGAACCGGACTCCGACGACAGCGAGGGCGCGTCAGACTGCGACGTTACTTCTTCGCGGTCACCAGGTTGGCTTGTCTCACCCTCCCTTCGCGCGAGGCGTACAGCAGTCTCACGATCGCTTGATCACTCAACACCGCTGTGTCTGTCGCGAAGACAGAGTCGTACGTCTGAACGGGCTCGCGATCTCTCCTAGCTGACGCGAGCTGCAGTGAGGTTGGCTACGCCAGATTTGTACAATGAGCAGACACACACCCCACGAGAGCGCTCCGGGTCGCCTTCAGTCTCGCCTACCTCGACAGGCTCTCTTCGGAGACTTTCTCTCGCATCTTCAACGTCCAGCGCTGCCTCTGATACGCTTCGATCTCGCGCTTCGACACTAGTCAATTGCAGTCAAGCCATTGTATGGACAGGCAAGCCCTTTGCGGCTGTCGGGCTCTTCGAGGAGCCGATGCTGTCAAGCTCGCCGCCAAAGCGCGTCACGAGTCCTCTCTCGGCGCAAGACCCACACTTGCAGGAACGGACCAAGAAGTTGAAAATTGCGCATCGGTCGATCAGATCGCCCCTGCTGCTCCGACCTCCGCGGACCAGCGTCCAAGCGAGCCCATCTGGTACAGCGCAGACAGACGTGTCTGCTGCTCGTCCCGTGTCGACCATTACGAACTCGGACACAGACTCGTGGCCAGGCCTGCCAAGCTTGCCGGGCGCAGATCTCGAAACAAAAGGGACTACTCCCGAATGGCTCATCTCGTCTCTTGTCCGAGACACGCCAGCGTCGCGCCTTGCACCTGCAGAGTGGCGTTGGGTAGGCGACGGCTACCAATGGCTGCCCAACGCGAGCGAGAATCGTTCAAAGACTCACCTCGAAGTCGAATTTGCGCGACTGTGCAAAACTGGCGCGACAGATCTTAGCACGGTCACGTCTCGGCGCATGTGTGCTTCGCCTGCGTCAATCGATAGCGAAGGCGACTGTTTCGATGAGGAAAACGTCACACAGACGCTTGCGGATCTTCACGGCCGACGATGGTCGGAGCCAGTCGGTCTGTCTATGGGCATCCCTCTCGAGCGGAGACGGATGCAACAGCTTCCGCTGCGTCACCGGGCTGCCTCTGCAGAAAATCTCGAACGACCGCCCGTTCGTACAGTCGAAGAAATCATTACCTTGACACGTAGTCATCCACCGCCAGAAAGCACAGGCTCGCTCAAAGCTCAATTACTCTCTCTACTTCGTGCGAAAACATCAGATGGCAGCAGCCCACAATCGCGTGGAGTGGCAGTTTCGCACGGCACAGGCCTACGCATGCGCAAATGGGTCGCTCGAAATGCCTGGTCCCGCCGTCTGACCCCACAGCTCAAGGCCAACACCGTCTTAGGTCAGTATGAAAAACAGAGACTTTAGAGCATCCTGAAACTCACGTGGGCTGTGTACAGCTACAGATCGCGTTGGAGAGACCCGAGCGGCAGTGGAGAGCTTGCTGTCGCTTTCGCCAGACAGTAGCAGCTCGACACGGTCCGTAGAAAGGAGCGTACCGTACATGCCTGAGCGCGCTCTGCTTGCCAACGCCGCAGGTCAAGCGGTGTTGCCCTCAGTCGTAGCCGCTGACGAGCTGGCGACCAAGCCGGCTAGACGGCCGTCGCTGTCCGCCAGATCGCATTCGATGCCGGAGCTTGGCAAGGAACGGTCGCATTCCATCAAGCGACTCACCTCGAGATTTGGATGGCGCAGTCGGAGAGTGGACAAGTCACCGCCCAGTCCATCTGGACACGAAGCTTCATGCCAAGCTTGACTGGTATCTTATCCCTGAGTCACAATCAATGCATTCACGATCTATTGTATCCGCGTAAACAAAGGGCTGTCTTGAGTTCACTGAGGAACACAGACATCACCTCTGGGATTACTGCTTGTTATACTTGCGCGCACACATAGCGCGCGCTTTGGTGGCAATATATATTGACGCGTCTGTCGTGGCTCGTGCAGTGTCGGCGACGACGCGTGAGGCAGATGATCGACGTGTCTCTGTCCATGCTAGGCGGATTGGTAGCCGGAATAGAGGCGGGAGACGACGACGAAGGCGATGAAGATGCTATCGTACCGGCTCAAGGACCGTCTGTCAAGCGCCAGACGATCTGCTTCGACGAATCGTTCCCCAGCGCCGCACCCAATTTTCAACTGCTTGTCGATGCAGGGCCGGGCTGTGGTGGTATCACATGGCCGGCAGCAGAAGTACTGACGGCCTACCTGGCAAATATCCTCGCGCTCAATCCATCCTGGCTGGAGGGCAAACGTATCGTTGAGCTAGGCGCTGGTACAGGGGCGGTCTCGATGGCGTTGGCGAGAATGATGAAAAAGCGGGGGTCTCGGACAACGATCTATTCCACCGATCAGGCGATTCTGCTTGACCTCATGGATGCGAATACTGTTCTCAATGACGTTGGGGACACGGTCAACGTCAGAGAGCTCAGTTGGTGCGTGGGATATGTCGAGAACTGTAGCATCTGCTCATGATGCAGTCAGCAGGGGCGAAACAATCGCGAGCGAGATGCAAACGCCAGACATCATACTGGCAGCAGACTGCGTCTACTTTGAGCCTGCGTTTCCTCTGCTAATGAAGACGCTGCGCCTGCTCGCAACGCCGACGAGCGAGATTCTGTTTTGCTACAAGAAGCGACGCAAGGCAGGTCTGCTCCGCAAGGCCTGCATACGGTGGCGCTGATGGTTCGGAGCTTGGACGTAGGCTGACAAGCGCTTCTTTGTGATGCTCCGAAAAGTTTTTACAGTGACTGCCGTCGTCGAAGACTTTGTCTGCCATCGCGATTTCCGGCGCGAGGCTATCTTCCTGTATCGCCTATCGCTTCGCAGCCGATGACGCTCAGTCGGCAAAGACGAGACTGTTCCCCCTGTACCAGCTTGCGAGTCCGACAATGGCGAGCGAGCCAAGCGCATCTGGCAGAGGAGCTTGGACGACTGCCCAGATCCAGATGACGCTCAGTGGTGGCGTGCGCTGTATGACCTGCGCTTCGCAATCAAAACGGGCCCGACCTACGTCTGCGTCTCTCACCGTCTGGTAGGAAGCCTTGTTGACCACATCGATCATAACAGCCCCGGCGAGACATGACATTGCACAGAGCGCAGACCGCATCGCCCTGTGCCCAGAAAAGCGAAGGGAAAGCCAGACGAGGACTGCCAATCCTTTACTGCAAGTGAGATACGTTGCATATCAGTGCGCAAGCTGCCTACCTGGTGCAAAATTGGCGACCTTGCCTGCGATGATGCGGATGGTGATCTCCTGTGCATATTGCTTGTGAACAGCCAGAACGAGGCCGCAGAAGAGCGCAAGCATGAGCATACACCACGCAAAAGTCTGGAAGAGCCGCTCTGTGGCTTCGCTGAATGTGAATGGCGCATCCTCCATCGTTTCGACGGCTTCCTTGTCCTGTGTCGTGAACCGCTGAGCCTCTCGCTCCTCGTCCGAGTCGATCTCGGCAGCATGCATTGATCTCAGCGGCTCTGCCTGTGCTACAGGCGCTCTGCGTCTCGATCTTACCATGATCTCTCGAGGTCCAGCTGATGCGCTTCAGTCTCACGTCCACCGGTCGTCTCACCGTGCAGCGCGTGCAGCACATGCAGCCCCCAGTACCAACCGGCGCTGGCATGGCTCCCCGCTTCGTGTACAAGATCCTGCCCTACACAGGCCGATACTATATCCCTGAGCCAGTCCCGGCGTCCTTCGCGCTGCCGATGACAGAGCTCGACGCCAAAGACGGGTTTGTGCATCTCTCGACATGCGATCAAGTCGACGGCGTCCTTAAGCGGTTCTACGGGCCGGAGTACTACAGCGACGCTCAGGTCGGGATAGTAAGCCGCATAGAGGCCCCTGCTGAGCGGTGTCACAGATTCAGCTCGTCAGAATAGACTACGAACGACTGTCGGCTTGGAAGACCGTCAAGTGGGAGCAAGCGGCAGGCAGCCAGTTCCCGCACCTTTACAATGCCGATGTCGAGGGCAAGGATCTGAGCATGCGTCCGCTCGAGCTGCTGAAGCGCTCCGGAGACGAGAAAGGCTGGACTCCCGCCCTGGACAGGCTCAGACAATCTGGCTGGTTCGTGAACTGACAATGGCGTAGGCGGCAAGAGCATCCATTCGATGGTACATACTGACTACTAGATCACATAGGATGCTCTGCGACTGTCTAGCCGGACTGATCCAACCCGAGAAGCCCATCACCGCACGGTGCCAGCGGTCTGATGACCGAGCGGCCGTCCAGGTCGGATGCCAACGCCGTGCCATGCATCGCTCGCAATCTTCTTGGCTCGACCAGGATGCTCGTATGTCGCGAAGCCGAGGTCATAGTCATCAAACTCGTGATGAATGCGATCACGACGTGTGTAGGCATCCTGCAGCGATAGATTGAACAGGCTCTGCAGGCCTTGAGAAGGCGCGCGTCGCTTGTAAGGTGCATCCGAGGGCACCAGGTCATCGTCCCGCGAAACGAACAAGGTGATACTAAATCGTGCAGGCTTAAAGATTGCGAGTACCTTGTTGACGAGCGAGTGCAAATTGTCTGTCGGACGGCCGACTGCATCACGAGGGCTGACAGGAGTTGAGATATCTAGATTGCACTCAAAGCTGGCATAGCTCCAGTCCTGCTCCGGCGTGACGTGGATGGTGGCATAGCGATCGTCTAGGACCGCATTTGCGCTGTAGCCGCAAGGCTCAAATAGGAAGGCGTCCAGTACTGCATCGGGGAACAAGTCTTGCACACCGACCTGTCGCGAGACGCGCGTGCCAGCAGCATGTCCGTCGTCGTTCTCATGAAGAGGATCCTCAGAGATGGGATGGAAGAAAGCCCGTGAAGCTTCAGGATCGAGCTCGGACATGAGGATTTCGAGTGTTTGATCGGGCGGCATGCCTAGCGAGCATGTTGTATGGGCTTGCCCCAACGTTGGTGTTGGGGACCGGATAAGCTTGCTAGATTTGGCCACCGTATTAGCCTCGAGCTGTGCTGTCTGCTTCGGCGAGAGTCCAAGCGCATCGTCCATGGCAGGCGTTAGATAGAGTACCCAATGGTCGCCGTTGATTCGACCGACGGCATAGGCCGATCCGTTGTCTGACAGCATATTCAGTCGCAGGACGTGAAGCGACAAGGCGCCTGGACTCACCAAAGACGCCATCAAGAAAGCGAACCTCCTGATTCCAGTCGCGATGAGGACCGAGTTGACGTTCGGGGAACATAAAGGTCTTGCGGCTGTAGAAGCAGCGCCAGACTTTGCCCAGACCACAGTGCTCGGCGGCAATGCGGAGAAGTGTATTGAGTCCAAGCAGGAGAGTCGTAGTGCCACAGGTCTTGAGGATGATCTTATGAGGCCAAACGAACATGGAAGACTCGCTGCAATGCAATGCAAGCTTAGCCCAGCTCGCTGCAAGGCATATCAGCCTTACCTGAGCATGTAGGCGTCCACTTGCTCGCCCTCGATGACACTGAGCACCTTGCAATGCACCTCATCCAGCATGCGCTCCCAAGATGGTCTGTCTACCGTGCGCAGGCCGAGTAGAGCATTCTCTCGACTGATGGGCGTGCCAGGCTGAGCGCGTCGGTTGCCTCTTCTCGACAGTGTCGACGGAGGCAGCTCGTCCTCAGAAGGTGCGAACCAGAGCTCGAGCAATTTCTCGGGACCCTCAAAGAAGCCCGGCGCCGAGTCCTGGAGAATCTCTACGCCACTGTCATTGGCCTTGTTTTCATGATGTGGCGGATCGAAGTGATCGTCATGCTTAGCATGCTGACGAGCGAGAGGGAGATTGGTGTGAGCAGAGTGACCAACGAACTGTCCGACTGCTTGCTGAGAAGTAGTCGACTCGGTCGTTGTGGGGGGTGTCAGCGTAGAGGCTTTGACCATAACTCGCCCAGAGCTTTTGGCAAGTGCCAGCTAAGCCTCACTGGAGACGTCTCCTCTCGTCAGAGCGTTGATGCCGGTTCAAATGGACGGCTGAAGGGGAGCCTCGAGGCCCCGCCTGCAATGTGCAGCAGACCGTGTGCTCCTGCTCGGAAAAGATGTGGCTGTTCCCTCGTTGACTTCTTGGCTAGTGACGGAGGCGTCTGCCCCCGAGTATGCGCGCTCCTCGGGGTGCTGGCTATCTCATCAGCAGTGCTGCCGCTCTGTATGTTGTCAATGCAAGTCAAAGCTCTCCTCAATCGAGTCGGCAATGAAGCAAATTTTTGCGCCACTCGTCGTCGCGCCGCGTTCGGATTTGCCATCATCATCAAGCGACGTCTGCTCCGACCACTATGACGAACTCGGCTCGGTCGTGGACGCCGAGTAGTTGGAAAGCTCGCAAGGTCACTCAGGATGTCATCTATCCTGTCGATCAGCATGCCCCCGTCGCAAGTTCATCCGCTAATGGGCTAGCAACCGAAGGGCTCCCTGCCAACGAACGTCTTCACACTGTCAAGGCAAAGCTATGTGCGCTGCCCCCGCTTGTCACAGCGCAAGAAGTAGGCCATGAACCACCTGTAGATGTAGTTTGCTGACCGTCTTTGGTCACAGATCGAGCGACTGCGACAGCAACTGTGCGACACGCGCGCTCTCCCAAGCTCGTGCTTAAATTGACATGCACCGCAGCGCTGACGTAGCCAATAGCAAAGCTTTCCTGCTTCAAGCTGGTCATTGCGCAGAATCTTTTGAGATGTGCACGCAGGAGCAAGTCGAGTCTCAGCTCTCGCTGATACTGCTCATGTCACTCGTCCTCATTTGGGGAGCGCGGATGCCTGTCGTGCGTATTATGCGAGGCGCGGGGCAGTATGCCAAGGCAAGCATCAGCATGCCCCCTTGCAAATTTTGTAGGCTCATCTCAAATACAACAGCCCCGTAGCAAGCCGACAGAGGTCCATGATGGCAAGGAGATTTTAACGTTCAGAGGCGACAATGTAAACGGCTTCGATCCTGACGATAGGACACCAGATCCCGATCGGTTGCTACAGCGAGTCACGCTAAGATGGGTACACACCCTCCCGCTGATGTCGCGGACAGGGCATATTTTCATTCTGCGACGACGCTCAATTTTGTACGCGCTGTCCTCTCCTCAGGTTTTGCGGATCTACATCACCCTCGTTCCTGGTCGATGGCGCACGTACGATCGCCAGAACTGGCTAGATCGTTCGAGAGTGTCATAGAGCGACTGGAAGACTCGCTCGATTTTATTCGCGTCATCGGCGGCGATGCTTCAGACGCGCCAGCAGACACAAGCAAAATGAGCGCCTTGAACAGCGTCGACATGTGGACCAGTCATGAAGTCCGTCTATCGAATTGAGATGACGAGGTGTAGCTAAGCTGCTCTTGCCAGGGCTTGCTTCTGCACTACGAAGAGGCGCTGACACGATCTCTTAAGATACCGAGGCCGTCCGGCAAGCAGCAGGCGACGATGGAGGCACCGCCTCCGATCAAGAGCGACGGTCAGCCGAAGACTCCGTCAGCAGAATCGATCGAAGCCCAAGCTCACATTGAAGCATCCGGACGAGCGTATTACAACGTCTCTGCCCACTTCATCTGGATCGGCGATCGCACCCGACAGCTCGACGGCGCACATGTCGAATACTTTAGAGGCATCCGCAATCCAATCGGAATCAAGGTCGGACCGTCTATGCAAGCAGATGAGCTGGTACGGCTGCTCGACATTGTCGATCCAGACAAAGAACCCGGCAGAGTCACTCTCATTTGCCGCTATGGTGCAGACAAGGTAAGCAGCACTCCACGATCAAGCAGCAAGAGCTAAGATAGTCTGAAAGATCAACATGTACCTGGCCGAGCACATCCATGCCGTCAGAAAATCTCTTCACCCTGTCATCTTTGCCTGCGATCCGATGCATGGCAATACAAAAACGAGCGAATCCAGCGGATCGCTCAAGACTCGGCACATGGGCGAGTGCCTTTGCACGAGCGAGAAGCGTACGCTGACGACAGAACGCTAGCTGACATTGTCAAGGAACTATCGGCATCCATCAGGATACATGCCTCGCTCGGCTCGAGGCTGCAGGGCGTCCATCTCGAGCTCACCGGCGAAGTCAACTCGGACGGGTTCAGCGTGACAGAATGCGTTGGTGGATCTATGGAATTGTCGGATGCTGACCTGTCGCTCAACTATCAATCCTTTTGCGATCCTCGCCTAAACTATGAACAGTCACTCGGTACGTAGCCTGCTGTCTCTTGACGTGAGACTGAGGTCACCAGCAGATGTTGCATTCCTCATATCTGACTACTTCAGGAGCGAGCGAAAAGGCCGGAAAACGGAAGACAAAATACTAGAGAACTTGTCAAGAAGCTCATCTCGTTAGGGTCATCGCTAGGAGAGCCTCAGAGCGCTAGCAACAACCTAGTGTGCCCATGCAAACGATATTTACAGCCCGCAGTGGCGCGCGCTCTGGCGCTGTCTGCGTCTCGCTCGCTTTTGGAGATATACCGCCTGACGCTTTCGCGCTCGGGCAGCTTGCGCGACCATAGCGAGTGGCACTTTGAGCCTGGCGCGAGCCTTGTCTGCCTCGTAGTAGCCAGCCAATTTACGCAAATGTTCGGTGACATATTGCACTGCACACGTGGGCTGAGCCACGCAAAGCGCACTCTGCATCGCATGCTCACCTGACGACAAGCTGTCTGGCGCATCCTGAGATGGTGGCAGACGGAGCCGGCGCTCGAGTGTGGCCTCGTCCTCGAGCAGCCTGCGCCAGAGCTGCAATCGCTTAGTTGCCACGTATCGGTTCAGCTGAGCCCGGCGTCGTCTGAAGATGGTCATCGTGATCTCGATGGGCTGTGGCTTGATACGAGGCAGAGGCGGGTTGACCGTCGTGGCGGCGAGGATGCCAGGCGTGATGACACCCCTTCTCGTAGGATCATGCACGGCGGATCTCACTGGGGCGGGCTTCCGTCGTTGTGGGTGGGGTGCAGCATGCTGTCGTCGAGGCGACCTGTTGATGACTCGCTGAACTATCCGCTTGGGAAGATCCATCGCATGACTGTGAATGGCAAGACGACAGGGCTGTGCGGCTTATCTAGCTTGTTGCTTGTCGGCGCGGCCGGCGCGGTCGCACGTCGCTCGTCCGTTTGATTGCCTGCCGATGCAACACCTGCAGCGACCCCACACAAGCTTCCTGATCCCTGCCTGCTCTGATCGACAGCTGTGCCGTCCGACTGTACAAGCTGTCACTGTTCCTTCGGAATGCGGCTCCTCTCTTCTCTGGCGGCGCTCGCTCAAACTTCCGGCATCATCGCAGCCGCCCTTGCAGGCTCGTCTTACCAACAGCGAGACAGACTGATCAAGCGAACACCAGCGCAGACTCACTACGGAGCCTACAACTGGTGCAGCGTTCGCCTTCAATGGCACGAGAAGAGCGACAGCCTCGCCTTCCAGTTCGGACTGATTTACGATGTCCAGCTGCAGGTGAGCCCCGCCTGACGATGTGGCGTCGCTTTCTGTTGACACATAACAGCGCTACACCCAGGTGAATGGCGAGTTCGAGCACACAGACGTCTTCTTCGGTCATGGAGAGGCTCAATTTCGTTGTGAGCCCGCTCCTTTGGTTATGGCCCACGCATTGACTTATGTTTCCGCAGTCGTCAGCCCGATCGGCCAGGAGCCTTTATATGATATCAGCTTTCAGGTCAGATGGACACCGGATGGTAACATCTTCAGCTTCTGCGATACAAGTGCCCGCATTGACGGCAAAGAAACTCTCATCTTCTTTCATCCAAGCCTTTAGTCAGTCACGAGGCCCCGAGCGACTCCATCGTACTGAATACCTGCTGCAGCGAAATGACATGCTCGTCAGTCGAAGGGCAAAGAGTTCCAATTCCGAAGGGCCCGTGATTCAATGTCAGACTGAGATGCATTGTTGCTATCGTGAAGCTCAAGTGTCGACAGCATTACCGAGCCGGGGTCGCGCCTGGGCTTGGAACGGCTACTGCGTGCAGATCGTTAGTTCATTCGTCTTTGATCTATTGTTCAGTCATTCACCTGCGAACTTGCTTGCGGGATAAGTGCAGCAAAGGGTGAATTTGCAAGCGGCGAGGCAGATTGCACCGGCGCGATCGATTGCTGCACTGCGGGAGCGGCACTCTGTACAGCTGCCGCTTGCTGAGGCATCACACTCTGAGCGGCCGACTGGGCAACGGGCGAAGCCGCCTGCGCGATAGGTGCTGCTGCCGCTGCTGCTGCTGCCGATGGCGCGACACTTTGAACGGCTCCGGCAGGTTGTGCTACGGCCGCTGCAGGTGATGCTGCACCAGTGACACCTTGGGCGACGGCCGGAGAAGCGACAGTCTGCGCCTGAGCAGGCACTGCTCCAGACAGAGGCGAGCCCGCCAACGTTGCCACGGGCGCGGCTTGAGCTAGTGTGGGCGTAGCCTGAGCGATCGGCGATGCCGTGACCATGCTCACCGCTGTGACAGTGACAGGCGCGGCCGCTGCAGGTGCTGCCGTAGTTGCTGCCGGTGACGTTCCGCCGAGATTGTTGATACCCGGGAGGATGGACTCGATCGATCCAACTATGCCGATGAGCTGTGAAGGCGAGAGACTGGCCGAGGCTGGCGCCCCGCTGGTTGGAGTAGCATCTTGCTGGACCTGAGGCAGCGCAACGACCACGGCGGAGACCGAAAGCAAGCTGATGAGGATCGTGCGAACCATACTGCGTGCTTGCTGATGAACGAACGTTCAGGGCTCTTATGAGATAGCAGTCTGAGCACATCGCTTTGAGGCATCGTTCGTAGAGATGAGAGCTGATCCGAGCAAGGCGCACAGACGAGCCTGTCACGTGACTTCACTCTGTTTCGCTCCTTGACGCGATGCTCGGCTGTTCCCAACACTGAGCCTCCTCGTCCTCATGTCTTCGCCTGTGCCTGACCTCGAGGCACACATGAGTCATGTCGCCGATCAAACGATCGCGTTGCGAGCAAGGTCAATGGTTCCCCAGACAGGCTGTGGTGCATAGGCTCATGGGCTCACTTGATCCAGCGATTTTGGCGGCGACGCAGTCTTGCAGCATCTTATGACCCAGCTCAACACAAAGGGCATAGTCCGGAAGCCTATCGACGTGCCCGACCTGACGCCTACTGCGAGTCAGAAGCTAGCAGAAATCCTTCAGGCTGTTCTGGACAATCGCTCGGTCTGCTACCGTCTGACGCGACAGGCGACCGCTGATGCCGGACCATAGATTGAGCAAGCCCACCAAGAGGCTACTGCAGTAAGATATCAAGAGCTTTTGAGAAACTCTCAAACGCTCGAAAGAGCACTCAGCGATCTTGAAAAGCAGCTCCTTACCAGTCAGCAGGCCGCCGCTCGCGCTCAAAATCAACTAGCGTATGCGTTTCTCCCAGATGGTCCGTCCTCATGCTGATAGGCGTGAGAATTTCAAGGCAGGCCAGACGAGAATGCGAATTGGAAACAAAGAGAAGCAAGTCAGCGCGCGATGAGGCGCTCAAAGTGAGAAGCGCGTCAGAGCTGCTGAAAGCCCAGCTAGCCGTCAGTCTGTCCTCGCCGATATTGCTGCAATGCTGATGCTAGTCGCACGGTGACAGCAAGAGCAACGCAATCGACAAGCAACAGCTATACGACCAGCTGCGCAAACCGATGCGACCTACCAATCGCTCGATCGTCAGCTTAAGCAAAGCGAAGAGGCCCGCACCGAGCATGCGCAGTCGGAACACATTCTTCGAGCACAGCTTCTTGCCCTTGAGGACGATATGAAGCGGATCCTTGCGCAAGCCAACGTCGAGCCGGCCATCTTACGCACAAGTCAAGTAAGCCCAGAGTCTATCTAGATATGGAGCTGACCGTCAAAGCTAGGCTGCGTCGAAGGACGAGAAAAGCAAGCAATCTGTGCAGTCTGCAGCATACCTATCGACGTTGCTCTTTCAGATCAGAGATCACGCGGCTGAACGCTTCGAGGACGCCAGCGATCGGTACCGAGCAGCAGAGGCAGAAATTCTGCAGGTCAAGCGCCAAAACGATAGCGCCCTGATTGCGTGTCAGAGCAAGATCGCATCGCTCAATGCGCAGATCGGTATGTCACAGCGCTCATGCAACGCTCGCGCGCTAAGAGGCTGCGAAGACGAACGCGAATCGGACCGTGCTGATATGGCCGAGCTCTTGGCGCGCCTCCAAGGCAATCTGACCAGTTGCCGAATCAGTGCTGATCGCGAGTAAGTGAGCTTGCTCTGGGCTTCTACAGCGCTGATCGTACCGCAGCCTGGCAGAGGCGAGGACTGAGGCAGACAGTCTTCGTAAAGCGCAGATTACCGCGCTAGAGGAGCAGCTCGAGACTGCAGAGGCAGAGCTCGCTCGCTTAAATGCACGCATTAGTATGCTGGAGGTAAAGCGATGCTCCTTTCATCCCTGACCCCACTGACACGATGACAGTCGCAAACGGCGCGACTGCAACAAAGTCAGCAATCAGAGACGCGTCAGAACTTCGCAGTCACATCTGGCACCCAAGGGACTACTGGTCATGCAGATGCGGATGAGCAAGAGCGCCAGCCGAGCGAACGGTTTGCTTCGCGCCGCCTTGCCGCCGGTCGCTCCACTATTCTCGCCATGTCTGATCTGCCATCTCCAGCTAAACGAACGCGAACGCGGCCTCTCGACGATACCGCGCCCAGAACAGCCCTACAAGCTCATGACAATTTACCGCGTGAATCATCGAACTCCTCTGACGCCAAAGTCAAGAAATCCAGTCGGCCAGGAAGGAAGACTGGCGATCGCAAGCCAGCCAAGAGTGTCCGAATCAGTGAGCAGTCGGCAAGCAAGCGACCGAGGATGTAGCTTACAGATGGTGTAACAACAACAAAGATATGTAATTTGATCCTTAGAAGAGCAGAGACGCCGACTTTCTCGTTCCGTCGCCCCATTTCTCTATGAGAAAATCGGTCAAGAAGTGATGCAATTCGCCGTAGCCATTACCTGCCAGCAAGTCAGCGCCGTCCAGAGACACGTCAAGCCAAGCTTACGTAGCGATATCGAATGATCCGCATCCGTGAACATCCTGAAGCGAAAGCCGCGTACCCCTGACCAAGTAAGGCGATCGAGCAAGGATGCGGTGTTGAGAAAGTGAACGTTGTCGTCGCCCGAGCCATGCGCCAGCAGAAAGTGAGCGTTCTTGAAGCCGTCCATCTTGGTCACCGCAGAGGTATCATAGCCCGCTCGATTCAACATAGGTGTTGACATGTATCTGCCCGACGCATCAGGCCAGCCCAGTAGTCTAGCAGCATATCGCACCTCTCTGCATAGACGGAATCGTAAAAGCGCCAGTCTGTCACTGGAGCCACCGCCATGCCGAGTGAGAACACGGAGCTGTTTGCCTCGATTGCCTTGGCGGTCAGGAAGCCACCATAACTCCAGCCCCAGATGCCAATCTTGCTGGAGTCTGACCAGCGTTCTCGCGAATACAATCTGCAAGCAAATCAGCAGCTATCTGCCGGAAGCGTCATAAATAGTAACCTGGCTGCTGCTATTTGATCGTCAATCTCGAGCTTGCCGAGCTGATCACGTATAGGCATGCGGAACTTGCGGCCGAGCCAGCCAGTACCGCGAGCGTCGACGATAACACTGACATAGCCAAGCGAACCGGCAAGATACTCGTGCCAACCCATCTCGAAACGCTGCGCAACGGTCTGAGAATTTGGACCACCATAAGGTCGGAAGAGCACAGGATATTTGCGATGGCCGCTTTCGTCAAAGTTTGGCGGCCGGCATTCAGCCACATTCATCTCGAAGCCATTGATGGTGATTGTCTTGAAGATGCGAGTGGGTAATGCAAAGGTAGCAAGTGTTCTGTTCAGATCGGCATTGTCCTCCAGGGTGTCAATGAAGCCATGATCCACAGAATGAAGCTCTTGCCAAGGTACCTGCGGACCTGCTGATTCGATGACATAATAACCAGCATAGGGAGACAGGCTGATGCTATGATAGCCAGGCTGACTTGTATCTGAGATGTGTGTCATTACCGATCGCTGGCCATTCGTGCGCAAGGACGCGAGAGCGTCAGCTGACGGCAAAGGTACCGTATAGATGTGCCTTTCGATGGACGGCTTAGCGCCAACAAAGTAGATGAGCTTGCGCTCAAAATCGACACTTGCTATACTTCCAACAACCTCCCAAGGACCGGTTGTGAGAAAGATGGGCTCTCCGCTGTCGGAAGGCGAGAAGTAGGCAATATGACGATAGCCGTCCTCGTCATCGAGAATGTCCAAGTAGCCAGGCGCATGATCCGCCCCAGGTCTGTCTGTTGTGAGCGCATGCACGGTCTGACCGGGTTCGACCCAGCCGCCGTCCAGCTGGGCATAGTCAACCGACCGAATGACTCTGCCATGAATGTACTGCGAGCCTGCATGCCGATGCGCGTTGCTCAAATCATAGTAGCCGACTTTGAGCCTGTTTGAGATCCGATTGCTTTGCTTGACAAGCAATTCGCTTTCGCCAATCCAGGAGACTGACATGATCAGCTTGTCATCTGGCGTGAAAGGATCGTCTAGGCCGAGCTCGAAGGAAGCAGAATCGATCCTTGTCCGATCGAGCGTCGTGCTCCCGGGTCGCGCGGGGCGGAGGGGAACGCTATCATAGACGTCTATATCGAATACATGTACATTCGCGATCGGATTGGCAAACCCTGGCTTGGGGTAACGCATGACGAGCTCGTCATTGTAAGGCTTTGCGCCGGGTTCGGATTGACTGGGATTGTATTTCGGCACGGTGAATTCGGGCACGCTTGCCTCGTCGAAAGTGATCCAGGCTAGCTTGCGACTATCTGGACTCCACCACATCGTAGAAGGGCCTGAGAAAATCTCCTCTTCATAGACCCAGTCGGGCACGCCGTTAAAGAGCGTCTCGTTGCCCGTGGTTGTCAATCTGATGAGGTCTGAGCTAGCTGATGGATGAGCAGACGGCAAGATGTATATATCATGCGCGTCGACATAGGCAATCGCATGTCCTGTAGGCGCCCACTTGGCTATGGATGTCGTCGGCTCGCCGGAAGATTTGGTGAGCGGATAGGTCTCTTTGCTGGTGATATTGTGAATCCAGAAATTGGAATAGGATGAATGCCTGAAGAGCTTGGTGACATCTGTTGCAAAGAGTATGCAGGTCATATCGCTCGAGACCTCGAAGCTCTGCCAGGCCAATCTGTTGCCGCTACTGGAGCGGACATCGTGGCCATTGACGAGCGAACGAGTGGTATTCGTCTTGACATCCTCAAGCTCGATGCCGCCCTCATTGGTGCGATAAGAGAAGACGCCATCACCGGCCTCTTTGAGCCAGCTGAAGTACTGGCGCGAGGGCCTGAACGTACCGCCGAGAGCATCATCAAACGTAATCTTGCGCAAACCGGCTGCTTGACCGCGGTACAAGTTCTGTGAGATGAAACGAGCATGGCCCGCGAAGAAGGCGACGAGCAGTATTGTTATCAAAAAGAGTGCAGTGCAGGCAGCTGGCACGACGAAGCGGCGCTTGCCCCGTCTGATGGGTCGGAGGTGATTGGAGATCAGGCCCTCGCTATCCTTGAGAGCGTCATAGCCGATGTCAGGCTTGCTGTTGAGCGTGAGAGGCTTTCTCGAAGAGAAAAGTACATGTCTCTTTGGCTTGCGAGGTTTCCTCGTGCCCACGATGCTCGTCGGCGTCGCTCCCGACAAGAGCTTCTCCTCGTCGTCGGGCAGAGCAAGCACACCTCTGTCTCCTCCAGCCGGCTCGTGATCGTCCGTATAGATCCGCTCGTGCGCCAAAGCGGCTGCTTGGTGACCCTTGGAGTCTTGAGCGTGAGGCGCCCTGTCGTCGGACGAGGTTGAACGAGATTCGTCGTCGGCCATGCTCGAGTCTGACGTGAGGGAGTCTCGCCTGGCTTTCATGTTGGCGTAACTCAGCTCGGGCGGATACACGAGCAGGTGGCTGGCATGGTGCTCATCATCCCTTGGCATCGAACGAACCCGCTTGACGCCGAACACGAGGCCGCGGGGCTTTTCATCATCGCGACGGCACGCGACACGACAGAAGCGAACGAGCCGTCCGGGCATCTCACGCACGCACACAAGCCTGGACCGTTGATCTGCAGCATCCGTCGACCCACTGACTCGAGCTCGTCATGGCCGGCCTGACGACACGAGACTATTGGCTTGCAGTCATCACCGCATATCTCATCACTCAATGGCTGACCAAACGCAGCCATCTCCTCGCACGTTTGACACGTCTCCGTCAGAACCTTCCCGCTGGACCGTCCACTACACCACCGGCGATCAAGCCAGGCGCTAAGCCTGTAGCAGCCAGCTCCTTCACTGTGTCCTACCGCATCGGTTCAGGCGAGGTTGACTCTGACGGTCGCGCGTACGGCGGCGAGCTCCTCAAGCTCATCGACGTCGTCGCCGGTGTAGCAGCTCGCAAACATTCCGGTCATCCTTGTGTCACCGTTTCCGTCGACAGAGTCATCTTTCTCAGCGCTATTCGAGCAGGCGATATCGTACATCTGTCCGCCTCTGTCAATCGCGCTTGGTCGAGCTCGCTCGAGACAGGTGTCCGCTGCATGAGAGAGGACGGCAGGACTGGAGAGAAGGTGTACGCTTGCCAAGCCTACCTCACCTTTGTGGGGCGCAGTCAAGCGCACGGAAAGACAATCGTGCCCGAGATCACGCCGTTGACTGTGCTCGAGCAGAAGCGCTTCTTCCTCGCTGGCCGACGGAGAGGGCATCGTATAAAGCAAGCAAGAGCGTGGCAAGATGAGCTTACGCCCTTTCGCAACGAGGTGCTAGCCATGAGTGATCTAGCATCACGGCAAGCGCAAGATCAGCGCGACTCTGACAAGGTGGTCGACAAGATGGCCGAGCTGGAAAAGCGCTTCATTGCAGAAGCCTATCTGCGTAACGATCCTGATATCCGGCTCGAGGGCGAGTATGTTATTGCGCAAGTCGAGGGATATACTGAACCTCTGCGAGTCAAGAAGGAAGACATTGACAAGATAACCAGAAGTCTGGGCTCGGGCGCATGGCAGCGAGTAGCAAGTAGGCCCATACCCACCTCGCATCCCCGCCAATCCGATCACGAGCTCGGACTCTCATCCTTACCTCTGCACCAATATCAATCATACTGTCTCAGCCTGTACATCGTGCGACCGCAGCACTGCAACAGCCTGCACGTCCTCTTTGGCGGCCAGCTGATGAGGTGGCTGGAGGAACTCGCTGGCATGTCCGCTTCTTCTGTCCGTCGCGCATCTTGGACGACAGCGTCTCTCGATTCGATGACGTTCAAGCAGAGCGTCCATCCGGGCCAGATGTGCGTTTGCATCCTCACAGATCTTATGAATAGAAAGCCAACATGCAGAACAGTGTCTACATCCGCTCTATCGTGACCAAAGTTTGGGCATCATCCATCGAAGTCTATTGCGTCGCGACGGCAGAGACGCCCGGCGGGACAGGCGCGAGCTACGTTGCCGATGCTTTCTTGACTCTCGTCGGCGTCGATGCGATGACGGGTCGGCCAAAGGTACAGCCCAAGAGGTTCGAAGTGGCCACCAAAGAAGCGGCTTCGATCTCGCGCAGTGCAGAAGCCCGCAAGCAAGAACGCCTCGCCGACAAGCAGATTCTTGTGACCATGTATGCTTGACCGGGATGCCGTCCTCACTGGGAGTTCAGTAGTACGGCACCGCTGTATCTTCGTCCTGTCGATCCGTCCGAGAAAGAGAGACAAACGTCAATCGCATGCTGCTTGCCTCTGCCAGTATGCGCTCGACATCGAGTGAAGGCAGGCTCAGAAGCAAGCTGCGTGCTTCTGACTGATCAAGCTCCTCGAGATCTTCCTTTCGCGTCGACAGGATCGCTAGGCAGACGAAAGCATGAAAGTCGAGCAGGTCGCCATTGGAAGGATCGAGCGAAAAATAGGCGTCCCACAGTCTCATGAGATCGTCGGTATCCTGCAGCTCTTTGGACAGCAAGTTCGAGAACCACAGAGTTGCAATCTCGTTGACGTCGACTTCTTCCTCTTCGAAGGTGCTGTATAGCTCTGGCAGAAAAGTGCGCAGTAGCATCACGAAATGAGAGACGCGATAAGGCATCGCGAGCACCTCGAACAATCCGTCGAGCATGTTCGCCACTTTTTCAAACGCATAGTAGACGCCCGCTTCGGTCTTGAGTGTCTGGATCAGGCAGCCGGCTATACTGACCAGTCCAGGATAGTAGCCCGCATGAACACTGCGATTGAGGAACGTAGCCACTACGTGCTCGCTGACTTGGACAAACGTCTCAAAGTCGATCTGGTCACCCTGCGGCTCCAGTGCGGGCACAGGGACACTTTGCGGCGGAGCGATGCGAGGGAGCACCGGAGTAGTGCGAGCGTGCGTGCTCGACTGCCTGCCGAGCTTATCGCGAGTGTGGAATCTGCGATGATAGTATCGGGTCGCTTCTGCCCGTATCCTTCGTACCAAGGCGTGATCGCTAAGGTCCTTGTCCATGGCGGCATACTGCGCAAGCTTAGCTCTGATGGAAGTCACATCATTTGCTGCTCGACGACGTCAGCCTGAAGCTGTGCACCTCCAATTCGAGCGCACTCCGGTCGGCGTCAAACACGCCAAGCAGATACAGCCAGACCTCGCCCCTGATCTCGAGAGGCACGCCGTGTCGAGCGTAGCTCCTCAGCTTTGCCAGATCTACATACTGCTCAGCATTGAGCACCTCTGAGAACTCTGCAACGGTCGCCGACATGAGAGAAACAGCAACGCGACCTGTTCCGCGGTATATAACACGAGATCTGCAGCAGTAGAATACACATATACAAACAGGTGAGGGTGAGAGACATTAGTGTCGAGGCCTTCCAGCTTCGCTGCGTGTACCTTGCGAAGAACTTGCAGCGTCTTTGGGTGCTAGAGCGTCTTGCGATGACATGCTCGAGTCGCTGGTCGAAGAGCTAGCTTCTATATTACCCGTAAAGCCAGTGACAGCACTGATCAGTGCGCCTAGTACGCCAGCAGGAGGCTGAGCTGATTCTTCCGTCTTGACGTCCGTCATTGCGTCGCCGGCATCTTCTCCTGCCGGCGGTGATGGCGGTACGCTGTGTGTGATCGCATTCTCATATAGCGACTCGGGCGTCCTTGGCCCGGAAGATGAGACACTGTGCTCTGGTCTGCTGGAGGACCGCAAAGGAGCGATAGGCCGCCGAGTCTGGCCATCCGGCGAGTATTGAGGCGAGCTTGTCGTCATCTGTAAGCCGGGCGCCTGGGCTTCGCGGATCGAGCCTGGCCGTGAGGTGCGCCCAACAATCATGACAGAGCTGGCTGAACCGTCTGGACCCGAGATGGGTACCGCCGCATGATCTGCATCGGCAACAAAGACGTCGACAGGCGACGGAGCCGCGCCAGCTGACCGAGACATATCGAGGGGCGGTGGCCGTTCAAGAGGCATGCTGGGCATGGCGAGAATCTCAGTTTCGCGCTCTTGCGAAGGTGTAGCGACCACCCCGTCGACGTCCATCATGCCCAGTATATCGTCGTCCACCTCTACGTCCGCATCGAGATCTGCAAATGTGCGACAGATCGGACATGAAAATGCTGGGTGATGTTGCACGAGAAGCGGTCGGATGCACTGCACAAGCGTCAGAACTGTTACAAGATATCTGTGATTCTGTCGTACCTTGAAGTGAAAACAGTGGGAGCAAGGCGCGATAAACAGCGCCTGACACACCGTAACCGAATATAGACCTGATGTGCAAAGCTATCAGCACAAACGTTTCCGGACGGCAACACGGCTTACATATGCAACAATCAGTCACGCCGCTTGACTTGACGTTCGAAACAGCAGCGGCACTGGTCGTGCCTGTAGCAACGGCATGCGTTTCCGCTGGAGCTTGCAGGGCACGCAACTGCTTCAGCGCGTTGACGTTGTAAGCGTTGGCGCCTCTTTGCCAGCCACGATTGAGCTCGACACGCATCTTGACGCATCGGTAGATCTCCTCGGTGCCACCTTGGTAGTCGACGCCGAGCTGTAACATGTCGCCGTCGCGAAGTGGATAGGCCCGGCTCTCAAGCCCAGGTCCTGAAAGCCTGATATGGTTGAGGAATGTGCCAGAAGACGACTTTGTGTCTCTGATGCAGAAGGCACCGGTGCCATCGCACCATATCTCGGCATGACCGCGCGAGACGACTTTACTTCTGAATGCGATCTTGCGGGAATGGACATCCAAATTTGGATTATAGCTGGCATCGTTTGTCCCCCGATCGGTGAATCGACCAATTTTGACAGGAAGCGCAGGCGAAACTTGACGAGTGATGGGTTCAAACTGCAAGGAGCGTGTCGAGTCAATATTGGGTACTAATCGGATGTAATACCGCGTCGATGCAGCAGGCTCGACCGCATCCGAGACAGAATTTGCAGGCGCCAATAGGGCTGGTCGATCGAGTTCGGATGTACCCATCAGCATGTCCTCACCCGTCACTCCAGACGCGAGGAGGTTGGAAGACGGGCTACGAGCCGGCGTCGGGCGCGTGAGCGTACTGATGACAGTTCTGAGCCCACCTGTTGGTGCGCTGGCACGCACAGAGCTCGTCGACTCATTCAGGGCGGAGACGAGACCAGGAGCAGGAGCAGGCGGCTGACTACTCGATCTGGACCGGGAAGCAAAGTTCTGAAGCGGGCTGGCTGAAGGAACACTACCGGCTGTAAAAGGCGAGCTAGGTCGGCCCGGTGGATTCGAGCCTACTGCGGAACCCTGACTGCTCGTCTGCTGCCTGCGACTGTTGCGTCTGCGCAGTGTCGGAAAACCGTAGCCGGATCGCGCGCTCGTGCCTGGACTATCGCCGCCCGACTGTGAAGGACTGCCGGGCAGCCAATCTTGTGAGACGACACCCTCATCCCTTGTCGCCATTCGCGGCAGGACCGAGCCGGGTGAAAGCGGTGGAACGGCGCTCCCTCTCGACCGACGAGACATGAGCGTACCCAGGCTCAGATTGAATCTGCCTTGAGAGTTGGGAGATCCAGGCGGGATGGGAGGTGAGGCAGGTGGCGCGGGCGCACCGGAGTGAGACCGCGTACGCTGCATAGCCAGCGGACCAGCAGCCATACCGCTCGGTGTAGCGACAGCAGAGGTGCTCATGCGGGTCGGGAGCTCGGTGGATGAGGCGGACGCGGATGAGGTAGGCGTTGCCATAATGTATTTGGCCTGATCGTCGTTGACGATGGCTTGGGTGCGAGCAGAATGATCGACTGGAGGTCTCGCGTCTACAAGGACGTTGAGGCTAGTGTGCCGTTGGCGAGCAAGCTGGACAGATGTGCTGTGAGATGTCTCGCGCTGACTGGGTACCTGAAGCAATGAGGCGCTCGAAGTGAGCCGACGTAGTCTAACGAGCGATAGCGGACTAGATGCAGCGCTAGAACCTGCGTGGTGTTCAGCACTCGCTCTTCTGCTCTTCTTGTGCACCAGGGGAAGCGTCAGCAGCGGCATGATCCCGATCGTCCTTGTCCCGATGCGCTGATGTGCTCTTACGCGAGACTGGGCACGAGACTTGACGACGGTTCGTTGCTGTGAAGGGTGCAGGTGTGGAACACACCAAATTGTGCGGACGAGACGAGACGAGAGGAGAGAAGGACATGATTGGCTCACCTTTTTAGTCCGTCGAGCGAGTCTCGACTAGTACTGGTTCTCGATCGGGCTCATGCGCATACCCGGGCGCGCACAGACGTGACCTCCGACTGATCTTGTCGGTCCCAAATGAGTGGACAGGGTCGAGTGAGGTCGTCGCCAAGGCTTGCGTGATGTCTGATCCGAGTCGGTTTGGACAATGTCCGCTGGCGACGAGGGCAGCTGTGACGACTTGTCGCGGTCACGAGCACTCCCGCGAGTGGGTCAGCTCGGTATCTGTCTCGTCTGTTGCTCTCGGTCGATCGCTGTAGCGCTCACTTTGCCGCTGCGGGATCACCGCTTCGGCCCAATGCGTGGCAAACACACAACGTCGATCGCTTTCCAGCGCGCGTCACTGCGACTCACTGCAAAGGCAGCATAGCAGCCACCCGCTCGTCGCTAGGCAATGCTCTACCTGGCGAGCAAGGTATGCAGCTATGCTTCCTTCATACAGATGCTCGTCTACCTCCCGCTTGCTCTCGACATTGCCGGTCTCCAGTGTTTCTTAGCCCTGTCTGTCAGCCTTGCCGCCTTCTACGGAGCGCAAGCGACCTTTCAGCTCTTTGTGAGAAACACCAGATGGGCCTGGACTTCTCGCACACTCTCGCTCACTCAGCTGATCGCTCTGCCAGCCATCTTGCTCCTCTGTCTCAATCTCTATTCGGCCAACACTGCCTCTGTCGAGACCTTGGCTTGGGGATATAGACTGCTCGCACGGGTACCGACATGGTGGGAACGCACCCTCAGATGGTCTTCCGGCCTCTTTGTCGTGCTCGAGGGTATCTCGACGTTGCTCGTCATCCAGTCATTCGGCCAACTGTCTCGCTATTTTGTCGACGAGCGCGGAGAGGGCTGGCAATTCGTCTTTCTCATCACTTCTGCAACGACCTATGTTCTCTCTGCCTACTTTCTCTGGTCGGCATATGGCACAGCAGCCGTCGAGTCGCTCAACGCGACCCTCATCGGCGTCAGTGTCACCAGTGTCGTCTTCCTGTCCGGGATTGCCTTTGCCTTGCGTAAAGGTAACGTCGTCGAGACGAGCTTGATGGTGCTTTCGACTCTTGACCTAATCACCAAATATGGCTGATTAGTCCCGCCGTACAGATGGCATATATCGTCTTTAACATCTTCTATCTCGGCGACAGCCCAGATCCTGTGACTTTTATTCGGTCATCGAAGACGAGTCTGCTTCTGCCGCCAGTGTTGCTTCAGAGCGTAGGTACAATTATCAGCGTACTCTCTGCCACATTCGGTCAAGGACTTGACTTTATATCTGCCGCGTAAAGAATCTCTCAATTCTCGGTTCCATCATCTGCTGAACTGCTTGACAGATCATCGGCGCTACCTCTGCCTGTCATTGTCGGGCTGGTCTATCGTATCGTAATCCTATATGGTGCTGGTCGGGTCGTCATCGCCATGAAGCGCGCGAAAGATGGCTACGACGAAAGCACGCGTCTCAGCGAGGAAGAGCCCGTAAGTCTTTGTCTAAGGGCAGCTTGCCGAAGGTGTTGACAGAGTCTCAGTTTGGACGTACGGTCACGATCGTCATTGCGTACTCTAAAGTGTTCGTCACTGTGCTGCACACTGGCTTTCGTCTGATTTGCTTTGTGGCTCAGCATACTCGTCTCTGTTTACACCCATCTCATACTGCTCAACAATCAAGGTGGTCACGTCTACTGGCGCTGGGTCAATGTCGGTGTTACGATCGCACTTTGGGCGCTCGAGATCCTCATCGCTCGCGAGGAAGGCGATTCGAATGAGGATCTTGCGAGAGGCTTCAAGCTAGACTAGATCACGACGCGTCCTCAGGCGATCAAGCGTCAGCAACTCGGGAGCGGTGGGTGCCCCGCTCAATGTCAGCTTGACGATCGTCCTCCAGCCGACATTCGCTGGGCAAGACGAGCAGTCACTCCCTCGAGACTTAACGCTACATCTTTAGTGTCGTGTCGATCGCGTTGCGATGCCACTCTCCGTTGGCTTCACAAGCTGCAACGAAAGCCAAGCATGCTGCTCGCAGCTCGGAGCGTAACTCTCATGCACTTTGACATGATCCACTCTCGATCTCAATAGAAGTGGAAGTAAACTGCATCATGTGGTACTGAAGATCTGTGCCCTGCAAGTCGATATAATGATCAGCCTTCGTTTATGGGCAGGTAAGAACCAAACTGATACAAAGTCAGGGTGGAGAGAGACGAGTGCCTGGTATCTCACACTCGTCTCTCGCGCGTGTACAAGGCTGAGGGACGAACGCCTAGCATCGCACACTCGTCCCTCTGGCGCGTTGTGGATCTTCTTGTCGTCCGTGTTGAGGCTGCCAAGTGTCGCTGTCGAGCCACGAGCTGGATCCGACGAGCGAGCAAGCCTCCAAGGCTGGCCGCATGCGGCGAAGCACTTGTCGCAGGCGGATACTCCTTGCTCGCTGCAAATACCTCGTCTGAAGTTACCCGTCGCTGATAGGTTGCAAAGCTACCTCCGGGCTCCAGTGTTCATAGGCGAAGCAAGATCCAGAGGCAGTTGTCGTCTTCTTGCTGACCAGCTTCTCGTCTGAACGACCGAGCGCGCCTCAACTTGAC